TCACTCTTGCGCAAGGTTCGTTCTTTCATTTCTCTCACTCTGATTTCCTCAAGCCATCCTCCAGGCCAACACTGCGCTTTCGCGTGCACCCCAGAAAACCGCTAGTGTCACCTGGCTCCCATACACCCTGATCGACCAGGTGCTAGCCGCTTCTGCCCAAAACGACTTGACCACACGCGGGCAAAGACTCCGCACCGAGTTGCAGACGGAGGTGAACAACTGTGTCAAACGAATGCAGAAGATGAGTCGCTTTGCGGTTTGATCATAGTGTGCACTGTCCTGTATATCTGACTGCCACCACGTGTACATACAATACGATGTATTTGACAATGATTGACTATCGCGGGCCCGCGGCACTGCGAAGGCAATGTTTGGAATTAAAAATGGAGAATCGCAGTATCGCTGAATGCTGCAATACATTAATGATCATGGCAAAGCCGTGCGATCTCACCTTGCGAGCCTCATCACAGTGCACAGACAAGCAACCTGGTCTTAAGGACAAGTATGCAATCGCCGTCAATTTATTTTTCTTTCAATAATCAATTACAGAAACCGGAGGCCTGAGTGATGAATGAGGCGAAGAACAAGTGTGTTAGTGCAATGCGCGCCGACGCGAGAAGCGGAGTTGCAACGTTGAATGATTAGAATACGAAGCAATGCATATAGATCGCTTCGTACCGTCTTTTCCCCTCAGTCTGTTCCGTCACGACTGAGGGTGAGCTCTTTTATTTAATCGGACCGTACCTAGATACTAACGAACGCTCGTGGGTTGACGCTGTGTCTAGGTACATTATAATATAGTCTATTCCATCACGATTGAGGGCTGACACTGGCGCTGTGTCTAGCTTTCATAAAGCGGTTCGATGGAATACATTCAAGACTTCTTCTGCCGCTTTCCACGGCCACCACCACCACCGTCACTGGGAGCTGCTCGTATCGCTCCTAGTACATCCTGTAGATCCTGATCCGATTTTTGCACAACTAATTTGTCAGAGCTACCGGTCGCACTGACGGCAGTTCGTTTGACCTTCGCTCCCAAACTCGCGTTGAAAACAGCATCGATCTCGTCTTCAGGCCGGCTTCGTCGTTTCTTAGACGTCTTAGATGGATGAGAGACCTCGGCATCGTCAGAGTTTGGCCTCTGCACTATCGCAGAGGGCGCTGAAGGAAGAGCTGAAGGAGATGTGGTTGGTCCAGTGCTTGATTTGCTTTGTGATTGCAATTCTCTCCACTCGTCTGGTCGTCGTTGCAGAAGATATAAATTGATGTTTCGAGCGAAGAATTTTCCGAAATAAGACGCTGCAAGAAATTGCTCGTGCGCTACGAGAGAGCGCGCAATTTTCTCCTGAACAACCAAATTGTAAGATGAGTGCAACAGTGAAGTGAATGGCCTACTCTTAAATATGGGTCAGCGAAAGCCCAACACCTATCACCCACTCTGCTTCCAATTCGGTCATCAACTAGCGTGTGGTAATGACCAATGAGGGACATGACAAGAGCGCGCTTCACTTTAAAAGGCACAGTTTCCGAGTCAAAGAGTACGTCTATAACCCTAGAGCTTATCGGATTTTGAGATAATAAGATCAGATCTTCAGTGGGGAGGGACTTGATGCTGTAATCGCTTACGTCAATGTTATCATTCGACTTAACGCCTAAACCCACCTCTCGGTAACCATCATACAATGCGGTTCATTGAGACGAAGTAAACTTTGCAGAATTAAGGCCCCCTGAACTTTTGGTTCCTTGGAATTATCTACTTTTCCTTTTTCCGAGCTTTGCCGCGCATCCTCGGAGATGTGCTTTGTAGGTTCTGTTGCCATGTATTCCTTTAAAATGTGCATGAGTTCGGTGTCATTATGAAGTAAAAAATTAATTACCCGAAGAGGCTTTAGAACCAATACACATGACACAAGGTGACTACGATCTTTCGGTTGGACTAGCTCAAACGCATTGCACACGGCCTATCAACAATGCCTTAATTCAGCAAACTTTAAGAATTGCTATGCCATACCTGGCAGATATCCTTTTCGTGAGCACGAAGCGTGCATGCTCTATCGATCATGGCGCGCAACACCCCAGTTCTTGCTGATCCTACGTCCATGCGGAATGATAAAGAACGAATAAGCCAGGTGGGTGATCATTACATACCAATAACCTTATTCCACGAGCTCTCAAGCTCCTCCAGGGCACCTTTCAACTGCGTGGGATTTAACCTGTCTGCAGCTTTAGCTACCACGAAGTTAGCTACAGGATGTGTAGCCAGCCTCGCAAGCTTCCCCCGGAAGTAAGTCGCCCAAAGTATCGTAAACGCAGGATCAGGACAACGGGAAACCATCGTTTCCAGCAAATGAGAGGAAGTTGGGTCTCGAAGAAGTGTGACAAGGTAGTCAGATGCCTCTAGTTGTTCATCAGGGTCTCTGTCTGACGCCATTCAATACGTGATCGAGATACCCCATACAGCGTGTCAGAGAACTCACAACAAATTGTAATAATCCCGACCAAGACATGATCCATAAGAGAATCAGGCAATGAAGATTCACCGTGATCGGCTTCAACTTCAAGGATAAGCTGCGAAGTCGATCAGTTTGCATCAGGTGGAATGTCGGATGTCATGTACCTGGAGTAATGGGCTGGCCACTTTATTGGCAGCCAACGCTCGGACCTCGTTGTCGCTGAGTTCACTCTTTAAGACGCGCACAAACCTGATAGCGGCCTCGTGAAATTCGTTCGCTACCGCTCGAGTAGAATCAACACGATCATAGCTCTTATCGTCAGCGAATACAGACTTCATGGTACCCTGACGGGCTTTCCATGCACTGCTTTTCTTCGATCGCATGTTCGACTGTGCTTTATGACTAGCAGCAGAACTTGTAGGCGATAACAAGAGTAGCAGAGCACGGAGAACATGCGAGGCAAAAGGGTCCATCACAAGGGACGTGAAGGCCGGCGTGAGTTCCTGTTGCACAGTTTATTGCGGCGCAGGATTGCTAAGAATATGTGACAAACCTCACATATGTCCAAGATGAGGCGTGTTAGAGTGCGCAGTTCACCCTTGTCCTTGGAATCGGCAACAGACGGATATATACCCTTAGTCTTGTAACCAATCAGGGCGAATACTGAAGGATCGGTGACATTGGTGTGCTTACTTCGCGCGAGACGGTGTCTGCTGCTACTGTGAACAGTGTTTGACAGACATGTGAAGCAAAACGATGTTTGACGAGCGCCTCGTATCTACAAGTTACTTGATATCTGGATAGGCACACTACGAAGAACTGCTCCTACTCACGAGCCACTCAAACTATCCAAAAAACACCCTTCGAACGAAGTCATCCATCGAGTGCGCCATGCGTTCTAGAACAACAGAACAATCCGGGTCTGTGGCCAGTTGTTTCTCTTTTTCAGACATTTCACTAAGTGCGGCAACTAGGAATATCCGCTTTGCTAGGTGCAAGCATTGTTAAACACTTTCTGTATCGTAGCTGCTGTTCCAAACCTTCATTCGGATCGAGGTCTGTGGCTTGATCCTCCTCGTAAGGTCTCTCCTGCTGCCAAGTTCGAATTTGGTCGTCGACGGTTCTGAAATACGCCTTTATGTCAGGGTCTACATAACCGAATGGTGCCTCCGGATGGGGCTCCTCCAATTCTTGTGCAGGGACTATCCATGACGGCCGATTGTGATGTTCGGCATTTTGGGGTGCTTGATTAGTGTCGCGGGAAGGCTGGCTAGGTTCCTGCGTTTTCTTATGCTTCTTCCCTCGTTTCCTGTTTTCGTTCGGCATGTCGACCAGGTTCCTAAGATGGCTCAGAGAACATCAACAACCTCTTTCGAAAAATAAGCAAGAGAAGGACCCCGGGATTTGAGAATATGTGCCGGATTTGGACTCAATATTAAGTCAAGTGGCTTGACCCCTGGCAGCAGGTCACATTAATGATTCACCACACTCACTCAGGCTGGTAACAGGACCTTATAACACATGGCACCAACATCGTGTTCTCTATGCCGCGACGCAAAGGCAATTCTGAAACGCCCTAAAACAGGGCAGCAAATTTGCAAGAATTGCTTCTTCTTTGTCTTCGAGACCGAAGTCCATCATACAATCACAGAATCAAAGCTGTTCAAGCCAGGCGATCGAGTCGCAATCGGTGCTTCAGGCGGAAAAGGTAAGACTACTATTCAAACTTATCTTGCATCTTATTGCTCTTGTGGCAGATTCGACCGTCCTCGCGTACGTCATGAAGACCTTGAACGAGCGGTACAATTATGGCCTCGATTTATTTCTCCTGTCTATCGATGAAGGGATCACAGGTTATAGAGATGACTCCTTAGAAGTGCGCTATTAAGTGCGCTATATTGGAGGATATTGCGTATTAATTAAACCTCATGCAGACAGTTAAACGAAACCAGCAGCAATATGACATGCCCCTAAAGATACTCTCATATGATGAACTCTACGGCTGGACCATGGATGCCATAGTAGAGCAAATAGGAAAGAAAAACAACTGCACATTTTGTGGCGTCTTTCGCAGGCAGGCACTTGACAGGGGTGCAGCTAGTCTGAAAGTTGATCACATCGTCACTGGGCACAATGCAGATGACATCGCAGAGACTGTCCTCATGAATAGTGCGTCCAACTTCATGTTTAGGGCAATGTATTGATAATTTTTCAGTCATGCGTGGCGATATTGCTCGACTTGGGCGGTGTACTTCAATATGTACCCAGGGAGAGGATACAATCAAACGATCCAAACCTTTCAAGTACGCTTATGAGAAGGAAATTGTCATGTGAGTACAGTGACAGGGTGGTTTTATTCGGACTAGGCTGATTTTGTAGGTACGCTTACTTCAAAAAACTGGATTATTTTTCAACAGAGTGTATATATTCACCCGACGCCTATCGAGGGCATGCACGGACGTTTTTGAAAGATTTAGAAGCTGCTAGACCCAGTGCCATCATAGATATCATTCACTCCGGTGAAGCATTTGAAGTCAAGGAAGAAATAAAGGCAACTCAAAAGGCCCAGCGTCAGTGATGTCATTTTCACATGGTTATAGTTATAACACTGACTTGCCCGCAGAAACATGCAAGAGATGTGGGTATATGTCTAGTAATGATCTTTGCAAGGCATGCACGCTGCTGGAGGGTTTGGAGAGAGGTATGGCGAACTCCGTTATAGTGAGTTCAGGCTATGCATTTGTTAAAATGACTGAGCATTTATTTTTGTCTAGACTGACCGTGCCCGCAAGAAGATGGACGCTATAGGTCCTGCACCAGATAACATACGAACAATTCCATTATTTCGTTCGACACCAACAATTGCAGTAGAGCTGCCATCACAATCTTGAGTGGGTGGCGGTTGCATATTTATTCCCCGAATAAATACTATCACCATCACTAATAACAATCAACTCAATCATAACATATGTCGAAGAAATAGGGTATAATTATTATTAACCTGACATATCTGGCGGGTTCGTTAAGAATGTACTGGACGTCCCTCTGCTTCACAAAATGCTGTGAAAAGTCGCTCGCAACGGTCCAAGAGCTCATCACACTGGTTGTTATGCTCTTTGGAACGCGTCAGCTTCATCGTACCGACACGCTCTTTGCCCCATCTGTCACATTCTGAGATATAACGGAAGCCCACTTCAACCGTAGCTGTAGGGTCTGAATCGTCCAACTCCGTCGAGCTCACTGTGGGAAGCAAAGGCAACGGCACTAAGCAGAGATGCACCGCAGAGATGGCTGCCTTGAACGCGGTTATGAGATGGTATGGAGATCCAAGAAAACGAGCCTAAGACGTTTGGAATTATCAGGAATAGATCAGCTACAATGGCGCACAACTCACGAGATAGAAAGCCAGGAACATGCACATTGATGAGAAAGTACCCAAAAGAGCGTTGGCGATGTTTGTGCCAGCGACACCAGGTAGTACTATCAGGTGTCGCGTGGGCAACTTGTCAGAGTCTTGGAGTGACACCTGGTCCAGTTGATGGGCGATCAAGTCTATCTGGAATTTTGAGCTTTCGTATGAATGCGCAGATTTGATCAACTGCCAGTCTGTAGGGTTGTAATGAATTGGGCTTGATTCATGAGATGACATCCAAATCACGCGGGCGCCAGTAGACGTTTGGTATTTTGCTAGGTGGGATTTCAGGGCTCGAAACTGGAGCAAGTTAGCACATAAGATGAATTCAAGGTCAACTACGCATACCAGAACATAGTGTCCAAAGACGTTGCACTGCCATACCCACCCTAACCCGTCTTGACTGACTTGTCCAACTTCTTGCGTGTAGTATATAGGAGCTGTCACGGCCTCAACGCAGTCCATGACAAATTGCTTGATAGCTAAAAGCCAATTGATGCTGACGAAAGAAGCGACTCCTGCATTGCAAATGAGATGTGAGACATATGGGTACCTAGAGTGCCGTCAACTATTTGCACGTCGCCCACACCGAATACTCACGTTTTGATGACTTCGTCAGCGAATCGGAACACCGTTTGAATACGCGACAAGTCTACGGTATGGACCACGATGGTTAGGTGTTTTCTAAAGGTCTCGGCATGCCCATCGTAGCCTGAAAGGATTTCAAAGTGACGAACTTGTTCGTCTGCAAATTGGTACAATTTGTCGCGAGCAGCCTCTCCTCGTTGTCTACTACGACAAGCAAGAATTAGAGTCAACCCGTCGAAAGAGACGTCGTCGGTTGTTGTCGTTTTTTGGACGTGGAAATCATAATGAGGTTGGGCATCCGTTGGAGATCTGGATATCAGCTGAACAAGTAAACGCTGGCAAATTCCTAAACCGACGCCGCTGTGTATGTTTCAGTAGAGACCAAATTATGAGCGACTTGATTCATCACACCTGTTAGCGCCTGTCACAACGATAACTGGCCACGACGAAGGGGATGACATCCGGAAAAAGACGTGCGTGCGTGAGACGCTGTGAAACGCTCTTCGTACGATTACCGGTTACCTAAAATTGGGTGCGATCATAGTCTTCCGTTATACCACATCATGGCGAGCCCCTCATTCCAATGAAATCCGAAATATTGTATTCAAGAAGGCGGCAGCGTGAAGGAGTGCGAAGACTAGAAATAACAACAGACTACAACGCTCATGCCACTCTGACAGACTACACCTCCGTCTTCTTTTTCTTCTTCTTTGGCGGATCACTGTCCACTTGTGAAGCTGCTGCTGCAGCCGCAGCCGCAGCCTTTTCCGCCTTGCGGGCCTTCTTTCTGGCTTTGCGTTCTGCTTCCGTTTCTCCATCCTCCTGTAGTTCATTGGTTGAGTTGCGGAGGTGGGAGCATAAATTTGCCTACCTTGGGAGCTTCAGAGCCGTTGACCTCGCTTTCTCTTCTCTTCCGTTTCTTATCCTTGCTGTCCTTCTCCTCCTCGACGTCCATTTGATCATCATCCGACTCCTCCTTCGCTTTCTCGGCTTTCTTTTTACTACGTTTCTCCTCTTTCATCTTCCTCTTCTCCTCCTTGACGTCGAGGACAGCTTTCACGGCTAGCTCCAGAGGGTCACGTTGTGCTGGAACCAAGTCCACAGCGTCTGCAGCCGTATTGTATGTCTTGGTCTGACCCGTCATCTCAAAGCGTTGCGGTTGTTGATTTTTGTCTGCAAATCTTCGCACACCAGACAAATCGTTTTGATGTTCCAGGGCACGTAGGCGAGACTCCAATTTTGCGCGGTTTTCAAGTCCTATTGAAGGAGCAGTTTCTTCCGATTTTCCATCAGCGTCCGTCAATGCATCGACACGGATCGAAAGTGCGGCTTTTGTGGCAACCATACGGGCCATCTCAATAGTAACATGTCAGCCTGACGAGTTCTTTGTGGTTTTTTAAAGTAGTGAATTACCTTGCCCTTCAGTTTTGGGGGTGCTTGGCCAATGAGAGAGGCCTATACAAGGTAAGCGGGTTGGACAGCCGAGAACGATCAGTAACCCACATGATAGATGAGTCCATATTTCGGGGTATCGTGCTTGGTCTTGAGGGCACGGAAAAGAGCCTTTTCTGCACCGAGAATTTGCACCGTACTAGCTGGGTGCTTCGCCAGGCTCAATAGACTTCCAGCATGTGATATAAGCCGTGCTCCAACGAGGTCGCCAACTAGTGCGGTAAGATTTGGTGCCACTGCGTTCATGCGATTCCGCAAGTACTCTGCAAGTTGTGCACGATATGCAGTTATAGATATGACCTGGTCACATAGTGCATGTATATGCTGTATATCGGTGTCAGATATTTCGGTTCCCATGGATATTTCAGCAGCAGCTTTCAAAACAGCTTCGAGATCTTCTGGCAGTATGGTATCAAACGCTGTCGTGGCGGCATTCGTGCGGAAACCTGGACCAAATAACATCAGCGCTAAACGGTGAGTTGAGGAAGAACGCTAAACTTACCCATTGTCCGTACAACCTTAGCATAGGCAAGGTTATCAACGATAATCTTCCCCATTTCGGGAAAATGCCATCCATACCACTCCTAGACGCCAAATGAGACTTCAGTCATTTAAGATTTGATGGACTTTCCTACCTTAACTCGCATGGAATATATATTGATCTCTTTATCGAGATCATCAAGTAGCGCAATAGCTTGCACAATCATTGTATCGACTTTATTAGGAGAGAACTTGAGTTTAAATCTGCAGGAATACGTTGCAAACACCGCCTTTCACAATCTGACTTCATAAACTCACCGCGAGAGCGAATGGCTGAGACCTAAGCTCATGGTAGCAAGATCTTTTGGGTCAAGGCCGTCAAGTAATGCGGCAATTTGACTTCGGATACCCCTCCATAAATCACTATGGTCTTCTGGTGAGGGAGAAGTGACTTGGATGCTCAATTTTTTCGAGATGGAGTGGGCTTGTCACAAGTGTAAGATGACATGCATGATACTGACACAGATAACACAACGCACCTAGTTTTGGGTCGACCACCACCAAGGTTTCTTTCCGCTTTGCTTTCTCCACTACCTGTTCAGTTAAGAATTTCTTCAGACCCTTCCCCAGTTTACCCTCTTGTACAGCAGTCAGATCTTCTACTGCGTTTGCAGTAGAAGTAAAACGGTGAAGCGCTTTCAGCTTCAACCTTGTCCATCAAGTCAGGTTGAGTTGTTTCCAGTACGCGAACATCTTGGACGTACAATTTTGTCGCCTTCTCTGGCGTTTCGAAACTTTTATACAGATCTGCTGACTCGAGCTTGGCCGAGTCTGACAGTTTGAACAGGCAATAGCCCATCGCTGTCTCGTACAACACCAGCATTTTGAAAGAGTGGAATATAACCAGAACCAATCGCAAATCTTTGCTGCAAAGCTCAATAAGAAAAACTAAAGTGTAGACTTACATTCATCGGCAAATGCCGGACCGCATTTGGAAACAGTGTTACATCGTGTCACGCCTCCGCCAAGACTCGAGCGTGCGACTGCTGTTAGTGTTACCGTCAGTACATGTCAGGTGCTTGATTCACATGTGCAACTTCCCTCTTGCTATCGCCGTCGGAGTAGTCTCGGTTCCAGATATTTAAATACCGTCCGAAGTCGAGACTACTTCGCCGCGTTCAGGACATCAATCAAACATGCTTATCAGGCTACTGGTGGCTCTACTTACCCTAGCTGTTGGCATTGGTGCTCACAAGCAGACGATTTTCACGGATGATAAGCTCCGCAACGAAACAGTTTCATATGCCCGTCCGACTGTGCCAGAAAGCCTGGCCTCTCTTGCGGCTGTGGACTCTTTCACAACTTTGTCTCATGCCCGCTTCCCTCACCACGCCGTTCGCATCAAAAAGTCAGACTTTTGCGACCCCACTGTTTCGTGAGTGCTTGGACTTGAACGAGATATGAGTGGAAAAGGTTTACTTGAGCGTTTGTTTAGTGTGTACACCGGTTATCTTGATGTCGATCAGGGAGCAAAGCACTTGTTCTTCTACTTCTTTGAAAGTCGCAGAAACCCTGAAACTGGTGCATAGTTTGTTGTTTTGGCATCCTGCGCATTAAATCAATGGTATTCTTTAGATGATGTGATGATGTGGATCAATGGAGGTGTGATGTACCGCGTCGCTAGGTCCTTTCCTTCCTTCACTACAACTCACAGGTCCCGGGTGTTCTTCTGCGCTTGGCCTGTTATTTGAACATGGTGCGGACATCACTATATATGACGTGATCCATTCAAACAGTTTGAACACTAGGGCCATGTAGCATCGATGTCGACGGTTCATCCCCAAATGGTACCAATTGGAACCCATATTCATGGAATAAAGAAGCCAATATTTTCTTCCTGGACCAACCGTAGGCTCATGCGTCAGATCATCTACATTTATTATTAATATTGTGAATGTAGAGTTGGAGTAGGCTACTCATACGCCGACTTTGGTGAAACAGTTGAGACGACGGAGGATGCTGCTCAGAATGTGCATGCGTTCATCACAATTTTCTTCGAGGTTTTCAAACAATTCGAGGGTAGACCATTGCACCTCGCTGGTGAATCGTACGGCGTAAGTAACATATCCATGATTTTGGATGATTCTGATAACGTTGGATTTAAGGGGCGGTATCTTCCTATCTTTGCCAGTGAAATTTATGATCAGAATGAAATTGCAAAGGCAGAGGGACGACCGACCATCAACCTTCAAAGCGTCCTGATCGGAAATGGTATCACTGATATCTCAACGTGAGTAAATGACTTTACTGTAGTTTCAATAGCTCTCATGAATCTTAGTTTATACCAAGGGCGTTATGAGATTGAATGCGGTACTGCTGCCCTAGAAATACCATTTCAACAAATTAGCACTTGTGTGCGCATGAAGTCGGCGGTGGGTTTTTATCCTAATTTGTCGTCCCTCCGTTTTTTGATGACGCATCTCACAGTTACCTCGGTGTCAAGCTTTCATGCGTGATGGGTGCATCGACCAATTTGATCACATGAATTGCGGGGCTGCTGTTGCCTTTTGCGACACACAGCTTAGCACTGCAATGTGGGCGAGTGGTCAGTTGAACCAAGACTTGCTGGAAACCACTACTGAATTACTATTACTTTTGGATGTAAGGTCGGAATGTGTACGATATCTCGATGGTCGGTGGTTCCTTGATATAACGTGACGTAGCTGTTGACTTTGCCCACTTTGAAGACCTGTGAAGACCAAGAGCTGTGCTATGCAGGAGACGCCATTATCCGAGATTTCCTTGATGCGCCAGAGACACGGAAGATGCTTGGTGCTGAAAGCCCCGGTGAATTTTCTCTATGCTCCGGTGTTGTCGGGCGAAACTTTGTCTCTCACCTTGATAAGTGGGCACACCATACCCAACACTACGTTGCAGCCCTCTTGGAGAGGAACATTAGAGTGTTGATTTATGCTGGCACTTATGACTGGCAGTGCAATTGGATTGCAAATAAGCTGTGGGTGGATAAATTAGATTGGACGGGACGTTCTGCATACGTGAAAGAGAGCTGGCAGTCTTGGTATGTCGATGGGGAAAAAGCAGGTGAAACCAAGAATGCTGGCCCTCTGACATTTGCTACGGTGCTGGGTGCCGGCCACATGATGAGTCCTTTGTCGTTCTGGCTCCGCCCTTCAGCTGACCCTTTTATACGTCCCTCATGACAAACCTGCAGAAGCACAGGCTCTAGTTTCCAGATGGCTCGCCAATCAAGCCATTTACGGTGTCAAAGACATGCACACTGACACAGCCAACACAGCCACTTGATAGCTGAGCGTCGCTATTTCAGTATCGAGAGAGGAAGTGTCGCAACGCGGCGAAGTTCTTGTGTCTTAGCTAATCTGATTTGAAATTTGAAGTGTTTTTTTTCAACGGTAACTATGAACATTGATCACCGCGACAACGCAGCCAAGGCGCAGCTGTCAAATTGTCAGGCCCAATCGGGACCCCTCCCTGCAACAACAGTGCATTGTAAACACAGCCAATCACTTGTGCATGAGATAAAAACAACATTCATCCTGATGGCGTATCGGTGTTGTCCACCTCTTTTGCAACCTCCGTTCATTGTTTGTGGGCTTTCCCTAGAGGTATGTCTGCCGCAAGGACTCGAATGAACGTAGCTCACGAATTGTTGCGCTATCCAGGATCCCCTATTCTATCTTGACTTGGGTTGCACAGGTGCACCTGGCCTTTTCCTTCATATCTTTCCTTGCGCCTTTTTTTCCCCGTAGAACTTCCATTTAGTTTCGAGCTATGGCTTTCACTTTACTATACTCGCTCTGCGGCGCTGGCTTCGCCCTGCTCCAGCTGCTAGCTCCAGCCACAGCACGTCCAATAGCACGGTCTACAAGCTCTTCCACATTAGTGGCCCTTCGTGAGTATTTCTGTATTATTCTAGAACAAGCTCTCACAATAGAACAGAGTTCGCCAACGTACTGGAGCAGCTCGAGTCCACTTTCTACGCGCAGGCTCTTCAAAAGTTCAATCAGTCAGATTTCACGGCAGCAGGCTTTGCTTCGGCCCAGGTCCCCTTGCAACAGTTTCAGGCTATCTTCAAAGATGAATCCACGCACACAACTACATTACAGGTGTGTCAAATCATATGTAACATCTTTGAGTATGACGTTGACATCCTCTTAGTCGGCTATTAATGCGTTGGGAGGCCAAACGATATCAAACTGTACATTCAACGTTGCTTCCTTGCTCACCGATGTACCCACTATGGTGGCGGCAGCAAGGCTCGTGGAAAATGTTGGTGTGAGCGCCTACCTTGGCGCCCTGACCTTGATCAACGACACGGTCCTCTCCACTGCAGCTGCCACCATTATGACGGTTGAGGCGCGCCACCAAACTATTCTTAATGTGCTGGCAGGGGCCACCGCGATCCCTCAGGCGTTTGATGTCGCTTTGAATCCATCTGAGATTCTTGCATTGACAGGGGGGTTAATTTCTGGATGCAACCTCGGAATTCCAGGTACGTACCTGGTGTAATTGATTGTCCTCTCGTTTACCTTGAAACACCCTCGTTTAGCAAATGTTCCGCTCAAAGTGAACAATTCTGGTCCCATTCAAGCAGGAACGAAGTTGACCTTCACCTCTGCCGCACTGAACGGAACTGTAGAGGTCTGTCCATATTCGTTGGTCTGTCGCACAACAACTAACACGTAACTTACGCCAGAACCTGTCCTGCCAATTCCTCTCTGGCGGCTTGCCTGTTGCCATCTCACAGCCGCTATCTAACTGCAGCGTCCCGGCGAACGTTACTGGTCCTATGTTGGTGTTCGTGACCAACAGTAGTCAGCCCCTTGCGAATAACATCCGCGATGCCGCGATCGGCACTATCGTCGCAGGTCCAACGATGATCTTCATCGACAATCAACAGGATGCGCTAGCTATTGCAGCACGTCCTGGTCTCAACTCCACCGTGACCACCAGCAGCACCTCACACACTACAACATCTTTCGCGGCGCCAACGACAGTCACTTTGACTCCAGCCACTCCGAGCACAGTCACAAGAGGTACCGTCACTTCAAGCGTGACGTCTACTTCTCGGGCTATGGCTTCCACCACAGTCACCAATGATTGGACGGCTGTGACCAGAACGATCTCGCCATCTGAAGTTAGTAGTATTCTCGCGAGTGCTGTGACATCTATGGGTTCGAGATAAAGGTCGAGAATTAATACGGACTATGAGACGCTGGATCAAATTATATTGCACAGATATCTAAAGTACATCAGAACTGATGTGGTGACTTTACGGAATATTGGTAGAGGAGGACGATATTCATAGGGTATGAGTTGTACAACGATAGAACGTACTGCAAGGAATGGACTTAATCTTCATCACTATCCTCGCTGGACGATGTATCGTCTTCATCCGCACTGAGTTGACCGCCTGCGAATTGATTGAGTGACATGGGTCGTCCAGAGACATTTGCCACTGGTTCAAGATCTGGAGACATTGCTGCCATCAATATATCATCGTCAGATTCTTCTTCGAGTTCAGCTTCCATCTCCCGCCCGAAGGCGTCAAGATCTATCTCTTCCTCCACTGGATCATTGTGAGTGACTTCATCCCAGTCTTCTTCAGAATCCGACTCTGCTGCTGCAGGCTTTGTAGGAGGAGCAGGAGGCACGAAAGAAGGCGTTGTTCCTGGCAAGGCTAGTACGGTTGAGACAGACGGCTTTGGACGTTTCGAAGGGCGAGCGGGGTGACCAAAATCAAGAACCTCTTCCAAGTCGGAATCTTCTCTGTACGTATTGATTTCTCTCTTTGCCTTCGGCACTTCCTTGGGTTTGGGTTTCGGCTTCGGTTCGGACTCATGCTTTTTTGGAGGTGGGGCGGTAGGGCGAGACGCTTTAGGTTTTGGAGGTGGCGGAAGTGGCGAAGGAGCTTTACGAGGAGGTATTTCAATTTCCTCGCCCTCTTCTTCCTCTTCCTCCTCTTGCCTTTGCACCGTGACCTTCGCCAAAATGTCGTCGACGTCGTCCACGGCCTCACCATCAGCATCTGAGAGCCCTAAAAGATCACGTTCTAGCTCTTTCTCCAAATCTCCCGCGTCTTTAAGCTGTGCTGCAGGAGGAGTTGTTGCAGAGGCTGGAAGTCACTAGCATGAATGACGATGCCCGATCAAGCACTAGGTAGACAACTTACGAGACTTTCGAGTAAAGCTGGAGCTGGAAGAAGAGACTTTCTTGTCGTATGTAAAGCCCATGAAGCACTCTACTTTTTCAAGGGTGAATGTCTGGAGCAGTGTCACGAGCTAGATCCAACAGAATACAAGAGAACGGTTACTCACTCCCAGTTCCTCATCATAAATTAGAACACAATCATACTCCTTCACCGGCTGTTCAGTTCCTTTGAAGAGATGGTTTTCGCCCGCCTTTCAAAATCATCAACGAAGGCTCTGAAAGCTGAGCATAGCATATACGCCATACCTGTGTGCTAGGGCGTTCTAAAGTGACACTGGTCGAGTCTTTCCCGCGTTTTACTTCAACCGTTCCAGACCTGCTGGGTTCTATTGACTCAGGCTTGAAATTATCTGCCCCGTGTCTTTCAGCACGCCTAGAAACTGACAATAAAAGGCTTCGTACACCTGAAGGAGTAGAAATCCTTGTCGGGGAGATTAGAGCGCTTCGGTGGAGCTACGCCCTTGCGGGCTTTGAGTGCGCGCCTCAGTGAAGTTCCTATTGCTACGGGGTGTCGGCCTGTTGTGGGCATCCATTGGGTATCTGTAGTCGCCATCGCGTGTCGAGGCTTGACTAGGAGGCGAAAGGAAAGACTTGGATCAATAATAATGCTGAAGCAACGCTGAAGTAAGCTTGGCAGTGTTCATAAACGTTCATTGTTTCCTTGTTGTTTCCCGCGTTGTGGACAAGATAGGTTCGATTCAGGTAGACCTTTCAAACCAACTCGTCTTTACACTGTCAGTAATGCAACATACTGCCCTATGACAATCAAATGTCTTAACTCGATCGCAAGCTCGGATCATATGTTGCTAACGACCAGACGCTTAAATTGAACATTTCGGATCACATGCTTGAGTCATTGACAGCCGCCCTCAGGCTTGTGTAATCGAGTGAAGAGCTGCCTCATGAACATACTTACGACTAGCCACACTTTCAAGACACTTCATGCTCTACCATTTTCAATGCTCCACTTGGCACGAATGTCTACTATTATCATAGCCACCAACGGGGAATCGATGCATCGCAGCCTGTGCTCTGCATGCTGTTGTAGTCGAAGTCGCCACATTGGTCGAAACTTGAAACACTCGAGAAAGGCCGCCGGGTGTCCCCTAGCTCGTCTATTGATGCTTCGCAAAAAAATTCCCCCATAGCACGACAAGGGACGCCGAAGGAACAATGAGAGACGGAATGAGTAGTGGGGCGAGAATTGGGGGTGCCGAGCCTGAGTTGCCAACTGGGTGTAAGTGAGACTCGGAGCACTTGACGGACTGGTGCTGTATACGTACACTGAGCGCTGACGCTAACTCTTGAATGACCTTCATGTCAATAAAGTAATCATTACGCATCATGGTTAACACGCTTATCGTCAAGAGCACCTGCAGTGACGCCGTGAAAGGTCATTTCCGAGTCTGAGGTATTAGTCACGAGTTTCATCTATGCGTGCTAACTTAATCGATGCGCCCGTTCACGCGTCCTCCGGGACTATCATAACCCGCTGAGGCCAACCAAGTGAAGGTCGTGGAATAGACCCCTCAAATTATATCGGTACCTCCTTTGCAAATGATTGTTGGACTCGGAGGCTGAGGCCATCATGGGATCATGCTTAAGTGCCATGATGAATCCCCGTGCCTCCACCGAAGGCTGCGGTATATGGCACAAAATGCAACTCGTGTTTTTCAGCTTGTAGGTTGCCCAATTTGTCATTGATCTTACTTTGTGCCAGCATAATTTACTTATTGGCGATTCTTTTCATAGACCTGGAATTTGTACGTGTATGATATATGTAGGCAATCCTAATAGGCTAATGATAGCTAACGATGGGAAGACCATGATGGTATGTGAAACGATTCGAACTTCCGAAGTAGTGTTTCATCATCCTTCTGGCACTGTGTGAGGCTGTGTTTCATCATATTTGAGAGGTATGCTCCCACTTACATGCTTATCTGCGGAGCAGCTACACAGTCCGAATCACATAACAGATCTAGATCTATGCCATTTACTGGTCTCGTGTCCTTCTGTGGCTGTAGGATATATAGTACGGCGCAAACGTTGCTTTACTTGGAATGGACTCCAGCCCCAGCCAACATTAATGTCTTCCCCAACGCAGGTCCTCATCTCTCAACTTCAACTCGGGAACACATTTGGGGCATTGTTTATTGGGGTCACCTTGGCAGCAATGTTAGTGACCTATCTACTCGCAAAGCTTAGGGCTTCATCGAGCCTTGTCGTCCTAACATATCTCACGGAACAGTCTCTTTGGTCTGAGTAACATTCAAGCTTTCTTCTACTTTCAGACGCACAGGGGCATAGGGATATCATTCCTTAAGCTAGCCGTACGTCGATGCTTCCTCCTCTCAGTTCACTCGTTGATGCTACATTAGGTCGTCTTGCTTTGGTATGTATACTCTCCAGTTGCCATCGTCGAGCGCAGTGAGTTTACGCCCTAACCTGAAATTTAAGGACACTCGATGCTCTGCACCTATTCTTGATAGTCCACTGCGTCTATTATTATTTAGTGGCCCACTACGGGGACATGAGTGTACTCACAGAAATTGTGTGGAGCTTCAAAGTGAGTTTTGTTGTGGCTTCCGTGCGACCTCCACTATGATATTGATGGACTCGTGCAGCTTCAAATAGTCATTGATGTAAGTGGGTTTTCCCATGCATTGCGATTCACCCACAGATCCATTACAGGTTATAATCATCTACGGGGTACATCTGTAAGTTGGAAGTGTACTGTCATTTACAAATTGAAGGATTAATGTGATGCTTTTATTGGTTCGCAGTCTGTACTTTCATCGCATATGGATAGGTAGGCGTTTCCCTATCGAGCCAATGGTTCATCAAGACTGATGCAGTGTACCAGTTGGAAAGGGCCGATCTAGAGTCCTCCCTATAGCGGTGGTGGGTCCAAATCGATGATCACGTATCATGGCATGGATTTTGACGATGCAATATTAGGGCGTAATTGTAACTTTAGGTTCAGGTGAGTTTGTCATTTGGTATTCCTCTTTGCTCGGTTTTGAAAATTTCTTCAGGTGTTGCCATCGGTGAGAATTCAAAGCTCGGTACTTTTGCGGTCGGCTCATCATTGTAATCCAACTTCAGCCCTTATTTGGGCCATGTGAGTCAAACAATGTGTCCATAAATACACAAATTACTGATAGCGAGTAGCTATCAGTGTCATGTGTTCACGGATCTGATAAAAATCGAGTGGTCGACATTCATGTCCTTGGGCACAGTTGCTTTCATCGATTTCGTTATCGCATCATCGCTATGCTATCTCCTCGCTACTTCCCGTACTGGATTCTCTAGGTAAGGAGCGGTCTGTTCGCATCGAGGGATCTGACATACTAACACGGAGTACTTAGCACCGATTCCCTGATCACAAAACTCATGGCTTACATTATCAACACGGGCTGTCTGACGAGGTATTCCTTCTTCCAGGCTAGTCCACATCTTGACTCATATCCCATGTAGCGCGTGTTCACTGACAGCTATGATTACAGTAAGCCTCCGGCGATTGTACTACTCATCTTGTCTCTGAGGTCCTTACAGTGCGCAGTGATGCCGCACAACTTCATTTTCCTCAGCGTTGAATTTTTAATGGCTAAATGTATAACCCAGAGCATTCTCAGAATATTATGCTGACTACTGATCCTTTTTCAGTATACGTCAACTCATTCCTCGCACTTCTGAATGCGCGATCCTACTTGCAGCCCGCCGCCGAAACTGGTCATTCTTCTGAAGTCCACATACGCCACAGTGTCTATCGTCCAGAGTTGAACGTTATGGCGTCCCAAGAGGAGGAATTCCAGGGATCCCGGAAAAATATATTTAAACATCCTGACGATGATGTGATGCATCTTACTCGATCTGCCACAGTTAGTAGTTGCGTTGCTGGCGATGGAAGAGTACTGATTGTTACGCTTTAGCCACAACGGCCCATCGAGGTGACGGTAGAGATGGATTCCCACTCATCAATGTGATGTATCAATACTAGTATGTATGTATGTATCATGTGTCGTCCGCCTCTTCGCGAGATGGGACTCGTCTTTATTAGATTATCGCAGTGTCGGGACAGGAATTTACATAATCCATCATGCTTCCATTTGTGGGTTTCATATATATCACTGCTACCTAGAACCACAAGGAGCTACTACTTGGTTATTCGGCATACATGAGTTTTCATGCGCTTGGATCAACGGGACTCTCGCACATATACCACTAGTGGACTTGCCATCCGCCGCCCCGATGTACAAAACCCTCCTCTACTTCGACGCTGTCCAATTGCAATGTCTCACGCCATCAAGCCACCCGTAAATTGCTATAGACAAAGTTGGAGTTCTTGTGTGATTGAATACACCAAGGAAAAGTATGCGACTAGTCATCATTGCAAGACGCTTCATACTCTGATATCCTCAATACTCCACTTGGGACGAAGGTCTATTGTGTAGTCATCATAGTCACCAGCGAGGAACCGATGCATCGAAGCCCATGCAATCATCGCTGCATTGTCTGTATCAATGATTTTCAAACCCTGTGAATCGGTTGACACATCGAAACGCTGACCTGTGCATAATTCCAGCGGGGGGAAATGGAGCGATATGCGCTCATCAGAGCTGTACTCATCCAGTGCTGCTCGGAGCCTGCGGAAGCTAAGCACGAGAAAGAAAACCGAGCTTTGGAAACTCACCTTTCGCGTAAAAAGATGTTGCTGGCGACCCCACCGCTAACGACGACATCCCTAACATTCACGCCTTTCAGCTCGAGATTTTGCAGGCTCAACGTAAGTTTAGCACAGAGTTGACGGGCCGCGGCTGTCTGGAATGCACGAGCCAAGGCAATTTTATGTGAACTGGACAGAGGTTCGTCCACTGAGAGAAATGTAGCGGTCTACTGAAGATTGTAGGGATGCAAAAGAAAAGGCAAGTCTTCCCGGCATCGGCACGGTGAACGGTGGAATATCAGGTAGGGATTCCAGTTCATCATTTGTCATGCGGCAGAGCTCCTCGAGTGCTGCACCAGGGCCTCTGGTTCCCCAGGACAGGCCAAGTGCTCGGGCTGCCTTGTCAAACGCACGACCAATACTCGCGTCTGCTGTTGTCGCAAGGATCTGGAATGAGGTAGGAGATGAAGCTAAAAGCAGAAGCGTATGGCCTCCAGAGATGAGCAGTGTCAAGAAAGGAAACTTCGGGAGATCCGCAGTTGGAGTCGTGAGCAGGGGGGTCAAGGCGTGTGCTTGCTGAAATTAGATGAAAAAGTGTAGTGCTCAAAAGAAAAATTATGTGCGAACGAACCATGTGGTGGACACCGACAAGAGGCTTACCGAGGGCGGCGGCGAGCGACTTTGCAGCATTCGAGCCCACACTAAGGCAGCCTCCAATTCCTACAAACAACTTACAGGTCAGGAACGTTTGCTGCAGATTTAAAGGGAAGGCGCGGATACCTGGACCTCGCGTGAATGCAATCCCGTCGACATCGTGAATGCTAATATGTGCCTGTTCGAGAGCCATTCTGACAGCACCCGGCTAAAGACTTGAGTCGGAGCAAACAACTTGGGAGAAAGGGACGCATTCACCATGTTACGCTGGTGTGCTTCAATAGCTACAGATGGATGAATGCCGCCGAAACCTTCGTGGCTGATTGATTTGGGGTCAGACAAACATGCGCTGGACACAGAAGGGGCTCACAGATCGTGCTGCTTCACAACAACATTTGAAAGTATTTGACGTGAGGATGTCACGACGGCTGCACAGGTGTCATCCTGCTGAGCTCTCGAAGCCGAGAACAGTAAACGTGCGCCTTCCCGTATGCGCTCGGAACGTCCTATGCGCTAACGAAAATTTTGTTGGTATCGAGTGACAAAAAATATAAGGACTTACCAGTACGAGGTACACTCCTCAGTGCTCGAAGTAATAAGACATCTTGTCTGCGAAGCCCACTTTCGAGAATGGGCATGAAAAGTGGTGTCAAAGGCGTCGGAAGCGTCGTCGGTTTGCTGCTGTTTGTTTGCGTCGGTCTTTATGTTCGATTCTGAGTCTTGCTTGCGTTGTGATCGTCAAGCTTAATGCGCTGAGCAACGTTCAAATTGTCGAGATACTTGTTTCTAATTAATATCATGTCCTCAACGTATAACTCCATCCATTATCGTGCTGAGACTCGCACTCCCAGTCCTTGCTCGTCATGCTAATAGTTCTACTGCCGCTGAATGAACACTCGACCAGAGTGCCTAGTGTTACTTAACTCTAATGGGATCTTCATCAGGCCTCGACTTGAAGACTTCATCACTATCACACATATTATCTCCCCTCAGTGCATGCCCTCAATTCAGAATTCAACTCCAGACGCATCATAAATGCTCATTCCACCAGCATCTGACGGTTCTGATCCCCTTCTTCATTTCTTCGCATTTCCCCTACTTAACTATGGAAAGCGTGTAAGGGCAGAGCGCATCGTCTCCCGTACCCTCCTTTATATTCGCACTCTTACCCGCGCGCCGCCGCTACCTGTCCACCGCCATGCTCTCATCACCGTTTCCCCTGCTGTCAAGTGCATGTCACAGAAGCGCTCAGGAAAGAACGTTGTGAGACTTACCGCACATAAGGCGGGTGTTCATGCTGCATTGGCTGGCAGCAAAATAAGAGAGGGAAGACGGTGGAGGAGCGTTTAGCACAGGAGATTATTGCTGTTGTTAACGGAGATAGCAAAGCTATCACTGAGAAAGGGCTGGCGCGTGGACATGCCATGGTCAATAGGTATGTGCAACATTACGTCGGGTAACTCTCATTGGCACATCGCGCAGGGGCAATACGCTCGTGAAGTGAGGTGAGGATCTTGTATGCTTACTGTATTTCCCCCTTCCTATAATGGACCGCCGAATTCAATGCAGTATGATGGCGTGGCTTCCCGGCTTCTTTAACACGAGGCAACAAATACTGCGCCACTTTCAATGGACTGGGATGCATCAATTGATCGACTTGGCGTTCTCACCAAGGCTGGCATCTTTGAAGTCGCATTTACGCAATTTACGCATGCAGACCCTCTTTATGCCAGATATCACTGCTACTTTCTGATTGGCATTTTCTCATCCAGTTTCTCATTGGCCTTACTTAATTGGCAGACAACGGCCGGTCTGTGCATCTTGCACGGATTTGTGTGCAGTACAAGCAAGTTAGACTTAACTGGCTTTGAACGATCACCATCCTGACATGTGCACTTTCAGTATCGCTGGATCATGATGTGACGTCAATCAACGGTGCACTGGATACACACAAATATCCCGCTGCACGACCGCTCTTCCATCAGGAAGTCACATGCACCGGAGGCTATGCTCATAAGCGAAATATATTTAATCTGCTTGTTCATAATGCGCCAGCCCTCCTGTCTCTGCCTCCCATGACAGCTTCTTCCAAACTGACAGAGAAAAATTGGCATCCATCCAGCCTTCTTGCATATGACACACTTCCGGGTCACCAGGACTTTGACCCGATAATATCTGACGCGAAGTCCACTGCTGATACTGGAACCGATTTCTACGACCGCAGTCTGACGAGTCGCAGATATGCCCTTGTCGGAGTGGCATGCTCATGCATCTTCAGTTGCTCATGCATCGTTGTGGGCATTGTCATTCTGGCTAATCACGGAGTCTTGGGTGTGGTCATGGTCAACACAGCCCCCGTGAATGTGGATGATGTTCGGTTACCCTTGCAGTGGGAGATATTCACCCTGACACTGAACTTAATTATCACGTTATGCACTGAGTCCATAGGCTTCCTATACGGCATCTCATTGCGCTCTGCGCTAGCCTCTGAGTCCCGGCTTCGCTTCAACACCAATCTGCGCCTTCTAACCGCAGCTCGTGGATGGTATAACCCTAACGGCGCTCTGCTTAACGGTATCTCGGCTGTCCTCCTCATTATATCCTACAGTTCGGCCTCACTCGTCGTGTGTCTCGACTCTCCGTCGACACCAACATCAGAAATACTGGACGGTGTTATTGCCTTTACAGAGTTACCTTTCATCATTTTGGGCGTTGCACTCCTTCTTCAAGTGACGATCGCATTGTCAGCGATGCAGGCTGTCAAAATATTGACGTGGAGCTCCTCACCTTTCGACTTGACCGCCGCACTGGTCCACCACACGCGATTGACTCCTGTTACTTTGCGGTGCATGCGTTGTGTATCTGACCCTAGACACGGATGGAGGTCCAGCAAAGCCACGAGAGATACAGCCCTCGGCGTGGCATGCTCACCCTAGCATCCGGAAAGTTGTCATTTTTCTTTGGGTGATCGTTGCAGCATGCGCTGGATGGGCCGCACTCGTCATGTATATCTGGGACAAGTACTTGAGTTACGCGTCCAATGCGCTAACCCCACAAACGTGGTCGTTCTTGCCTAGGTTGCTGTCCAATCAAATTCAGTATTATCTTCAGAATTTCAGTTTTCTACTGTAGATTCTGCTCTTGGTCAACATCGCAGTTGTCCAGGGACCGTTGACACTTGGGCTGCATTGCTCGGAGCTCATCGCAAATGTCATTCGAGACGAAAGACAGTGGAGATGCGCTACCGGAAGGAAAGGACTTCAAGTGGCGATGAACCCGTTGAAGACGATTTTCACTCATCCAATCTGTCTCGTACTTTTCGTCGCGAAGCCTTTCCTGCGTGAGTCATTCTCGTCTAGTATTTTTATTATTAAACACCATCCTCGATGATCACAGACTGGATGTTTGGGCTTGCATTCAACATAACTAACATCGCATATGACGGGCAGCTGGCAGAGTTTTCGATGGCCATGTTCACTACCCAGGTTCGCACTTACTGCCTATGTAAAACTGCTGCGACACCCTCACACCCTCATGCAGATCTGGAACCTGTGCATAGCGTTGTTTATATTTGCCTGTTTCTTCACTTTCGTCGCACTGCGCTGGCCGCGTGGCCCCCAGCCGGCTGCATATGGCCACCTCCAGACGCTCGCCAACCTCGTAGACGAGTGGTCGCCTTTGATGTGGTGGGGACATAAGGAGGACGGAATTCCGTGCTGTCATGCTGGTAGGGTGCTTATATGCTCACAATGGTGCTATTTTGACACTTTTACAAAGGGACGAGCGATCGCCCGCTGCCGGATGTGAAGATGGACTGCATTTATGCTGGTTTCGGTGCTGGGTCTCTGGTACCCCTCTCGTGAGAGGCACTTGCTTTGCTTTTTAAAGGACATTCATTGATCTCTCTTTATACAGAGGAGCTATGTCCACGTCAAGTTGGCGATGCATTCGCGGTGCACACAACTAGCCATGCCGTTGAACGATACATATAATTTCTGCTGCGTTGTAGGTAGTTCATCTTGTACTTATACCATTCATATTTGGGACAGCTTTTAGTGGTCAGAGACACGTTCCATTCGACCTTCAAACAAATGCCGAATTGTTGTGATTTTGGTCGATGACACGTCGTAGGGTTAACTTGCAAAGTTATACTTTAGACCGTTCTGCCCCGAAGTGAGCACCATAACCTAGGATTCAAATGTTTACCAGGTATTCAGTAGAAACATACAATATTCCACGTCCTTGATTTTGATGATCGTCTCCCAAACAGCAAATTGCACGCATTACCCGCACATTCCTTATGTTATATTATCCGGAGTACCATCCAGACGTATTTTCGACTGGTGCAGGTTTCTCTCCGTGGTTACAGTCCGCTCTCTCTTCACAGCAAGTCTTGTTTTCGATGCGACTCTTGCGCACGTGCTGTGTCTGTCTTATTTGGTGGCATAGTTGGGCATTTGCATTCGTATCGACCCAGGGCCTGACCACGTCGTTTTCTCGATCGTGCAGATTTTGAGAGTTTGCTGTACAGACACTGTAGCATGTTCCATCGCTTCCTCTCTTATCGCGCAACGGTTCCTTTCTCTGTGGAGTCGATCCTTCTCTTGTGGTTAAATGAGGGGTTCTTATCCGGAAGTAACGTATCAGGAAAATCTGACCCCCTTAGCTACTCCGGTACTTCGAGCTGCTGCTGAAATTTTGCAAAGTGCGCATTCGGAAGTCTGCCTCAAGGGCGGTTGCGCCCAAGCTATTCTGCGTCATTTCACCCATCACATTGTGAGCTTTCTGGCTTTTCGGGCCAGCATCTGTTGGATCGTCTACTTGTTCAACTCTTGCCTGGTTGCCCCAATAAACGTGGCACGTTGCTCGCTGAAAAGGTGGATCACATGTACTGTGTCAAGGTGTTCCGTGCTTTGCATACCCCTCTTTGTTTTCGGATTTTACTAAATGTTGATGATGCCACCATCGCACAAGTCGGCGGATGGACGGCCGGCATGCACAAAGCAGTCGAAACAGTGTCGCATAGCACCTGAATCCAGGTCTGCGCTGGATGGATGCAGATAAATTACCGGCGTAGATCAATTAGCATGCGAGGGTCTGCTCGAAGTGGCTGACAACCGAAACGACAAACGAGGATTTGTGTTCGGTGGGTGATGGAACCTGATGGATTTACCAGCTTGATTCAACAGCATTCCAAAAACCCGGGAGACGTTTGCAGATTGGTGAAATCCGACTGACAACAGTGATCCCAGCATGCTAGATGTTTTCAGGGACCATGTAAACCTCGATGAGTGAAGTTCAAGATGTTGAGAACAGCAGTTGCACTGAGGATCACTACTAAGCCCTCTTAGTGACAATGCACAATAGGGTTAAACGTTAAACGTATACTTCGTGTGAGATAGTGCTTGGTTACGAACAAATCACCAGACATGCAAGGCGAGCACATGGGATGGCACGGGAGGCCAGAAATTGAAAGAGGTTCACATAATAGGATGAATCTAACAGTTGGCTTGAGATAACCGTGCGGAGCACGGTCATCTACAATGTTGCGTGACGTGCAGATTCAAAACAACACCAAAGAAATCTGACTCATTATGGTACCAAAGGCGACCTGACACAGTGACGTCATGAAATCCGGAATATACCATTCTCACGGGTGTCCCGCCATTCTAGTCTCTGTGTCGTGCGTGCGGTCCACCCTTTATCGAAAATTGTAAACAAAGCTGAGATTTCATCTGCGGAGCTTTGATTCATCATACCCAGTGAAAATCGACAAAATACAGGTAGATATACGTAGATAGAAGCCTAAAAAAATAATCCCTATGAAAAATATCGATACCGTTTGACCTCTTTTGACAAATGAGACTTTTCGAGACGCAAAAAGAAAGACATCGAGAGAAAATTTAGATGTTTAGATGCGATTCTCGCTGCACAGATATCCATTTACATACGAATTTATCACGCGATTTGTTACAAAAACAGATCTAATGAGAGCAAATAAGATTATCTGTAGGTATCGCCAGGGTTAGGGTGGTATCGCAAGCATTACTAGATTGGGTATCGCTGCGCCTAGTGCGCCATCCCGCCCTCCCCGCCCTCCCCGCCCCCTCCCCGCCATCCCGCCCACTATTCATCCTGGTTGTCGTCTGCTTGAGCCAGTCCTGTGGCAGACAGCTATAGAACATGCGGTCAGTACATGTGATAGCAATGCAAAAAACACTCACCCGAACAGCTGCTTTGCGCTTGTATAACTAGTGTGATTGTAGACAGGTTAGTTAGATGTTAATAAAAGAAAATTAAACGAACCTCTTTGTCAGCTGTAGACAACCTATTCCAGTAAGTAGCGAAGACACTGGCTGGTTCCTTTTGATGGCCGTTTGACTGCCACTCGAGGGCGCAAAGATTCCTAGACAGATAGTAATGAGCTTAATTACTGAAAAATATGGAATAGGACTCACCGCGCCGTGATCTTGGGGCTCACACGCATCGGCTTGGTACTCGGCTGTCGCTTCTTGATGGCATCAGCCTTCGAGTCGATCGTGTTAGCATTGACGAGTTCCATTTTCACAGCGAGTGAAGCCAGATTCAATAGGTGCCGCCGGTGGTTGTTGGTCTGGCTGTGCGACACCTTGAGAACCACGAGGTTGGTCGGAATTTTGGTCCTCTTCTAGAAGCACCTCATCAGGAAGCCGATTGTCAGGAAGCGCCTCAGGTATGGTGTCATACTCGAGGCCATCATACTGATAAAAATCTAGATAATATTAAATTCTCGATCATGATCGAGAAGAAGGACTCGTACCTTCATGAGCGTCATCAGGGTGGGGGTCAGGCTGTTCAGAAATATGTGAGTGAGCCTCTGGAATAAAACAATCGGACTTACCTCAGATGTATGCACTAGTTCTGGGCTGTCAGAACGTCCCTTTTTCTGATTTATAGGTCCCCCACCATCGAGATCTTCCTGAGGCCTCTTGCTGGACGAGGATGCAGCTGGTGGAGGGGTGCGTCGAAGATCTGGTGATGGGAGATCTGGCGCAATGCTCAGAGCGATCGGAGGAAGGAAGATTGATGTGCATCTGCTGGGCTTATGTCTGAAGTAAGTAGCTTTGGAAACACGTAAATTCCTCCCGCCTGTTTTACGAAGACAGGATTTACAGTCGCACACATGGATGATAGTGCCATCGTCGAGTCTGTGCACGCCAGCTTCCATAGAGTCCATGATATGCCTTACGGTTTTGCAGATTCGGACTTAGTGATATTAATATTGAAATTGGCGATCTGATCTTAGCTTGCCCGTGCACATTGCAAAGTGCATGTGATCTTTGCTTATTGTATGTTTTTTTACCTTTGCAAAGATTCTTGACATTTTGCAGACAATTTCATTTTTGACGTCTCGAATTTATTGAATTTCTATCTATCTCGTTTGGTACTTAGCTATGTATCTACATGTATCTACCTGTATTTTGTCGATTCTCACTGGGCATCATACACATTCCGAAAGATATGTAACGACCCTCGTCGCTGGCGCAAGGAACAACGATGGAAATGGATCATTCTTACTCAGTGCGTTACTGTAAATATATGCTTCACTCGAAGTTGACCTTATTTTCCAGTTCAACCATCGCATCATGCGTTTGTACCGTATCAGCCGTTAAAGCAAGGACTGTGTTGCTTCTTACTGGGGAACTTCTAATCGACACAGGACACCAACAAGGCACGATGTCCTATGCGCAATACTACACAACAGAAACCAGCATCTACTATGTACGAGACGAAGACTTGTGAAAACGAAAATGCAGGACAACCTCAATTGAAGAGAGTGCGCCAGGACAACGAAGCGAGTACATCTTGAGTAGTATAAGAAGTCGAACGAAAGTTGGGAAAGCACGATGGCGTATCTTGCATTGCATCTATATCTCGATGTCGATTATTCGTAGGGTCCCAAATAAAAAGGCAATCGCTCCGCACGGTCACAAGTCGGCAACGCCGACGCCTAGTAAAAGTAATGAAATTGGTCCAGCACTAATATGCACATAGTGAAAAGAATATACAAACCGTATGATCCGAGTCGCTACGATTTGTTCAACGGTGTCTATAATAGCTTGAACACGTGTGGACGTGATACGTATCTGCTATGATTTTCTACTCAGTAGATCATACGCGCCTTCGTCCATTGTCCAATCTGTGTGCACCATTCGGCCATCCCTCCCACAGAATCGCTGGCACGCTGCCAGTGAGACCGCAACCACTGCAGAATTACTGGCCTTCTCAAAAAATTCCAAGTTCTCTGAGTCATTACAGATCGCTGTGCCACCGATCAAATGATGAGCAAGTGCCACATCACAGTGATGGACTGCGGTGCTATTCAGGATAATATTTTTGTCAGGACGCCAGTGGGACATGGGCACGGCGATTGAGCTCCTCTGGCAATCACATGTACGAGCAAAGAAGCGTGTTGATCGTGGCATGCTTTGATGGGTTGTACTCTCGCGGTCTAAGTTTATGCTACATGCTACCATGAACCAACCCTAAGGTAGTCGTGAAATTATTCGACATAGACACCCGCAAGTACTTGACCGACACCTTGTCATCTAGATCATACATCGCTTGCACCGAGGAAGTCATTCAGAGGAAATTATAGCTCGTTGACCACCAGACATCCGATATGTCTGTACCACCGCCGTCCACCGGTCAGCCGAGGTGTGTTCCTGCTTCCTAATCTGACTCGAGATTTATTGGCCACTAAATGGATCACCAGGATTGCGACTTAGTTTTCTTAATCTTGTTATATATATGGGATTCTGAAGGCTAATGCACCAATACGATACGAACCTCTGTCCACTGATATATCAGCACTATAGCGATACAATCCGAATCATATACCCGATCTGAATTGATGACATTCACTGGTCTCGTGTCCTTCTGTGGCTGCAGGATATATAGTACGGCGCAAACGTTGCTTTACTTGGAATGGACTCCAGCCCCAGCCAACATTAATGTCTTCCCCAGCGCAGGTCCTCATCCCACAACTTCAACTCGGGAACACATTTGGGACACTGTTTATTGGTGTCACCTTTGCAGCAATGTTAGTGACCTATCTACTCACGAAACTTAGGGCTTCATCGAGTCTTGTCGTCCTAACATATCTCACGGAACAGTCTCTTTGGTCTGAGTAACATTCAAGCTTTCTTCTACTTTCAGACGCACAGGGGCATAGGGATATCGTTCCTTAAGCTAGCCGTACGTCGATGCTTCCTCCTCTCAGTTCACTCGTTGATGCTACATTAGGTCGTCTTGCTTTGGTATGTATACTCTCCAGTTGCCATCGTCGAGCGCAGTGAGTTTACGCCCTAACCTGAAATTTTAGGACACTCGATGCTCTGCACCTATTCTTCATAGCCCACTGCGTCTATTATTATTTAGTGGCCCACTACGGGGACATGAGTGTACTCACAGAAATTGTGTGGAGCTTCAAAGTGAGTTTTGTTGGGGCTCCGTGCGACCTCCACTATGATACTGATGGACTCGTGCAGCTTCAAGTAGCTATCGATGTAAGTGGGTTTTCCCATGCATTGCGATCCACCCACAGATCCATTACAGGTTATAATCATCTACGGGGTACATCTGTAAGTTGGAAGCGTACTGTTATCTACAAATTGAAGGATTAATGTGATGCTTTTATTGGGTTGCAGTCTGTACTTTCGTCACATATGGATAGGTAGGTGTTTCCTATCGAGCCAATGGGTTACCGAGACTGATGCAATGTACCAGTTGGAAAGGGCCGATCTAGAGTCCTCCCTATAGTGGTGGTGGGTCTAAATCGATGATCACGTATCATGGCATGGATTTTGATGATGCAATATTAGGGCGTAATTGTAACTTTGGGTTCAGGTGAGTTGTTCATTTGGTATTCCTCTTTGTTCGGTTTTGAAAATTTCTTCAGGTGTTGCCATCAGTGAGAATTCAAAATTCGGTACTTTTGCGGTCGGCTCATCATTGTAATCCAACTTCAGCCCTTATTTGGGCCATGTGAGTCAAACAACGTGCTCCCTAACTACATGAATTGCTAATAGCTAGTAGCTATCAGTGTCGTGTGTTTACGGATCTGATTGGACTCGAGTGGGCGATATTGATGTCCCTGGGCACAGTTGCTTTTATCGATTTCGTTATCGCATCATCGCTATGCTATCTCCTCGCCACTTCCCGTACTGGATTCTCTAGGTAAGGAGCGGTCTGTTCGCATCGAGGGATCTGACATACTAACATGGAGTACCCAGCACCGATTTCATACTCGCAAAGCTCATGGCTTACATTATCAACACGGGCTGTCTGACGAGGTATTCCTTCTTCCAGGCTAGTCCACATCTTGACTCATATTTCATGCAGCATGTGTTCACTGACAGTTATGATTACAGTAAGCTTCTACTGATTGTACTGCTCATCTCGTCTCTGATGTCCTTACAGTGCGCAGTGATGCCGCACAACTTCATTTTCCTCTGCTTTGAATTTTTAATGTCTAAATGTATAACCCAAAGCATTCTCAGAATATTATGCTGACCACTGATCCTTTTTCAGTATACGTCAACTCATTCCTTGCACTCCTGAATGCGCGATCCTACTTGCAGCCCGCCGCAGAAACTGGTCATACTTCTGAAGTACACATACGTCACAGTGTCTACCGTCCAGAGCGGGACGTTATGGCGTCCCAAGAGGAGGAATTCCAGGGATCCCGGAAATTCATAATTAAACATCCTGACGATGATGCGATGCATCATACTCGATCTGCCACGGTTAGTAGCTGCGTTGCTGGCGATGGAAGAGTACTGATTGTTACGCTTTAGCCACAACGGCCCATCGAGGTGACGGTAGAGATGGATTCCTACTCACCAATGTGATGTATCAGTATTAGTATGCATGTATCATGTATTGTCTGCCTTTTCGCGAGATAGGACTTGTGAGTCTTTATTTGATTATCGGATTCGCAGTGTCGGGACGGGAATCTACGTAGTTCATTATGCCTCTATTTGTGTTTCATATACCATTACTACCTAGGACCACAAGGAACTACTACTTAGTCATTCGGTTTCATGCGCTTGACTCTCGTACACAGACCACCAGTGGACTCCACCCCAATGGACAACCTTCCTCCACTAACGTGGGAGTCCTTGTGATTGAATACATCGAGGAAGAGCATACGACTAATCATACCTGCAAGACGCTTCATACTCTGATATCCTCGATGCTCCACTTGATACAAAGGTCTACTAAATAGTCATCATAATCACCAGCGAGGAACCGATGCATCGAAGCCCATTCAATCATCACTGCATTGTCTGTATCGAATTTCAAACCCTGTGAATCGATCGGCATATTGAAGTGCTGACTTGTGCACAATTCCAGCGGGGGGAAATGGAGCAATGTGCGCTCATCAGAGCTGTACTCATCCAGTGCTGCTCGGAGCCGAGCACGAAAAAGACAACTGACTTCTAGAAACTCACCTTTCGCGTAAAAAGATGTTGCTGGCAACTTCGCCGCTAACGACGACATCCCTGACATTCACGCCTTTCAGCTCGAGATTTTGCAGGCTCAACGTAAGCTTGGCACAGAGTTGACGGGCCGCAGCTGTCTGGAATGCATGGGCCAAGGCAATTTAATGTGAACTGGATAGAGGTTTGTGCAGTATGTACTCAGAAGGGGGCTCACAGATCGTGCTGCTTCACAACGTTTGAAAGCATTTGACGTGAGGATGTTACGACGGCTGCACAGGTGTCATCCGCTGAGCTCTCGAAGTCGAGAACAGTAAACGTGCGCCTTCCTGTATGTACTCGGAACGTTCTATGCACTAACGAAACTTTTTTGGTATTGAGTGACAAAAAATATAAGGACTCACCAGTACGAGGTACATCCCTCAGTGTTTGAAGTAGTAAGACATTCTGTCTATGAAGCTCACCTTCGAGAATGGGCATGAAAACTTGTTGTGCTGAGAGCGTCGGGAGCGTCGTCGGTTTGCTGCTGTTTGTTTGCGTCGGTCGAGGCCAATCGCCATGTTTAGAATCTTTGTGTTACTACTATGGATTCTTTGCTTTCGGCTCTCTTCGTGATCATCTCAGTGACATGTGCTTAGCAACGTTTAACGTGTCGAGGTACTTGTTTCTATTATGTCAACGCACACCTCCATCTATTATCATGTTGAGACATGCCCGCGTTCCCAGTCCTTGCTCGTCGTGCTAATAGTTCTACTGCCGATGAACGAACACTCAACCAGAGTGCCTAGTATGACTTGACTCTCCAATGAGGTCTTCATCAGGTCTCAACCTACAGACTTCATCGTTATCAGATATATCATTATCTCCCTCCATGCCCCCAAGCCAGATTTCAACTCCAGACGCTTCACAAATGCTCCTTCCGCCAGCATCCGACACCATTCTTCATTTCCTCCCATCTTTCCTGTTTAACCATGGAAAGCGTGCAAGGGTAGAGTGCGTCGTCTCCCGTACCCCCTCTATATTCATGCTCTTACTCGCGCGCTGCTGCTGCCTATCCTCTGCCATGCTCTCATCACCGCTTCCCCCGCTGTCAAGCGCATATCACAGAAGCGCTCAGGAAAGAACATTGTGAAACTTGCCACACTTACAGAAACATAAAGGTGGTTGTTCATGCTGTATTGGCTGCCAGAAAAACGAGTGGGAAGATGGTGGTGGAGTGTTTAGCACGAGAGATTATTGCTGTTGTTAATGGGGACAGGAAAGTTATTACTGATAAAGAGCTGGCACACAAATGAGCTATGGTCAATAGGTATGTGCAACATTGACATCGGTTAACTCTCATCAACGTATCGCGCAGGGGCAATGTATTCGTGAAGTGAGGATCTCGTACGTTTACTGTATTTTTCCCCTTGTAATGTCAGATCGCCGAATTCAATGCAGTATAATGGTTCCCCAGGTTCTTTAATGCGATGCAGCAAATACTACACCATTTTCAGTACTTCTGAACTGGTACCAGCCAGAAGCGCTCTCCGATCTGGTCCTAAAGTGCCTTGTTAGTAATCTTCCTGCCATTAGCAAATTTGTGGAGCTCTTCGTACACTTGTTGATGAACAGAAGCTCCACGATAGTTCGAGGTTCGAAGTTCGTTAAATGATTTATGCCGCTACATGTCAACGCAGCTTTCACAGGGTCCTCACCACTTAATTCTTGTCTGCTTCTCCATCAAATATCGCATCCAAAACCAGGTTACGACTAGGTGTAGTGCTCTGACCCATTAGAGGAGGGCTTTTTCTCTGACGAGGGCCACACATATTCAGCTTCCCACCATTGGCGACCACTGTCCTCAGCGGTCACTAATGCATCCTGGAGTGTTCGTGGAGGGAAGTGAGAGCAATAAGGGGATGAACGTGTCGCGGAATCCTGTACCAGTGTCGCTTTGGAGCTCATTGAATGCCACTAGTCGTCCCACAGACCATTTAAACGAGGGTTTGACTACCAGAAACAAATTTATCACGCCTGGGATGCATTAATCACCAACTGGACATTCTCACCAAGGTGAGTATCTTTGAACGTGCATTTGCGTTACTTTCGCACTACTACCTTCCGATGATTCACACCTGCAAACTTATTTGACTTCTATTTCTGTTTCTAACTGGCCTTACTTAACTGATAGACAACGGTCGGTCTGTGCATCTTGCAAGGATATGTGTGCAGTACAAGCAGGTCTGGCTTGACTGGCTTTCAATGATCACCATTCTGACACGTGCACTTTTAATATTGCCGTACAGCAATGCGATATAAATCAACAGTGCACTGGATACACATAAATGCCGCGTCGAACGACCACTTTTCTATCAAGGAATCAGATGCACCAGAAGCTATGGTCATCAGATTAAATCTGCGTGCCCATCGTATCAAAACGCATTCGTCGTATGAATTTCTATTTTACATCACAATCGCTCTTTGCTGCACATGTTCCACACATGCACTTTTTGTTCTCCGTTTCAACAGGTTTCTCTTATTCTGGCATACCCAGAACGAACTCTTCTCGATCTCTCAATCCGAATACTGAGGTGTGTATTAGCATTTAGCGACACATATTTTCATTCTAACTACCTACATAGTTCTCTTTTCATTCATAGGTATGTACTGCCGTAGTATGAGTTTCTCAATCCGAAGACTAAGTTCTCCTTTCTTTCTAGTCCGAGCCTCTTTCATTTGAGACTGGTCTTCCTGTGTCTGCCTCCCATGGCAGCTTCTTCCAAACCAGCAGATGAAAGTTCGCATTCATATAATGCACTCCCGAATGACCAGGGCTTTGACTCAATGATATCTGATACGAAGTTCACTGCTGATACTAGAACTGATTTCTACGACCGCAGTTTGACGAGTCGCAGATATGCCCTTGTCGGAATGGCATGCTCAAGTATCTTCAGTTGCTCATGCATCGTTGCAGGCATTGTCACTTTAGCCACTCATGGAGTCCCCGGAGTGACCGTGACCAAGTTGTCCGTGCATAATGATAATAATCAGTTACCGCTGCAGGGGGAAATATTGGCCCTGGCACTTAACTTCATCGTCATGTTATGCACCGAGTCCATTGGCCTCGTACACAGTATCTCATTGCGCTCTGCACTAGCCTCAGAGTCCCGACTTCGTTTCAACACCAATCTGCGCCTTCTGACTGCAGCTCGTGGATGGCATAACCTAATGGCACCCTGCTTAATGGTATCTCGGCTGTCCTCCTCATTATATCCTACAGCTCGGCCTCACTCATCGTATGCCTCGACCACTGAACCAACGCCACAATGGTTAGCACCACCTGATAATTTTATTGCCTTCGCAGGGTTACCTCTCATCGTTTTGGGTGTCGCACTCCTCCTCCAGGTGGTAATCGCATTGTCAGGGATGCGGGCTGTCAAAATATTGACGTGGAGCTCCTCACCTTTCGACTTGACCGCCGCACTGGTCCACCACACGCAATTGACCCCCGCTACTTTGCGGTGCATGCGCTGTGTCTCTGACCTAGACACCAATGGAGGTCCAGTGAAGCCACCAGAGATACAGCCTTCTGCATGGCATGCTCACCCTAGCATCCGGAAGGTTGTCATTTTTCTTTGGGTGATTGTTGCGGCATGCGCTGGATGGGCCACACTCATGATGTATATCTGGCACAATTCTCCCGGCGACGATTCAATGTCCCCATATGCGCTGACCGCACATACGTGGTCGTTCATCCCCGATTTGAAACACGGGAAGGTCAATTATGTCACGTATACGATGCCAGGTATCAATCTTGAGGCGTGGATTCTGATGTTTGGCAACATGGCAATTGTCCAAGGACCATTGACCCTTGGGTTGCATTGCTCGGAGCTCATTGCGAATGTCATTCGAGACGAAAGACAGTGGAGATGCGCTACCAGCAGGAAAGGACTCAGCACGGCGACAAACCCAGTGACGACAATTTTCACCCATCCGATCTGTCTCATACTTTTCGTCGCGAAGCCTTTCCTGCGTGAGTAATTCCCGTCTAGTATCTTTTATAGGTGTTATTGACAACCATCCTCGATGATCACAGACTGGATGTTTGGGCTTTCACTCCAAATATATACCGACGCTGCTTATGGGAAACTAGGTATATTGTTGGTAGCCATGTGCACTCCCAGGTTCGCACTTACTGCCTACGTAAAGCTGCTATGACATCCTCACCCTCGTGCAGATCTGGAACTTATGCATAGCATTGTTTATATTTGCTTGTTTGTTCACTTTCGTCACACTGCGCCGGCCGCGCGGTCCCCAGCCAGCTGCATACGGCCACCTCCAGACGCTCGCCAATCTCGTGGATGAGTGGTCGCCTGTGATGTGGTGGGGACACAAAGAGGACGGAATTCCGTACTGTCATGCTGGTAAGGTACTTATATGCTCGCAATATCACTGCTTTGACACTTTTACAAAGGGACGAGCGATCACCCACTACCGGATGTGAAGATGGACTGTGTTTATGCTGGTTCCGGTGCTGGGTCTCTGGTACCCCTCTCATGAGAAGTACTTGTTTTTCTTTTTTCAAAGGGTTCAATGATACGCGTACAATTTTTATGCTGCTTGCTGCGCTGTAGGTAGTGACATTACTCCAGCTCGGACTTTATAATACCATGATGGATGATTGGTACAAATCTATATGAGCTGTAGAGGATGGAATATGAATCAGAAGTGTACAGGTGGGGCTGTGAATGCCAGTGAAATTGGCGGACATTAAAGAATCAGGGTCTTGGTAGGATCGTATCACATCGTACGTACTACTTGCTGTAGTAGGCATGTAGTAGGTCTGTATGTAGTGACCGACGAACAAATCATTATCAACAGTGTATCTGAGATCTGAACGTACATCATGATTGATAACAACTGCATAGGAAAGGGTCTTGACCTGAAGTAGGATGACCATGACATACCCTGAACTTAAACATCCATGAAAACGAGACTGCGAATTGTCTGAAACAGTCATGATCTCCTCAAAATCTCCTACAAATATTGAGATTCAAAGTCAACATTCATCGTTCTGCTGTTTCAGAGTGTGCTTATCGAGTCCACTACCGTAATACACAACACCAATTCTCTTCGCAACGGGAACAGATCGGATACGAAGAAGTCATTGTCAAATGGCAATCTGAATATCAAACTGTGCCATATGTTGACGTCAGCAAGCTCAAGAACATCACCATTGATCCATAACCTTGTTTGAGCCAAACCTCAGCATCAAATGTTCTGCTTGCGAAAGATACCGAACACTAACGACGGATATGAAACACTGTTGACTATCAGTTGAGCAGGCAAGTTGATACAAGGCAGTCGCGGGTTGCAGATCACGTAAAGGGCAAAATCATTCGATGTACACCAGTGGGTGAGGGAAATTGCCATAGTGGGAGAATATGGCACGTCTTTGTGTAATCCGTAAACCTGCATCAATGTGGCCTGAGTATCGTAGTTTGAATGCGTGACTGGCAAGACTTACCATTAAATCCTGTACTGCTCTGCCACAACTCATTATCTCCGACGACAAAGGCAACTTCAATGTTTGCAGGGCAGGTATGAAGATGACAAAAGTCGTGTCATGAGGACGCAGGATTAATGTTGAAACGACAACCAGATTTTGTGGAAAAAAAATGTCGGAGGCGGGATGCGAGCAACAAGAGTGAAGAAACAGGTGCTGCCCAGGTCGGTGTGCAAACCAAGGCTGAAATCTGGGATGGTGCGTGAATAAGTTAGCTGGTGGATATGATATGGCATTGGCTGTTCAGTGATGATTGCAACATAGGTCGAGCTATAGAGTCTGGGGTCACTTCATTGTGAGTTCCGTAAGGGTGTTCTCCGGGACTTTGTTTGCTCAGAGTTTGAAGTTGATGAGTTACTAACGCCATGGAATATGGGCGTAGAATAAAGCTGAAAGTACTAAGAAGCCAGCATATGCATCAAATCGATCATGCTTGCTCTCGGAAGGGCACATATATGGCAATTGGATCTAACCCTAGAACAGGATTTTGATTCACCTCAGAACAATATCACACAACCACTGCTTAGCACCGCTCCTGCATCACTCTCTACCAGTGATAAGCTTACGCTTAGCCTGTTTTAATGCAATATAACGACCCTATACCCTGATAAATACCGCGTCACATGGCCGTTTTTCCATCATGAGGTCGCACCATGCACCAGGGGCTGTGGTCGTAAGTGAAATATATTTAATCTGCGTGTCCATAATGCCCACATGCACTGTTCATCCCCAACAGGTTTCTCTTATTCCAGCATCCCCAGAACGATCTCTCCTCAGTCTCTTGATCCGAATACTGAGGTGAGTATTAGCATTTACCGATACTGATTTTCATTCTCACTACCTACATAGTTCTCCTTTCGTTTCTAGGTATGCATAACCATAGTACGAGTCTCTCAATTCGAAGACTGAGCCATCCTTTCATTTCTAGTCCGAGCCTCTCTTCATTTGAGACTAGCCTTCCTATTTCTGCCTCCCATGGCAGCTTCTTCCAAACCGGCAGATGAAAGTTCGCATCCATACGACGCACTCCTGAATGACCAGGACTTTGACTAGATGATATCTGATGCGAAGTTCTCTGCTGATACTAGAACCAATTTCTACGACCGCAGTCTGACAAGTCGGAGATATGCCCTTGTCGGAATGGCATGCTCAGGTATCTTTGGCTGCTCATGCATCGTTGCAAGCATCATCACTTTAGCCAATCAAGGAGTCTTCGGAGTAACCAATGTGACAAACTACTCTACATATTTGCCTGGTTCCTGGTTGCCCATGAAGAGGGAGATATTGGCCCTGGCACTCGACTTAATCGTCACATTGTGTACCGAGTCCATAGGCTTTGTACACGGTATTTCATTGCGCTCTGCACTAGCCTCAGAGTCTCGGCTTCATTTCAACACCAATCTGCGCCTTCTGACCGCAGCTCGTGGATGGTATAACCCTAACGGCGCCCTGCTTAACGTCATCTTGGCTGTCCTCCTCGTCATATCCTACAGCTCGGTTTCATTCATTGTATGTCTCAACACTCCAAGCTCTGACTCGAGTGACCTGAGTGAGAGTGTTGCCATTGTGGGGTTACCTCTCCTCATTTTGGGCATCGCACTCCTCCTCCAGGTGATCATCGCATTGTCAGCGATGCGTGCTGTCAAAATATTGACGTGGAGCTCCTCACCTTTCGACTTGACTGCCGCACTGGTCCACCACACGCAATTGTCCCCTGTTACATTACGGTGCATGCGTTGTGTGTCTGACTTAGACACGTTTGGAGGTCCAGCGAAGCCATCAGAGATACAGCCCCTGCGTGGCATGCTCACCCTAGCATCCGGAAAGTTGTGATTTTTCTTTGGGTGATCGTTGCAGCATGCGCTGGATGGGCCGCACTCGTCATGTATATGTGGAATAACTATTCGGAACCGTGGGGCGGTTTTCAGTGGACATCCTTCCTCACCTGGCAGTCCAATGGCATCCAGTATCCTATACCAGGTGTTGATCTTGAGGTGTGGATTCTGCTCTATGTCAACATGGCAGCTATCCAGGGGCCATTGACACTTGGGCTGCATTGCTCGGAGCTCATCGCAAATGTCATTCGAGACGAAAGACAGTGGAGATACGCTAGTACCCGAAAGAAAGGACTTACGACAGCGACGAACCCAGTGAAGACGATTTCCAGTCATCCGATTTGTCTCATCCTTTTTGTCGCAAAGCCTTTCCTGCGTGAGTTATTCACGCCTCATTTTCTTTATCGGTGTCATTGAACACTGTCATCAACGATCACAGACTGGATGTTCGGGCTTGCAATCAGACTTAAGCGCTGAGGTACGCCATAGGCCTGATTACAAGCCTGTACAGGCATTAACAGCGCCGTAGACGGGCAACTGGCCGGCTTGGGGGTATCTATGTTCACTGCCCAGGTTCGCACCTACCGCCTATGTAAACTGCTACGACATCCTCATGCCCTCCTGCAGATCTGGAACTTATGCATAGCGCTCTTCATATTTGCCTGTGTCTTCACTTTCGTCGCACTCCGCCGACCGCGTGGCCCCCAGCCGGCTGCATACGGCCATCTCCAGACACTCGCCAACCTCGTGGACGAGTGGTCGCCTGTGATGTGGTGGGGACACAAGGAGGACGGAATTCCAGTACTGTCATGCTGGTAGGGTACTTATGTGCTCACGATGATGCTGCATTGACACTTTCACAAAGGGACGAGCGATCACCCGCTGCCGAAAGTGAAGATGGACTGCGTTTATGCTGGTTCCGGTGCTGGGTCTCTGGTACCCCTCTCGTGAGAGGTACTTGCTTTGCTTTTCAAGGACATTTTTTAATTTCTCTTTGTAAATAGAGGAACTATATTCACATCAGGCTGGCGATGCATTGACGGGCACACAACTAGCCATGCCATTGAATGATACACATGCAATTTTTATGCTGCTTGCTGCAGTTGTCGATAGTTTGTCTTAACATTGCTCTAGCTTGGACTTTAACGCATGAATGGACAAATCTATATGAGCTGTGGAGGATATGTTGAGTTGGAATAAGTGCACAGGTGAGCTGTGAATATGAGTGAAATTGGCCAACATTAAAGAATCCACTGCAGAAAAAGGCAGATTATGTCGGCGACAGATGTGGCAAGAATCTACAGATCTGTAGCAGACTCGTGCGAGATTTTTGTCAGGTTTCTCGCTACTGTAATGTCAAACGATTGGTCGCAATTTTCATGTATCTGTGTCTCATTTCACATAGGTTCGTGTATAACTTGTTCGCTCTATAGTCCTCAACCACCTATCCCACAATACCCTGTAGGTATAATATATCAATATCTAGTATTGTAGAAGGCTGATATTATATCAGAGCCTGTGGTCCATAGACCATGATGTATCAACTCCCCCACCTTTCCTGCTGCCTGTCCCATGATCATCAGACATCCAATGATAAAATTGTATAGGTATATAAAGAATTGCAATGAGTAAAATAGCTACATTAAGTGCAATATTGATAAGTTACATTGTGAAGTTTTATATAGTAGGATAGAGATGACAGAACTCACCAAATATGCAAGGATGAGCTTCATTGACAGGTTCCTGTCATATTTATGCATTATTCCTTACAATTGTAACACTAATTTGATGCAACAACACTACAGTTCTAATGTCATTTGCATCAGTAAACCCCAATTTTCTCCACAGACATAACATTTCTGACAGTTTCTGACAGTCACCCACAGTGCATCAGTAAAACCTCGAGTCTATTTTTGGTTCTGAATTTCAGTTTATCTTGGTTTGAATGGGTTGCCGAAATCTCAAAGTACATCATGCAAAAATAGAAAAAAAGGCCACTTGCCCTCTGAATTCTACTTTAAAACTCTTGAAATCACTTTACCAATCAACATGAATAGATCAACCAGCGTCACATTGTCCAATGAAAAGTACGAAAAGTGGTAAAATAGAAAAAAAGGTGTTATGCAAAGTGCAAACAAGAGGAAAAAATAGGGAGAAAGGATGGTAATGTGGGGCACGAAAAGCATGCTAAGTGGATTAAATGATGGTAATGCAGGGCATGAAAAGTATGCAAATTGAAAAAAAGTGGATTAAAGAAGCTGAAATGGTTCAAAGGATATGTGAATGCAGATAAGACAAAAATCATTATGAGTGAGAACAGGATAGGAAAAGCAAATGCAATAGGACAGAGACTTGGGTGCACAACACTAAACATTGGAAAACACCAGGAGGAAGCAGCGCAAAAATGAGATCTAGTATGAGACAGTAGTACTATCAGCTCATCAATATTAAGAGCAAGTAAAACAACTTCTTACCACAGCAGGGTGCAATGATCAATTTTGTTGTTGTCATCGTTGTTGTCATCGTTGTTGTCTTCATCACTAAGGTGAAGATATTTATCAAGACCACCCAACTTCTTCTTGAGTAATTTACAGGCTGTTGACACCAAATCCTTCATGAAGATATCCCCCTTTGCCCTGACAGAGATAATGTATGCTGCAGTCACATCGCCCCAGTTGCCAATGGAGAAAGCATTCTGGATAGTACTATCCTTGCCGGTGGCTGGGTTGAAGGTCTTTGGCATCCTGAGCTTGCACTTCATTTGTGCAGGACCCACGTCAGGGGTGTGCGCATCAATGTCCACAGTGCCTTTATGGAGCCATTTGATAGCACGCTCAAGCTATTTATGAAAGTATATTCATCAGACAGGTCCCTCATACTATGTTGAAGGTACTTACTGAAGTAGTGCAGAGAGCGATAACACCCTGCATGCCAGTAAGAGCCAGTACATCTGTCTTAAGCACAGTGACATGAGCGTGTCCAACAATGCTGTGAAGATGAGCAGTCGCAAAGAGCTGTAACATGAATGGAGACTGAAAAGTTTGCATTGCATCCAAATTGTCCATATCCTCAAAGAGGAAGCAAAAATCATGCAGAAGTGCCATGGCAAGCACCTTCGGCTCTGTGTCTGAGTTTCAAGCAAAGAAATCTATCATGATAGCCAGTCCTGTTGAACTGAAGTTGCTATGCCACTCCGCTAGATGTTGGGTGGCCTGAGTTAGATTATAACTGTTAGTAATAGCAATAAAAACTATTAATGTGCGACCTACCATGCCAAAGACACAACCTTGAGTGGTCACTTTATACAGTGGCTCAAAAAACTGTCTGCATGTTTTGACATTTTTCACTATCTATGATATTGTGTGAGAACAAAGAAATGCCTCAAGGACATGCTTATACCACATTGTAGTATGGCTTCAGGGCTTTTATTTGAGCCCTACACCGTGGGAATCGGTGGAGATATGGTGGAGACATAAGGCTTACAAAATCATGACTCATGCGGACAGTTTTTTGAGCACATATTAAAACTATATAAATCATCATTTATGACACCATAACAATCGTGCCACCATTAAATAAATTATAAAGTGGTGTCATTATGTCATTTTAAAACCATATCTAACTATACAAACCAAAAATTTCCATATGTCATGGTTATATTCACCATGAAAGCCACCCCCCTGCTCAAAGGGATAATATCCTCTCTCTTTCCTATTCTGGCCTCTCTGCTTGTCAAATTTCCTCTAGAACTGGAGTATCCAAGTCCACTGTGGCCAAGTTCATCAAAGAAAGTCACACAGACAAGGAAAACTTCTGTGAAGGGCGTCCATCCAAGCTCACCTCTACTGATAGGAGGGCTATTATTCAACATATCACTACAGGAAAAGCTGATAATGCTGTCCAGGTCACCTATTACATCAATTCCACCATCACATTCCCTGTCTCTTTACACACTGTGAGAAACATTCTCAAGACAGCTCATCTCAGGTCAGTAACAAGGAAGAAAAGGCTCTCCTCTCTATCACACATATGCAGAGAGGACTAGCACCCTTCTTGTTTCACATATATACCTTGCCATCTGACCCAATCCTATTTATTGTGGTCTTATATGATCATATAACATGCTTCCAGTCCATGTAATCCAATTCTGATGGGCTAAGGCAAAGGTTAGTCATCTCTGCATATGTGTGATAGAGAGGAGAGCCTTTTCTTCCTTGTTACTGACCTGAGATGAGCTGTCTTGAGAATGTTTCTTACAGTGTGTAAAGAGACAGGGAATGTGATGGTGGAATTGATGTAATAGGTGACCTGGACAGCATTATCAGCTTTTCCTGTAGTGATATGTTGAATAATAGCCCTCCTATCAGTAGAGGTGAGCTTGGATGGACGCCCTTCACAGAAGTTTTCCTTGTCTGTGTGACTTTCTTTGATGAACTTGGCCACAGTGGACTTGGATACTCCAGTTCTAGAGGAAATTTGACAAGCAGAGAGGCCAGAATAGGAAAGAGAGAGGATATTATCCCTTTGAGCAGGGGGGTGGCTTTCATGGTGAATATAACCATGACATATGGAAATTTTTGGTTTGTATAGTTAGATATGGTTTTAAAATGACATAATGACACCACTTTATAATTTATTTAATGGTGGCACGATTGTTATGGTGTCATAAATGATGATTTATATAGTTTTAATATGTGCTCAAAAAACTGTCCGCATGAGTCATGATTTTGTAAGCCTTATGTCTCCACCATATCTCCACCGATTCCCACGGTGTAGGGCTCAAATAAAAGCCCTGAAGCCATACTACAATGTGGTATAAGCATGTCCTTGAGGCATTTCTTTGTTCTCACACAATATCATAGATAGTGAAAAATGTCAAAACATGTGGACAGTTTTTTGAGCCACTGTATCTGATGTCTGAATAAACAACATCAAAAATACATTGTAGTGCTTCGACCAGAGAAGCGTCTGTGAATTGCCAGGGGTCGTCTTGACTACCAGCCCAAAGGTACAGGGTTGGCAGGAAATTCTTGGACCACCGCTGATCTTGGCATTGAGGAGGGAGATGATGATTCCAGTAGCTCAACCGTGATTGGTAGTGCTTCTCAATCCAGTAGCCAGGAGGCGCTGTAAGTGTTGGTGCTGGCATAGCATCATCATCAGCTTCTTCGGTCTTGACCTTCTTTGCAAGTGGTCATACAGGCAATGTAGCAGGCAATTCGGAGACACTGACAGAAGTCTAAACAAAGATTTTGCATCAGTAATTGTATCAATAGAAGTGGAAATAAACTTACAGATGATGTAAAATGTATGGCCTTTGATCGATTGGCTGCTTTGGTAGTAGCAACATCAACTTGAAGCTCGCCATCCTCATCTGAGGTGTCAAGGTCGAAGGTATGGGGTTTCTGATTGGCAAGTTTGCGCTTCCTGGTTGTTGATATGTGTGGTAAAAAATCACTACTATCACTATCCTCAGACATCCCAGCTTCATCCTCAAGGGTGTCGGCAACCATCTGTGTGTCCGGCATGTTGATATCACTGAGCTCCATGTCAGTATCCTGAGTCTGTTGGGGTAATTCTATAGCGACCTATACAACTCGCATTGTCTCAGAATCAGTATTTATTTGATGGTACCACACACCTTTACAGCAGACTGAGACTGTTTCCCTTTCTTCAAGTGTGCATCCAGATGTTCTTGGGAATCATCCAAAGTCTCATCACCAAAGCCACCAACAAGACCAGCCTTATCAGTGATAGCAGTGGTACTGGTGGAAACAAGAGGAACTTTGCTATGAGAGTTTGTAGATGCCGCTGTAGTAGGTTGGGAACTTAAAATGCTGCTTGGTGGCCCATGCGCCAAGGACAATGTGGAGACAGTGGTACCAGATCTTGAAGTGGTTGAAGGAGGCCGATCTGTTGACTTGGAGTTTGGTGTGACATCAGAAACCCAGCTATTGATCTGTCCTGCAAACAAGAACTTTGGATTGTTTCTGAATTCGGCAGTTAAGTTGAGAAAGAAAAGTGTTGATTCAGTGAACATCAGCATCATGGGCGGAGACCAACTTAAGAAAAATGACTCACAACACAACAGAAGACTTTCCTTTCTGGTCTTCAACACATGCCCCCTGAATGGTTGACCTGACCTGTCCCATCAGTCGAACTTCACCAACTTTGTCCTTCAATGACATCTTAGTTTGCTTCTTGGCTTTCTTCCTGACCTCTCCTCCATCAACATAGTCAAAATCGCCTCCCTTGCTGTCCTCAACAACGGCACCCTCATGTGGATCAGCATCAGTGAGTTTGTGCTTCCTGTTCCCACCAGATTTACCTGCTGATGTGGTCTTCTTATCAGCTGGAGGAGCAGGTGCTACTGCTTGTTTCTTGACCTGATGGGGGTGGGGTTTGACTGGTGCAGGTTTCTTTGCCACACCTTGAGCTGCTTCCTCCATTTCTACTTCCATAACAGCAAGCCGCTGCAAACCTTCCATTGCAGCGCATTCATTGGCCTCATGGATTTTCTGGAGGGCCTGGTCATCTTCTGCTTTCTGTGCCTTGCTATGTTGTGAGATTTTGCCTTGCAAATCAACCAAGCCTGGGCGCTTGAGTGCATTCTCTTGGTGAGTCTGGATCTGCTCAGTGACTTGGGACATTACTGACAAATTATAAATTTTGACAGGCCTTCAACGAGCTGGAACTGAGTAAAAAATGCAAGGGACTGGATGTGGTGGAAGTGAACCTTGAAAATTTGTAAGTTTGTTACTTAAATTTCAACCAAACAAGCGCTGTTGAATTGCCAAGTCAGTTCTAGTGCCCGTCCCTTCATGCCAACTGGATGGGCCCATAAAATTCATCCGTTTTCTGAGGTCAGTCCCTTATCATCTTGCCCATTATATTTTTGATGTTCAGTTGATGTCCTAGACTAGCTATCTTCCAATATGACTTCATCTGACAATCAAACTCAGGTTGTAGCTGTAACAGTAGCACCCACACCCGCACCCACACCATCCTTGCATCTGCACCAACAAATCTAGCAGCAGCACAGCAACAGCGGCAGCAGCAACAGCAGCAGCAACAGCAGCAGCAGCAGCAACAACAGCAGCAGCAGCATCTGCACCTGCACCCACACCCGCTCAGGTTGCAGCTGCAACAGTAGCACCCACACCCGTACCTGCATCAGCACTCACACTGACACCTGCACCTGCACCTGCAGCAACAACAACAGCGGCAGCAGCAGCAGCAGCAGCAACAACAACAACAGCACAGCAGCAGCATCTGCATCTGCACCCACATCCACACCTACACCTGCACCCACACCTGCACCCATGCCCACACCCACACCTACCGCAACCACCACCACCATGCCTAACACCATTCCATGCAGTCACTCATGCCAACAAGACCACAGCACACTCCAACTGCCCTGTGGAAGTTGTAGGCAGTATTTCAAGACCCCTGGTGGGCAGACAAAACACCACTTGTCTGCACATCCTGCTCCACCCATAGCACCTCAGGCCACCCATCAGCACTCTCCAGAACCTATGGATGTCAACACAATCAAAGAACACGAGAATTGTCCAGAATTTGATGTGGATATCGAAATGGACGAACCCCCACATCATACATCTCCTCAGCCAGATGTCGATGCTGAATTCTTTGGGCCTGGGGATCATTTGTATCGAAACTACCATATGGTTCTTGATGGTGAGTTTATTTTTCCTATCCTACATTTCTCACTGAGCCAAATTATAGGAAGACTGTGTGATGCAAATGGTGTATTTCTTCCCCCTGGTGCTCCACCCCTGCCACCTAACAATGTGGATATGAATGATTGGACTCCCTTTCGCAATCATATGGAATTCGAGATGGCCAAGTTCCTGTACACTCAAAATCAGATGCCAGCAGGTCAAATTGACAGGCTATTGGACTTATGGGCATCTACTCTGGTGAAGCATGGTGACAAGCCACCATTCGCAGATCACCGTGACTTGTACCAAGTCATTGATAGCTCACCCCTCAGAGATGTAAAATGGCAGAGTTTTACAGTTGCTTATGATGGCAAGAGACCTGAAAATGATACAAAGCCTTGGATGGATGACAAGTATGATGTCTGGTATCATGATCCTCACAACGTTGTTCACAACATGGTTGCTAATCCAACATATGCTGATGAAATGGACTACTGCCCATACTGAGAATATTCAACTGAACAAAACAAGCGTCAGTGGAAAGATTTCATGTCTGGTGACTGGGCATGGGATCAAGCAGTAAGTACTCATTGCATCTTTGTTGATCATTCTGAGCGCTAAATATATTCAGGATGAAATCGCCAAAGACCCAAGCACCCTAGGTTCAACATTTGTGCCTGTCATCCTTGGGAGCGACAAAACTACAGTCTCTATTGGTACTGGGAACAATGAATATTATCTGCTTTATGCCTCGATTGGGAACATTCACAACAATGTTCGATGAGCTCATTGTAATGGAGTCATGATCATTGGGTTTCTTGCTATGCTGAAAAGTACATTATACCATAGGATCCTATAATTTATCTGACTAATTATCATACAGCTACACAGGAGCATGCTGGTGAGCCAGCATTCCGAAAATTTCATCAACAACTATTCCACTCATCGCTCTCAAAGATTCTTGAGTCACTCAAACCCGGTATGACAACTCCCGAAGTTGTATGTTTTGGAGATGGTCACTACTGATGGGTTATTTATGGGCTAGGGCCTTACATCGCAGATTATGAGGAGCAGGTACTGTTAGCATGTATTGTCCATTCTTGGTGTCCTAAGTATGTTTTTACCTTCTAGTACATGTTTCTAGTTCTAACTCATATTCACAGATGTATGGCACCTAGCAGTGATCTTGATCAAGACGCATTATGTTGTTGTCGTAGCTATACAGAGGCACTCATTGAGGAAGGTACCTCAGGTGATCTTTGGGATAACTTTGGAATAGTCTCCGAACTTGTGGTGCGTCAATTAGCCTTCCTTGCAGCATTATTTAAATAAAAACACTATTTTAACAGCCCTTCACAAATGACTTTCCCCGGGCCAATAACTATCAGATGATCTTGCCTGACATCCTCCATCAGCTCGTAAAAGGGGCGTTCAAGGACCACCTTGTAGACTGGGTTGAGAAGTACCTCAAACATGTGCATCTGAAATGACAGGCGCAGTGAATCATGGATGACATCAATCACAGGTATGTTCTACTGCATTTATATTATATATTGTTGCTTAGTACCACCTTAGAATTGCTGCTGTCGCCTCATTTGCAGGCTTGCGGCAATTTCCTCAGGGATGTGGCTTCAAGCAATGGACAGGAGATGATTCTAAGGCCCTTATGAAGGTTATTTATTATTTTTTCTGTCATGCTGCCCCTAACTCATTGAATCATTAGGTCTATTTGCCTGCTATTGAGGGTCATGTACCCAAAGATGTGGTGTGGGCATTCCGTGCCCTTCTTGAATTTTGCTATCTAGTCCGCTGTAATATCATTTCTGAAGATGCCCTAGTTGAGATTGAAGATGCACTTTCACGTTTTCACCACTATCGTGAAGTATTCAAAATGACAGGCATCATTCCCACCTTCTCCCTTCCTTGTCAACACTCACTCAAACACTATGTTCAAAATATACAGCTGTTTGCAGCACCCAACAGCCTCTGCTCTTCCATCACCAAAAACAAACACATCAAAGCAGTAAAGGAACCCTGGAGATGATCGAGCTGCTACAAGGCACTTGGTCAAATGTTGCTGACAAATCAGTGGCTCGACAAACTTGCAGTGCTGTGACTAGACTTTACATGCCAGGGGATGCTATCTGGTACATGTCTCTCAGCAGCAATGGACATCCTAGGTAAGCCAAACATGTGCACAACAGTACCAGTACAGATCAATTAACATGACGAAGATATAGCAGCAGGAGCAACAGCAACAGCACCTGCATGCACACCTGCACATGTTCCCACAGCACCACTGTCCCCTGATCTTGCAGCGCCAATCAACATTGATGAGGACTTGGAGATCAATAATGGCCCGACAGTCTTACAAGCCTTTGTCCAGCTTGCAAAAATTGCCCATAAGTCTTTTTTACAAGCTCTGATATTCCACTAATGCACTATATGCAGAGGGCAAAAAATGCACTCAAACCATCCCTGCTCTTGCTGAAGAATTGAACATTCCTTGCCTACCCAAACTTGTCAGCTGGTTTTTATTCTAGAGTTGCATCCTGATGATCCCCACGAGGCATCTGATATACGCCTCTCCGAATGCCCTCACTACCTTGGTAAAATCTCAGTCATCAATTCTGTGTCATCCTGATCCTATGTGCCAAGTTACTTGAGTGGGATTGGGGGTATGTGTACTGAGCATATTCATTCATGTCCATCATGGTGGAAGGAGCATCTGTGTCATGACTGTGTCTTCATCAATACAGACCCTGACCTACCTGGAATGCAAGGCCTTGATGTTGCCCATGTACATGGCTTTTTCTCATTCAGGTACTAGGGTGAGTTGTATCCCTGTGTGGTGATATGCTGGTTCAACAAATTCGGTGACATGGCAGACGAGGACACCGGAATGTGGGTCATCCATCCATCACATGTGGATGGTGTTCCTGAGTATGCTGTCATTCATATCGACTCCATCTTCCAGGCTGCACATCTTATTCCTGTGTATGGCACTGAATTTGTGCCTCAAGGTCTCAAATTTTATCATTCATATGATGCATTTCAAGCTTACTACATGAATAAATATGCTGACCATCATGCATTTGAGAGTGCCATTTGACTTCATTTTGTTTAGACTTGTACATAGCTACTTTATACAATTTGAATATATAGAATATGCACCTTAACTCTGCTTTTTGCAGCAAGACGCTCTTAGCTCTCTTAGCCACTCTGTGGCACCTTTGAGAACTTGCCTTGTAATCATTAATTTCATTTGCATACTTTGCAATTTTTTCCAAGACAGAAAAAGTGACATAATGACAGAAAATAGATCCAAGGTTTTACTGATGTGCCCCACAGCAGCACAGAGCTCACAGTAAATTTCTCCCAGCATCGACATTTTCTGATACTAGTTCCTCACAGTAACCCACAGAGGGACAGAGCTCACAGGATGTACAGCTGCTTACAGTGTTTGTCAGTAAAATACTAGTCACCATTTCTCAAGCGCTACTACTAGTAGCTATGTAGTTTGAGCTAGAGCTATACTTGGAAAATTAAAACAATTTGAAGCACATCCACCAAGGTCAAGACATAAACAAAATTTCATGGCTGAATCATATTTAGTGATAGTACTACTGCCAAATACAATGTTTCTATTTGATACAACTCAAAAGAAGGTACTTGTCATTAGTCCAACTGGATGGCAACCTGATGGCAGGATGTGAATGAGTCTATGATATGAAGGTGTTAGTTGGTAGTACTATGTAAATGATAGGCATACTTACCATGAAAATTGTGTGGTGCTGGGTGGTGAGAAAGACTGTGTTTCCTGAATGTGATGTGCATATGACCCAATCCTACATCTGCCTTGTTGAGCTTGCACTTAGAGATGGCAGACTTGTGTTTTGAAAGAGTCATCATGACTTCATGTTCTTGGATGATACAATTGGCAAGTGTTTTCTCTGCATCGAATACATCATGTCGGGCCCTTGCAAGGTCCATGATGAGGTTGGCTTCAACATCATCAACATCATTGATGGTCTGTGGGCATGTGAATGAGCATTGCCTAGTAAGATATCACAGTCACTTACCATTGAGCCAATAGCGTCAACCATGTCATACAAATCTGTGATACCACTGCCAGAGTCACCCAGAACATAGCTGGCTTGCCACTTATTGCATCACAGGCACATACATGATGCTGATGGTATGTCACTAGAGACATTCAGATTGAGATGGATTGGTGTGTGGCTTGACTTGGACATGAGGGATTGAAAAACTAATATGTTTGGATTCCAGAATCAATACCTTTACAGTTCAACATCTCAGAATTCTCATGCGCATGCTATGTCGTCATTCCAGTGTCCTTCATGCAGCAAAAGCAGTTTCAAGAATGACATTGCTGTTGCTTGTCACATGAGCCAACCTCACTCTGGGTGCAGTATGTAGCTGCAGGGTTTGGTATGCTTGCGCTCTGAGTCTGATGACTCTCATATGGACTTGGATGATGAACTGAATATTTCCATGGATATGGATGATGGACCAAATATACCTGACATTGAGTCTGGTGGTTTTAGGGATTGGGATGAGATGTCTTGAGGGAGTACTGGTGGTAGTGAGAGCCAGGGAATGCCAACTCACAACTTAGAAGTTATCAACTCATATCCTGACTGTGCTCAAACATATGGCAGTGGCTACACATTCCTTGATCTATTCAATTCTGACAATAACAGAAAACACTGTGCAATGAATCTGTATTACCCATTCAGCAGCTGGAAAGACTGGGAAGTTGGGTTGTGGCTCCTTTGCTCAGGATTGAGCATGGGGAAGATAGACAGTTTTCTTTCACTTGAGATGGTGAGTAACAAATTTGTTGATAATATTTACAATTTTTCTAAGTGATTCAGATAAAGACCCTTCCATTGTCATTCCTTTGGGCCAAGGAACTCTGCAGTAGAGTGGAAATGTTGCCCAGCAGTCTGTGCTGGATGTCTCAAATCATACCTACAAAATATCCTACAAAATTGCCCATTGTGTTGTATTGGTGCGATCCCCTGGACTGTATTTCAAACCTTCTCAACCATCCTGCCTTTCATGATCAGCTGGACTTTATGCCTCGCAGGGTGTATACCACTACACAGAGGTTGTGTCACATGTACTCAGAATGGGCAACAGGTGATGATGCATGGAATATGCAGGTATGCATAGTATCATTTGTGCAAGTTGTTGTACTTATCAGTTTTTGGACAGTCAGCCCTACCACATCAGGCATTTGACCAGAATTTGATAATGATTTAGCTAGCTTTATTTAATAAATAATATTAATAATATGCATCACAATTGTAGACCTCATGATAAAAGAATAGATAGGCAGGTTATGTAGGTGAAATCTGCCAAAGCTGTAACATTGACATGTCTATGGTATCAGGTTGTGATCTACTGGCATGCTGGTGTGTTGTTATCAGATGTGACAGTGTGCTTTGGTGTGACATTGGTTCACCGCCATCTATCGTGATGTTGATATTCTACCATCAATATCTAGCTTTAGATAGGCAGCTTCCAGTGGCCAAAGCTACAATTGCTAACATCATGCTCTGTTGTGACATTGGTTCACTGCCATCTATCATGATGTTGATATTCTACTGTCAATATCTAGCTTTAGATAGGCAGCTTCCAGTGGCCAAAGCTACAATTGCTAACATCATGCTTTGGTGTGACATTGGTTCACCACCGTCCAGCCTATCTGGGTGTGATACCAAGTTATCTCATATTAGCACATCACTGATATGCACAAATTCCAATAAAGATTTCATATGTGGTATTTGACTCTATGGAAAGATTATTTATTAATGAATTATGAACTATTGACTACAAGGCATATAGAACAGCATCACATTATGAGACAATGGATCAATCAGTGTTAGCATCAGCCCATGCACGAAGGGCAGCGCGTTTTTCCTGAATTTTGAATAGCATGCTATTTTTGCTGATACTCCGCTCTGAAGAGGAGGAATTGGGAAAAATGCGACTGTAAGGTGTTAATGTAGAGCTTGGAGATGAAGAACTATGATACAAACTGTGTCCACCACGTCATCAGGTCAGTTACTTCCTCAATTTCATCAGGGTCCTCCAAGAGGTCAAGAATACTATGATAAAAATTTTCTGAGTCTGTCACAGTGTCCGTGTGTGAAAATACAGATGAGGAGCTCAATGCAAACTGAACCTGGAGGAACAATCAGTAGGAGCGCACCATTATGAATGGTTTAGCTCACCTGTGTCACAATGTAGGCCAGAGAACCTTTTGTAACAGACTTCATGCCATGGAGGTACACATTACCAGAGCACGTGGCTTTTGGCTCCTTCTCCACAGAGCTTGGAGATGTAAAAATGTGTTTGAAACCCTGGAAGGGAAATAGAATTGAGCAAGAACTTGACTGCTAATAGTGAACTTATGCAAACAAGCATCTTGCTCCTCAATAAACCCTGCCATGGAGCTTCGGGATCATAAATATACCCAAAATATAAAAACATAGGCCACTGGTCACCATGGACCACTGTTTTGCCGCTTTTAAGACTCTGTTTGGTCCTGGGGACTGTTATGACAGCGATTTTATTAAATAGCACAATGGCTTACTCTGGATTTGACCAATCAAGTCCTGCAGGGCAGAGTAAGGCACCGGTCACTTCATGGTTTAACCCACGGTCGGACTTGATGTTTCGAGAGAGGGGTGGTATGAGGGGCTGTCCTCTTGGCACAAGCCATTCAAGTATGGCAGACTTGAGGGTTTTGGTGTTGTTGCCCCACGCACTAGATGCTCCTTTGCCCATCTAGAAGAACATGATTACTGATACACCTTTGAACATGAATGACTTACCAATTCTCCAACGTGAATGACATCCTCCTCCTCGCCAGCCATCAGACACTCTAAAAGACCAGGGTAGGAGTCTATAAGTTCCAAGAATACCCTGTGTTCCCGCTGAATGCTAACATCAAACTGTAAGACACCTGATATTCAACCATGACAGTTCCACTGACTCTGCTGGGTAATCATCTATGGGAGAGTCTAGTAATTCTTCTAGCCGGAGTATGCCTCCAGTCAGGAGAGAAGGATAATTGCACAGCGCAAATACAGTCTGCCCAAAATGCTGACCATGAAGCACCAGGGGATTTGACAAGTTACTGATCAGGACAAGTCAGGAAGGGTGCATTTCAGCACATGAAACACCACTTACACCTTTTTGTGTGGGCCCATGTGAAGTGCCAAACCAGCACGTTTGCGTGAAGAACTGCCAGGAGAAGGATCATTCTCATCACCACTCATACTGGGTTGGGGACAAATTCGAATCTGATATGAGCAACAAACAAGAATTTATATGTTCAAGTGCGCCATCAAGATCGAAACGAGAGGGAGCTTTGCAACCCTGTGCTATCAGAATCAGGATACGACTGGAGTGACATCCTAGATGCAATCAGGATCCGAGCGGAGTGACGTCCTAGATGCCATCAGGACCCAACTGAGACTGAACCCTGTTGTCCTGGCACTATAAATGGATTGGATGGCGCATTACGACACCTCCCAGTGTCATGAAACTGGCCTGCAAATTATATGTATATATAGGGTATGGGAACCAGCACTGTCGCAGCTACAATCAGCAACAATTCCCATATCATGCAAAGCAGCGCACAGGTAGAACCTCAGACACCAGGCTCGCTCTCTCAGCAGCATTTGGGACAATGTATTCTCATTGGAAGTACTGTTACCCTCAGGCAAGTCCATCAGTATTGCACATAGTACAAAACTCATACAAGATTCACTTACAGCTTCCCAATTTCCTCGGTGCATATGCATAGTTGCTCTGATGTCAGCACTGATTGCAAGTAAGTGATACAATTACATAAAAACTCAGAACAAGACTTACCATGCAGGGGATATCAAAACAATGAATCATTCAGAGCAATGCAGACTATGAGTGAGAATTTGAAATCCACATGTGTGCATTGATCTAACGAAAAAACCCATCTAGGCACCAGCGAACATTGTACACGCAAAGAAGTATCCGAGCTGCATCAAATGAAGAACCAGCTAAAAGAAGCGGAAGAGAGAATCAAGTATCTCGGGGATAGGGTGATAATGTACAGGTACAGATGGTTGGAGGAGTACTACCATGCTGACAACCTCGAGCATCATATGCCCAGTGGTGTCCATGTACCTGGCCTTGCTCAAATACCACAAGGTACCTCGTCTCCTGGCTTCTGCCCAGAGTTCTTGGTTGGGGATAGTATGTAAGAAATTTGGGACTGGAGTAATCGAAAGAGGGCGCCTGTGGGAGGACATATTTCATGCCGAAGTTAGATTCATGACTACTCCAGTATAGTATTGATACATAGTATATCACATCATACTTTGTGCCCATTCTACAAGACATATCTGATCAAAACGCAGGGTAATACTACTTGTAGGCGAAATTGCAACCTCAACACTATTCTTCTTCAGATTACATTTCATGACAGTAAATATATGTCTGCAAGAATCCCCTTCCAGAACAAGGACCTGTTGTTTTTTTCTGCGTGGGGGAGCTGGGCTCAGATCCTTGGTGGGAATGTGGTAGTGTTGAAGTGTAGCCCCTGCATTACTGGATGTGCAGAATACAGCGATACAATCTTCAGGTGCAGGTCCATTCACACCGCAGAAGGGGTCAGGACAAGCCATGAACACAAATTGTTTGTGTAACCTGCCTCCCATGAAACCTACAGCGACTTTCAACACTGTGTGATGCAGAAGGAGCATTGAGGAATACTCCTTGCCCATTAACCAGGGTAGAGGGCCTTCAATACAATAAAATAAGCAAAAGATCTGATTGCTCTGTAGAATGCTCACCAATGTCTGTGAGTTTGTCTGCTCTGGTGTCAATATCATCTTGGGTGTCCCGAGGATTGACAGTCCAGGGGTCAAGTGTCAACAAGCTGGGTGTGATGCTTGACGATTCGCATGGATGCACAGGATTCTCTGGGTTGGCAGTCCAGGAAGCCCATGATGATAGGCTACTGACTGCACTGGTGGAAGAACTGGCCAGGAGCTGGACAGGTGGGGGGGTAATGCTTCGCGGCTGCATTGTTGTTGTGTATGAGCTTTTCCAGATTTTACAGAAGGAAACCAAATCTGGTCCTTCCAGTATCACCCCATTCAATCTCATCCCATAACTAAGAGTCATAAGCAATTTAGTCGCTAAGAAAATATGTGCAGCGCCTACCTAGTGACAACATCATCACATGTGAGAATCATACATGCCTGCCCATGCACAGCGACTGTGCAAGTGTCTGAAGCGATGCTGTATAGTGTGGCTCAGTAGCCCTTCTGATTGCCCCCAACAATGAAAACTTCTTGGCCAATGATATTATCGAGCGAATCCAACTTCGCGTTGCATACCTTTATCACAAATCTGATTGGGACGTTGATCTGTCACAAGTGTCAGAAATGCCTGCCTCAAAGAGATCAATACTTACAAGGGAGTGATCACTATCAGAAAGAAAGGTCAAGCGAGCGTTTGGAAAGTCGATGTTTTGTACAACCCCTTTCCTCTGATACTCCAATCCATGAGCAACACTCATGACATCTCCAGGCCTCACATCATAGCCCCTTTCCTGTGTGTATTTGAGGGTATCAGGGAGCTTGGTCCGCTGAACAACTGCTACAGGAACTTGAATTCTTAACAGTCCAACACTAGTACCCACATCATCCCCAGATAACATAGGGTCCATATCCTGGAACCATAGCATTGCGCTCCCCATGGGGAACCACTCCACAATGCTGCATTTCTTGAAATGCTCTCCCACAAGCACTTCTATGTGATCTCCTACTTGTATAGATTTGGACTGAGGGGGAGGCTCGAAGCGCTGCTGCACAGGTAGCTGCAGGTGAAAGACATGATGCAAGGGGCAATGATCTAAGTAGTATCTCGAAACAAGCACCTATGAAATGAGTGTTAATGAATTGTAAGATTGTAATTTACATGTAAAACCAACCTCTTCTTTGGAGACTGCCTGATAAATGTGGAACATATCATCGCTTATTTGAATGATGTGGCCCTCCAGACCCAAGTATGGGCCTGCAACGACTTGAATTTTGTCGCCAACACAAAAAATATGCTCTAGATCCTCCAGTCAAATGTCAATTTCTCTTTGATGTCTATTGAAGATTATTTCCAAGCACACGGAGCCAGAGGTGTGACCTGTCAAAACGACTGTACTGATCTTTGAGCGAATTTCTCCTGCAATAATCCTGACCAAATCGCCTGTGTGCAAGAATTGCATCGAAAATGCTAACAGTGTTTTCCTGACGAAGGGCATGTCCCACGCAGACTGCATATGCAGTTTGATGTCATCAGTGTGAGGAGAGGCAACAATTTCTAAGTGATCGCGGTGAAATTTTTTCACCAAGAGTCCCATGTAGTATTGTTCGCCTCTATAACAGCACCCCACAACTTTCCCATCATGGAGAATATCGCGAATGGCCTGGTCATTAGGGAGGAGGCATCAGTCAAGTAGAGCCACAGATCCACCAGGCATGGGATAGGGAAAGTCCCGGAGAGCGATTAAGATGGAGACGAGACCATTAGATTGATCAGAATTGAAAATGTAGCCTATGTCACCCTTGTACTTGCCGTATTTGATCCTCACCCACCCTGGGTTAGGAAGTTTGGAGTTTGCATGTTCAACTGCTTGACGTTCTTCTTCTGAGATTCGAACATATTCTTGAATGGCAAAACTATGTGAGGATGGAAGCAATGCTGTGATGGTTCTGGGGCTGTCTGCGACAACATACAACTGGCCTGCTACCCAACCGGACACAGTAATGAGAAATCCTTGACTCTGAAGGTGTTTGGCAATATAATCTGTGCCATTTCCTGGCATGCAATGAGTGGCATACCATGACATTAAGGATGAACATACTCTGAATATGGAGAAGGTACATTCTGCCTTCAATTGCCCAGGGGGATGAGGTGGCCTTGCAATGGCAAGCATGGCGCCCTTCTGATGAAGAGGGCGGGTTCTCTTGGATCCTATCATAAATGTTATCAAATGCTGCTGCCAACCTACCCTTGGCTGATGGGCCAGAAAGGCATGTGACTGTTGGCAACCACACAGAAGAGCCTTCTTCATCCTCTTCATCCTCTTCATCCTCTTCTTTCTTGTCTGCTTCAGTGACAATGTATGGATTCGACTACACGTGTTGGTTTAGCAGCAAAGTAGTCAGAATGATACCACGCTTACTTTGGGTCATTTACACGTTTGTTTGATACGAGTGCTGGAGTCCGTCCTCGACTACATCTATTTAGTATTCAAGTCATAAGGAATGATAATACACTTACTTTAGGACGTTGAGGTGATCATTGAATGGGAGTGCTTGAGAGGTGGCTGTTCATCCTTGATGAAGACGAGGGCAGGGGCATGTGTCTAGTCTTTAAGGCATAAAGGTTTGTTAAGGCAATGCTGTCGTCACCATTGCCAGAGAATAACACATTTCTGGCATCCTTCCAGTTGTCTGCAATGTATTGATCACCAAGGTATAAAGAAAATGTCTCTTCCATCTGAGGATATGTCATGTCGGTAGTGAGGAACTGTTCGAGAATGCACCATGCACCTTGATCTGCCAATGGTGATGGCGCCATCCACCAATTCCCTACCAGACACAGGCTCATGAGTGACAATAATGACCATATTTTATGACTCACCATCATTAGCACTTCACGCACGCTTCGAGGAACACTCATCATCACTAGTACATGCCGTGCGCTTTGACATTCTGAGAATCTAGTTAATGATATCGTCAATTTCTGCAGCACATAACGAACCCAAAGACTCACATGTTACTACATAGCATTATGCTCACAATTATCCTTTTGACAGCAGCGGAAGAAATTTGGCTTGGCAATTTGATCATGGTGGAGTCTTCAATGGCAAAATATATTGGGACAACTTGTTCAACATTGAAGTGTAAAGTAATGTACTTGCACCAGACTTGCGCGCAGCAATGTTAAACTGAGTATCTCGGACATTATATATAATCAAGGCTGCTCATGATATACATGCTATAGCTACTAATACTGTCAAAATAAATGGTAGAAGTCAGAAAGAATTCATTGGTACACGAGGTGCATTGATATGCAGAATGACAATTGGTATTCAAACCCAGTCAGCAATGCCTGGTCGAGGGGCGCCAAGTACTGGTGTCATAAGTTAGGCTAGTTGGGTGCTGCCGGCGGAGTTTCATTCTGAATGTCAATCAGTATATCAGCCCTCTCACTTCATCATGGCAACTTTTCTCACCATCCACCTAGCTCTGCTTGTATATAAGTTGCTTATGGTTGGACAGAATATACTTGTAATATTAGTGCAGTTTACAATGACAATATCGTAGACTTTAGAATGACGTGAAATAGTAATGTATGGAGCAGATGATTGTGAGATCTTGCTCCCATAATCAAAATGTATGATAACCTAATGCAAAGAATTCAGATCAAACATATTGTTGCTTGAGATTCAAGTTCTGACATACCCTCAATTGTCAGGACGTCCCGAATTTGAGTGAGGTCTCCTTTTTTGAGGATAATACATTGTCAGTATGTAGGGTCTCCTGATGAATTTCTTGACATTTACTAACCTAAATATTAGCGATCCACCATGCTCAATTGCGAGATCAACTTACACATATAGCCGCAAGTGCAGGTTGCGCATTCAGCAACATACTGCCCTTGGGATACTCCCCTGGATCGCATGAAAACTGCTGCCTCGACATATCTGTCCCCTGATGCACAAAGACAACATGGATATTGAAATACATGTGCCTCACGGTAAGCTGAAAATCATGAAGGATGGATTTTGTGTCCATGCCAGTCTGCCAGCCTGTTGGGTGGGTTTCATTGTGAGTGAGGAACTGATGTTCATGAAAATACTTAATTTACCATAAATACGTTGACAGTTCCCCCATCTGACCATGGTAATGAAGAATTCCATGGTGGGCAGTCACGATCCTAACAAGCAAATTCACGACATGTTGGTCAACTTCAAATTCCAGGGGTGCGAGTGTGGAACATTCAGAGCAAGGGGAACATGGTATGGACATATCAGGTTATGCAGTGTGTTATAAATTGAATTCAGACATTATATAGGTGAACGGTTCATATCACGGTAGCCGCACCTCCTAAGTGCTTTTGGATGCGAAGTGCAACTTTACGGCAATAACTGCGCTGTGCCATCCTGATTTGCATTTGGCTATGAGCACATCATTCCATCAACCCTTCGCTAATGAAAAGCAGATTTTATGCACCGGTCAACCATCCATGTCATCCAGCTATACCTGCACCTGCAAGCAAGTTTTCACAGCGCAGAATTACTTCAGTCACCATCAGCGCTCATGTGCCCACATGAAAAAGCGATTGTCATCGGCTATATCTTCCTTCAGAGAGTTCATAGGACACAGGAAAAAGGCATGCACCTCACCTGGCCCTGTGGGTGTTGATACATCAACGAGGGAAGTGCCTGATGGGCTATCCGCTCACCTCAGCTCTGGTGATGCCAATACTTCTATCGCAAATCAATATTGTGAGCCAGAGGTTGCTCCTCTGCCTGCACAACCTCCTTCTGGAGGAGGGATTGTGCCCTTGGACCATGAAAGAGACATTGATGGAGGGGAGGATATCAGCTTGGCACAGCGGAGACCGCAACATCAGAACTGCCAGCTGCCCCTAAGATTTAGGGATGTGCTTCCTCAGCCTCTGCCCATGGTGCCTATGGAAGTGCGAGCCCAACCTCCAGAATCTGTTGGATCTGTTGTCACTTCAGCTCAACCACTCACTGTGCGTGCGCACACAGTTTTTCATACCTTGCCAAATATTTTTGGGCTAGTGCATCAATACTTCTCTTTGCAACTGCCATCCCACAACCCAGAAGAGTATACCACTCTCACAGACCTCTCGTTCATACCAGGCAGCCCTCAAGTTCCTGACCAACCCTATCCATTTGCTGCTTCAAGTAGCAAATCTCAGTACTATCCATACCCCAATCGCTCTTCCTTTCAGCTCGGCGACTGGTATTGGAATCAGGGGGTCCAAAAGTTACAAAGTGATTACACTAAACTGCTGGAGATCCTGGATGGCAATGCATTTAATGTTGCCAACATGACGTCTACTCACTGGAAGAAAATCAACTGCCAGCTGGGTGGTAATGAGTATGATGAGGGAGATGGGGAAGAGTGGGAGGATGAAGATGCTGGATGGAAATGCACACCAGTTTCCATTGAGGTCCCTTTTTCTCATACTACTGACATGCCAGGCCCTCGGCTTTACAGAGCCGCAGATTTGTACCATCTCTCTCTAGTGGCTGTGATATGGGAGAAGCTCGCAAATGTGTGCGACGACAAACTCTTTCATTACGAGCTGTACCAGCTCTGTTGGAATCCCCCCCACCTGGATAACAAAGTGCTCATATACAGGGATCTCTACACATCTCCAGTTTTCCATGAGGCCCACAGCCAACTGCAAGACTCACTGGGGGAACCAGGGTGTGACCTACCCCGAGTTGTGGCTGGTATGATGTTCTGGTCTGATGCAATGCAACTCACTTTGTTTGAACTGCCAAGCTCTGGCCTACATACATGTACTTTGGGAATGAGTCAAAGTATCGCTGGTGCAAGCCGTTGTGTAACTTGAGCAACCATGTTGCTTACTTTGAAATGGTAAGCGCACCAAACTTGTGGGCCTTGAGGTATACTAAAGGTTGCATCACCAGCTTCCCAACTCATTTAAGGATTTTACTGGTGGGACCCACGAGGGTGCAACTCACTGTCATTGTGAGTTATTTCAGGGGCAGTGGAATATCTTACTGGATGAGGAATTTCTAGAGGCGTATGCGCATGGAATTGTCATTCACTGTTGCAATGGGATCATGTGTAGATTTTATCCTCGGATATTCACGTACTCTGCAGATTATCCCGAGAAGTGTGTGATTTATCCCCAGTTATATTATGTTGATTCTGATTTCACCAGAGTCCTTATAGCCACAGTTTGAAATTTAGGAGGGTGTCCATGTCCTCGTTGCCTCATTCCAAAGGATAGGATACAAAATATCGGAAGGCCGCAGGATAGACAGCAATGCTCCACCCTGGAACGCAGTGCTCACCAAAGAGGAACTTTGGTTAGTGAAGCAAGGAGATTGATTTATGAGAATAACTATGCAGTCAACAGTGCAGCAGTGGAACACATTCTCAAGCCACACTCCTGGGTCCCTACCTCTGTGAGACTTGATTCCCGATTGCTGACAAGTACTAACCATGTCTCAGAATGCTTTCATTGTTACGGCGAACCGTAGGTCGACTAGGATAGGCTCGACAATAGACACTCGATAAGAGTGACGTCTAAAGCCGAATCGTTAACCTTACAAATGTAAGGGTCTTTAAGACAAGTTGGAGAGAAAGTGTCTCCGGCTTGAATATCGATATCAGACGTTTTAAGATTGGGGGTCTTAAACGAAGGATGTTCTGGGTGAAACCTAGTAGATTAAAGTGAAGACTAACTAAGTACAAGATCCTGCTTATATAGGTAAGGCCTGCTTTAGGGCCGGTACGTACACGTCATCGAGACGAGTCAGAGATAAGAGGAATGACGTCAGCTAATGATGGCACGAGGCGGTCATGCTGTAATACATGAGTAAGCGAACAAGAGAATAGTCTAATGATGGCACACGAGTGCGGTCATGACGTAGTACAATGGAAAGGTAAGAAAAATGATAGGGGCAACCGTTACTGTAACATTACCCCTCGTTTAGCGATGAAGTCACCGACTTCACATATCTTGGTTGGCCCAGTAAATAGGATCAGCGTCGTAGTTGGAGTGGAGGAGATCGTCTTGTTCCTCCGTGATGGTAAGGGATTGCGCCATTTCTTCGGCGTGGGCAATACCATCTTGCTCGATCTCCCAGCGAGCGAGCGCGTCGTAAAAACCGACGTCAGTCCATACCAATGGAATGACCGCTTCTCCTTTCAGGTCTTTACAAAAGACCGACAGGTGCCCGGGCGCATATTCTTTGCAAACTCTGCAATAGTACGCGGGGCAGTTCTTGTGCCGATGACCAGCGATGTGGCAGTTTCGGCATACGACGTTGTCGACCGGTGACGTTTTCACGACGGTGACTGATGAGGATTGGTTGGGGGGCGATGGTGATCGCGATCTTTTGAGTGGTGGTTTAGTAGGGGAGACGGATGTGGCTCGTTTGGCGGCGAGGCGGGAGGATCTACGCTTAAGTGGGAATCGTTTCTTGGTGCGTACGACTGGGTCAGGAGAAGGAGAAGCCGGTACGTCAAGTACGGCAATAGGAGGGATGTTATTATCCGGACTGTCCATGGTAGCGGCAGCGGGAACTGGTTGTGGTATGGGGACGGCAACGTGGGGTGAAGGTGGTCTTGCGATGGGGTTAAGAGCGATTCGCTCAGTGACGATGTGGATGGCTTCTCTGATAGCGTCTCTGGTATCTTCTGGGAGAAGGCGGATGGCGGTATTACGAATACGTATATGAAGATGACGAAAAATAGTTTGATGACGTTCATCATCAAGGAGGGCGGCGGTGCGCTCGATGAGACTGGCGTCTCTGATGATTCTGATTATAAGGCCACTGGAGATTGCTCCTCTTTCTCCGAGGAGACGGTCAATCTCAATGGCGTACTGCTGAGAGGTGATAGCGGACTCGAATAGAGCGCTGGTTTCGACTTGGTCGATGACCGAAAAATAATCGGTAAGAGTCGAGTCGTCGGTGAGGGTAAGAGTGGAGTCAGAAACCGGTGAAGGTACGGGGGAGTATGCGTGCCGTGCGAAGTCGGCAGCGGTGGCGTTTTGGTATTCTTGGAGCGTTACGGGGTGCGCTTCTCTTTCGGCGGCGAGGTTCATAGCAGCGGTAATTTCTTGGATGCGGAGGATACAGAGACGGAGTCGTTCAATGGAGGACATTCTAGGGGAGTCTATAATCCATGGGCCTTTTTATAGGCGTAGAGGATCTCGGGGGCATTATCGAGATTTCCTTCTGGAACCCACTCGTTACTGGCTGATGAGTAACCCTTCCATGATATGAGATAGCGTCTTCGTTTACCCGTTCCTTTGTGCGATAAGATCGCATCAACTTCATATTCTTCTTCGTTATCAATGACATCAGGGGGTGGGTCGTGGTAGTTCGGTCCGTGAATCTCTGTTTCGTGATAGGACGATAGCTCAGACGCGTGGAATGTGGGGTGAACTTTCCACTGAGGTGGTAACTGGAGTGTGAACGTGATGGGGGATAGGACGGCGGTGATTGGGAATGGACCATATCGTTTTGGGGCGAGTTTTCGTGATGGTAACTGCGTGATTAGGTTTTTTCCGGATAACCAAACGTTATCTCCAACTTTCCACGGGTGGTACTTCTGCCCATGAGTCCTTTCTGCCATACGTTGCATTGCAAGGTTGTGGCAGGAGAGTGCTTCCTCTCTAGACTTTTGGAGCGTGCGAAGTCTGTCTTCTGCGGCTGGAACCGTGGAGCTGGGGAGGACATGAGGGAGAGCTCGTGGTTCGTATCCCATCATAAGAAAGAATGGTGAAGCATTGCGAGAGTCGTGCTTGCGATGGTTGTGGACGAATTCCGCCATAGGGAGCTGTTCTACCCAGTTTTCGGGGTTGCTTCGACAATAGATCCTAAGATAAGTTTCTAGCTCCTGATTGAGTCGTTCTGTCTGTCCATCGGTCTGGGGATGATAGGCGGTCGATGCCGCTATATCGTACTTCAGCAATTTGGCAAGGGCCTTGGAGAACTTGGATACAAATTGCGGACCACGGTCGGAGATGACTTTCTCGTGTAGGCCAAATCGGCGGTAGACGTATTTGAAAAATTTGCTGGCGACCCCTTCAGAAGTGATGGTTTTAGTACATGGGATGAGAATTACCCCCTTCGTAAGCCCATGGTCGACCACGACCATGACTGAGTCAAAACCAGAACAGGGGGGAAGGTCGGTGATCAGATCGACGGAGACCTGAGTGAAGGGTGCGGCGGCAACGGAAGGGATAGGAACAAGGGGGGGGTTCGTCGGATGAGTATCCGATTTCATCTGCTGACAAAGGGCGCAACCCTCGACGTATTTTCGAATATAGGTGCCCATAGCAGGCCACCAAAAGTCACGCTTGACCAATTCTTCGGTCTTGAAACGGCCGGGATGGCCGGCGGTGGGGTGGTCATGACATCGTTCCAAAATAAGATGACGCCCGGCGGGGCGGACGTAGGCGCGGTCTTTATAGTAAAGGATATCATCGGCGATTTTCCAATCGGAGAGAGCGGATTTCATGGGAGGGAGAGACATGCCATCCAGGGCGTCAGAGGCGGCGGTGAAGATGGGATCGGGGTCGGAGGGATCAGGGTTTACTAAAGTGGTCATGAGCTCGACGTCGAGGAGTCGGACAAACATAGAATCAGGGAGGAGGGTTTCATTGATATTGTCGTTGGCGGAGTCTGATCCGTGGTCCGGGCGGCGGGAAAGAGCATCGGGAGCGACGAGTTTAGTTCCTGCAACATGATGCAGCTCAATGTCATAGCATGACAGAATTAACTGCCATCGTGCCTGGCGACGGGTCAACTTTTGAGCCGTCCTAAAGTACAGGAGATTCTTATGGTCGGTGAATACAATGACGGGATGGGGGTTTCCTTCCAAATAATGACGCCATTCTGTTAAGGCGCGAATGACCGCGAGGAGTTCTCGGTCAAAGATTTGATAGTTACGCTCCGCGGGGTTCAGCGTTTGAGACAAATATCCACAAGGGTGGTAGACACCATTATCATCTGTTTGGAGTAGTACCGCACCGGTGGCGACTAGGGATGCGTCGGTGGCAACTGCAAACTGTCTGGAGGGATCCGGGTTTCGAAGGACTGGTTGCTTCATAAAGCATTCTTTTAATTCGTTAAAGGCGGAGGTGCATCTTTCTGTCCATAGGAACTTGACATCTTTCTTGGTAAGATCAATTAATGGTCGAGCGATGTCGGAGTAGTGGGAGATGAAGTTCCGGTAGAAGTTGCAGAAGCCTAGGAACGATCGAACTTCTTTTACGGAGGTGGGTGTAGGCCATTCCCTGATACCAGTGGTTTTAGCATCATCCATTGCGACGCACCCGGGACGAATAATCATCCCAAGGTACTCCACTTCTTGAGCATCGAAGGTGCATTTTTCCGGTTTAAGGAAAAGTTTCTCTTGTCGGATTCGCTCAAGGATACGTCGGGTGCGTTCATGATGGGAGGTTAGGTCGTTGGAGAATATGAGAATGTCGTCCATATATATAACAAGCCATCCCTCATTGATTTCTTGTTGGAACGTTCTATTCATATACGCCTGGAAAGTGGCCGGGGAGTTGCAAAGACCGAAAAACATGACGTTAGGCTCGAAAAGCCCGTACTCCGTAGTAAAGGCAGCTTTCCACCGATCTTCTGGATGAATGCGGATATTATTGTAACCTGACCGGACGTCCATCTTTGTGAAATACTTGGCACCGTGTAACCGAGCGACCAGGGAAAGTGGCAGTGGGAGCGGGTAGGCATTCTTGACGGTCCATTCGTTGATATACCGATAGTCCTGACAAGGACGAAGATCCCCACTTTTCTTTCCTACGAAGAAGAAACCGCTAGCCTGCGGTGATTTCGATTCGGAAATAAAGCCTTTCTGAACGTTTTCATCAATGAATGCCTTAACCGCTGTCCGCTCCTTTTCAGATAGCGGGTACACCTTGGACGTTTTAGGAATGAAGCCTGGTTTGGTTTCTATTCGGTGATCTATACCAGGTCGTTCTGGTGGTAATTGGTTAAGACCATCTTTTGCGAAGATATCGGCGAAGTCGTGAAGGTAAGAGGGGACGAGCTCCTCGAACGATTTCTTCTTTTGTTCCAGCCCGGCAGCTAGCGCAAATTGCTGAGCTTTATTACTTGTCTTCACGTATTCGGCGGGTAGTGTCAGAGGAGTGATTGTGGGCCGTTGTTCAGCGATGCTCGTGCCGTCTTTTGTCAAAGGGGTGTCGAGCGAGATGTTGGTAATCACCCGAAGTTCTGAAGCGTCGGCAGGGTATTCGACCAGGAATTCATCGTCTTCTAGATGGTAGGTGGAGACCTCTCGTACGGGTGGTGCGTAATCCGTTGTCCATATATCTTCCTTCGTATCGAAGGAGTCATCGTCGTCGTCCGGGATGGGTTCTAAGTTAGGCAGCGCTGACGGGGCTGCTTCTTCATCAGGTACTTCCTCTATAGTAGCACGCGGTAGTTCTTCATTGATTTTCCTGGGAGGCGCCTCAGGCAGCACTACGACCGGGGTTGGCTTTTCTTCCTTTGCCTTTTTACAGAAGAGGAGAGGCAGGCCGTTCTTCTTTCGTTCTTCGTCAACTTCTTCTTCAATCTGATCGCTCTTCTTCGTTCGAGAGAGTTCTAGCGTTTCCGCTTTCCATCGGATTACTGGGTCCATGGCGCGTAGCCAAGGGATCCCAAGTAAAATCTGATCACGTCGACCAAGTCGCGTGATGTTAAACTTTCCGATCATTGATCGGTTGTCTATCTTGACGATGAGGATACAGTATCGTTCGATAGCGCCCCCTTTTGCATAACTTCCATCCGCAGTAGTGACTCGGAATGGTTTCGAGAGTTTGTGGGTGCGGATCCCGTGGGTCTTAACAAACTCTTCAGAGATAAAGGTTCCGGCGGCGCCGGAATCAACGACTGCTGTCGTTTCGACGGTTTTCAGACGTGTCTTGGAGATGAGGGAAATGGGAACGCGAAGTTCCTTTCTGATTCCTATGCTCTGTACAAGTCTTATAGGTACATCGGAAGATACTGACGTCGATCCAGTCTTCCACATCAAAAATCCTCGGCGAGGCGACGGATCGTAGTATCTTCTTCTTCTTCACTGTCGCCTATCTCATTTCTGCGAACAGGGATCTTCTTCTTCTGTGGGCACGCTCTGGTAAGGTGGCCCTTCTGGTGACACGTGAAACATAATCCTCGTTTCATGTGGTCGCTTCTCTCAGCTTCAGTGAGTCGGTCTACCTCCATGGCATTTGGGTCGTGTCGGTCAACGGAGGGTCTGGGTACATAGCGCTGTCCAGAGGGTTTGGTAGTCATCCGATGATTGGATCTGAATGCGACACCCCTCTGGTAGTTGCTATCGAGTCTGATGACCGCGGCGATGTACTTGTCGAAGTCTGTTGGGATAGTTTCCATCTGGTAGACGGAGTTAACAATCCCTTTCTTCAATCCGTCATTGAGGAACGTGATAAGAACGGCGTCTTGCTTGACTTCTGCCTGAGCAGCAAGCGTCTTGAAGCTGGCGATATAGGAGGTGATGTCACCCGTCTGTTTCAACGTCCTGAGTTTGTTCATGGCGGTACCGACGGCGTCGGCGGGTACGAACGCTTCCCTGAACTTGGTTTCGAAGTTTGCGAAAGTTCCATAGGATTTAGCGGCGGTGTTGTCGACTTCGGTATAGAAGGTGAGTGCCCAGCCCATAGCACTTTCTTCCGTCATATATGCAAGGGCGGTAATGACTTTCTTGTCATCGGTGTTGTAGATTGTAGCGTTGAGCGTAAAATACGCTTTCAGTGCATACAACCAACGCAGTGCTCCTTGGGGGTTCCCGTCATAGGTGGACGGAGCTCCGGCTTTCAATTCTGGGATATTGGTGGACATCCTGAACGTTTCTGGTCAAAAGATGTTTCTTGTTTCAGGGGAACGTTTTCGTTCTCTCTCCGAGTTCTTCTTGGTTCTTGTATAACCTCTTTGATGAGAGGGTCGATTGGCGACTTTAATCTTTTGTTACGGCGAACCGTAGGTCGACTAGGATAGGCTCGACAATAGACACTCGATAAGAGTGACGTCTAAAGCCGAATCGTTAACCTTACAAATGTAAGGGTCTTTAAGACAAGTTGGAGAGAAAGTGTCTCCGGCTTGAATATCGATATCAGACGTTTTAAGATTGGGGGTCTTAAACGAAGGATGTTCTGGGTGAAACCTAGTAGATTAAAGTGAAGACTAACTAAGTACAAGATCCTGCTTATATAGGTAAGGCCTGCTTTAGGGCCGGTACGTACACGTCATCGAGACGAGTCAGAGATAAGAGGAATGACGTCAGCTAATGATGGCACGAGGCGGTCATGCTGTAATACATGAGTAAGCGAACAAGAGAATAGTCTAATGATGGCACACGAGTGCGGTCATGACGTAGTACAATGGAAAGGTAAGAAAAATGATAGGGGCAACCGTTACTGTAACATTCATAGATCGCCTTGGTCCAATGGGATTCAATATCTTTCATGCTCTGGTGGTAGATCTTCTACATGAGTTTGAAATTGGTGCATGGAAAATGCTATTTATTCACTTGTTGCGAATTATTGTTGTGTATGACAAGAGCTTAATTCATCGATTGGATGAGAGGTATGGTGTCAGATACCGCATTGCTGGTAGCATTGAGCTGACCTCTACCCTCAGGTATAGGCAAACCCTGACGTTTGGTGCAGCCACCATACAAAAGTTTTTGTCTAATGCTTCTGAGATGAAACATATGGCAGCTTGAAACTTTAAGGACCTCCTCCAGGTATAAGTTCACTGCATATTGATATTGAATAGGACACTGACATGCTATGTACAGTGCTCTATCCCTGTCTTCGACGATCTTCTTCCTGAACTGCATAATGGAATTGTCCTTCAGTTACTATTTACCATGGCTCATTGGCATGGTCTAGCTAAACTCCACATGCATTCTGATCTAACTCTCGATATCATGGATGAAGTGACATCAGCGCTTGGAGAACAACTTCGTAGGTTCAAGGCTACAGTCTGTGCCACGTACCAAACCTGTGAGCTGCGCCAGGAGGTTGAAGCACACGCCTGATGCAATGCAAAGAAGTCTGGGAAACAGCCCACAGGACATAAAGGAAAAGGAAGCTCTCGCCTTGTGGAGCAAGGGCAGGCAGGAAGATCAACTCAGAATGATCAGCAAACAAAGACATTCAATTTTCAAATGTACAAGTTTCATGCCTTGGGAGACTACGTGTCTATGATTCGCCAGTATGGCACATGTGATTCATATAGCACTGAACCAGTGTGTCCTATGCTTTTCAATGATGAACTTGACTCATTGACTTATTCAGGGTGAACTCGAACATCGTGCTCCAAAGGCCTGGTATTGCCACACCAATCACAAGTCATTTGTCAAACAGTTGACTCAAATTGAATGCCACCAGGCTCGCATTTGCCGTATTGGGGACAAAAGTGTTCATCGCCCCCATATCAAGATTTCTGAGTTGGCGACAAGCCCTCATGCCCACCACCATATTGGTTTGACCCAAAAGTACCCTGTACACATAGGATCATTCTTGTGCAGCCACCAAGGAGATCCAGCCATCACAGTGAGTCTATTCATGCCCCATCAGGAGACTTCTTAACTGCTCCTGCAGAATTTTTTTTCCAAATTGAAAGCCCATCTATTGCATCATTTTATTACATCAAGCAATTCCCTGGGTTCTAGCACTGAAAATAACACCAACACAATAATCATAAAGGATGATTGAATGTATCAGCATAACATCACGAGGTTCAACTTCACAACCTACGATGTTTGCAGAGGCCAAGATGTGATCAACCCGAGGACTCCCCATTGTAATGTTATGGTTCTCCACGCTGACACTGACATAAGGCATCAAGGTCACAAATATATGTACGGGAAGGTTATAGGAGTATATCACATCAATGTGATTTTTATTGGACATGGTATGGTTGGTTACACTCCCCATCAAATGGAGTTTTTATGGATATGTTGGTATGCACCCATCAATCAGGACTCCACCTGGGAGACCCTGGACCGAGTGGACTTTCCACCCCTAGAGGACGAGCACTCATTCGACTTCCTTGATCCCACAGATGTACTCAGGGGCTGTCACATTATACCTCGCTTTGCCAGTGGCAAGAGACATGTCGATGGATTGGGTGCATCAGCAAGTGCGGGAGACAAGGATGATTGGTGTGAATACCTTGTCAATCGGTGAGTCACTCGAACCATATCATTGTCATACATAGCATCTTCATGACATTTTTATGTCAGATTTGTTGACCGTGACATGCTTATGTGCTTCCACTTCGGGCTCAGTGTTGGGCATGTGTACTCTCACCACCTTGCTCTGCAGGCTGAAATTCAGCAAGATAATATTGCAGCGCAGTCCATGTCCACTTCTCATGTCGCAGAAGATGATGAAGATGCCAGAAACTCTGGAGAGGATGACAAAGGTAGAATTGATGAGGAAGATGATGATGATGATAATCCGATAGTGAATCCCATTGAACAGTGGTATGGCAGTAGCCAAGAATCACTGTTGGAACAGTACAAGGAGATGTATGTGAGCGAGGTAGAATTCAATTACGAAAATTAAATAACATTACAGTGAAAAACGTAATGACACACCATCCACGCCTACTCTAGACACTTGATGGCATTGATCTCGGCTAATTCAGTGTCCATTTTAGAGTACATATAATATTTGATGGACAGGATCCGCTTTGAGATAGTGTCGAGGCGATTTTGCTTGATCTAGCATTGAATTAGAGTTTCAGAGAGGTATGCCCAATAAAAAATTGATGGTGATCTAACTCACAAATCCATCACCCTTTCCTTGTCTTGCCAATAGCCCACAGCTTTCTTGTCCAATGCTCACAATTGCTATATGGACCCAGCTGCAATGCTTGACTCGTTTTTGTTTGACAATCCCAGCCTCATGCCCAACTCAGTAAACCTGCTCACTCAGTTCTTGCAGGGCAATTTCGTTGATCTGAATGATATTGACTTCATCAGTTATTTGTCTGTGGGACATGGGCCGATGCTGTACCCTCTATATGTAAGTACTCATGTTTCTGACATTACAAACATTTATCATTGTCAGCCTAGTGTCGACCAATGCTACATAATGCTGTACATGGTTGATTTTGTGGGAGGTTACATACTAATTTTCTTCTAGTTGACAGTACACATTTCACTCTATGCTTATGTTCTCACATCAATTGTCCATCGTTCAGTGTTCGAGACAGAACAGATGGCAGAAGTTCCCATATATGTCAATTCTGTAAGTGAAATCTTTACTGCATTTGCGGTCCCACTGAGCAGTTTTGCAGTTTTACACTGTGAATGCTCAGTTAGATCTTCCTGTGAAGTCCATGAGGGCAGGTCCCGACAACTGATTCTATGTTGTATATGATGGCGTAAGTCTGCCTTTCAAATCTATAAGTATCTCACCTGATAATATATTGTAGGTTAGTTCTAATGTTTCTAGTACTGTCATTCATCTCGCCCTCCATCCCACTGGTTATTACCCTTGGTCCAATGTTGACCTCACAGCCTTTCAGGCTATATCAGATGCACGCAACAGTGGCAGTATCCTGATCATTCCCGCCCTTGTGATGCCAGGCAATGTAAATGCTCCTGACAGTGCAAATGGTGACAAATATGAGCATTTGATACCTGGAGACCCAGTCAGTGCCCTTGCATCCCCAACAGTGACATCAAACTCACTGACCATCTATTCCTGGATTTCGTGCTCAGGCCAAATGGTGCACAGTGCCCCTGCCAGTGCCCATCAATCTCAGGCAGGTGGCGGATCAACTTGGACTTCCTCATGACAAAAGGCGAAAAAAGCTGCTAAAGCCGAAGGAGGCCTCAAGAACGTCATAGGGAGATTACCAAAGTGGAGGAAGGCCATTGCCTACCTCCAGATCGAGTTAAGAGTATCAGTTTGCACAGGTGAAATCGGAAACCCCCACCTGTTTGATTTTGAAAGTTGGGCTGCAGCTATTCAGCTAGTTTGGCCTTGTGCTCTCTCCCGGGCTAACATCAACTCCAGTGATTTGGAAATAGGTGGGCAGCTAAATCTCACTGACATGCTAGACATGCTGACTGCTTTTCAGTGAAGTTGATCAAAACTGGCACTTACATGACTCTTGAAAGTATATTGGAATTTGTGCAAATTAAATTTTACTTCCATTGGTGTAGCTCATCCCAGAATAGGTCAATCCATCGCTTTCAGAGTTTGTCTACAATATCAAGCACCTGGCATTTCACTCAATCAGTGACTCTCATGGAGGCTTTGGTTTTGATGACTTGGGTGCAGGTATCTTATTGATTGACACAGTCCAAAGACTGCTCCAGCTGTTCATCAGACCAAAATCAAATATCCTGCCAATTAGTGTGAGTGTCCCGCATCCCTTCGGTCGTTAATCTTATTTCACCCCACAGCTTAACAGGTTTGCCTGGTTCCTCACCCACCAAATTGCCAAAGAGATCATGTGGCACATTGTTTTCCGTCCAACTACCTCACACTCTGTTCGACTGGTGTTGGCTGATCTAGAGCCAGCAATGTTCAGGAGTGAAGAGTATCCACCCTTTCCAACTATGTCTCTGCTGGGGTCCAGTGTAAGTCTCTTTCCACTGTGTTTTTCATTCACTTACAACATCTTTAAGTGTTACAGTGCTCTCTTGGATAAATATTCAACTTTGACAAAAATACCTGTCAACCTACTAATTCAGTATCCAACCCTGGCTGAGGTGCATGATCAGCTCTGCGAGATGGCTGTAGTACTTGTCAATGAGCACGATGACGAAGATCACCCAGGACTCATGTCTAGCTTGGCCAAATTGTGCAACATTTCATAAGTTCATTCCAAACCTGTTGTATTGTTGCCTGATAAGAAGACAGGGTCAGTGAAGTCCACTGACTTGGCTGAACGCATGATTGACTGATATACTCATGAATGTCACCTATAGTAGTCTTGTAATGTACATTGGTATCTGTTTTTTTGGCAAACATTCATTTTGGATATTAAGTGTAACGGGAGTGTGCCATGCTAAATGTATCGAGTGTGATCATGTGGTTAGAATGTTAGTGATTCTGTGAGTCAAGTAAGCAATGCCAATGTTCACCTGCCCCATGCTCATGAACACTGTATAGAGATCAAACAAAAACTAGATAACCTTCTCATATGTCAAGAAAACATTAATCATCAAACACCTAACAAACGACACACGAAACACTTGGTATACTAAGCCAGAGATGCTCCCCTCAAACATTTTCCAAACCTAGGATGCGCTCAATTTCATCTAACTCATCCCACAGCTTCCTCAAAAAATCTCATTTTTCCTCGACCATGAGGGTGAGGATACATCTGTCCCATTGTGGCATTGGGATGGGGAGGTGGTGCAGCTGCACTTCATACAGATGGGTTTGCATGCATTCAACCAGGATTGCATTTGCATAGTCCCAGAAAGCCTAGTACATATAGATAGAATAAATTAACCACACAAAAACACTGATGACAATCAGAACTTACTGTCGCGGTTGCGGTAATTGCAAATCCAGGCTGCGCCTCATCCTGTTGCTGTCCCTGTCATATATTGTCATCAGCCCCTACATGTCATACTCACTGACGATGGTTTCAACTCACCGTTGCAGACATCAGGGGCACAAACTCATCCTGCGCCTGATCCTCCTGCTGCCTGTGGTCCTCCTGCTGCCCCTGTTCCTCCTGTTGCCCATGGTCTCCCTGGTTTCCTAGCAGTGCCTGTTGCAGGACATCATTAGCCCATTATGTATCTTACACAACGCGTTGAGTATTACTTACATGATAGTCATTGAGAAGTTGTTGAATCTGCCTCAGATTGCTCAGTTAATCCCCACACATCAAATGTCGTCAAAGACTTACATTGATCTCATTGGCATTCTCTTCAGCCATTGTGTGTGGAAGGAGTATAGTAATGAAGATGCACTTGATTGATGAAGTATGAGTCCTATTGCTGGTATGTACAAGCTTACATAATACAGCCAAACTTTGACATTCCATGAGCAAGAGTTTACTGTCCTGGGAGATTCTTAGTTACACAAGGGTCAGCGATCAAAGAATCGACTAATTCATCAACACATTGTTCAATGCATGCAAAAACTTGGTGCACTACATTTTTTTTCTTCTACACTTCAACTACCACGTCCTTCAGGAGTGCGTCTCTGATTTCTCTGCAGCTTATACCCACCTTCAGCTTCAGCATTGCAGCTCTCCTTACTTCCATCGCCCACCACAATTCATAGCACCTCAAGGTTATCTCTACTATTGGCACCAGGATCTTCTAGGAACTTGTGTTAGGGTACCGGAGCACCACCCGCTATCATTTATTTTCGTCCCTCCACTCAAATTCTCCTTTCTGCAGTGAATGGTACTTCAAATAAAAGACTACAATTGTTGATTTGTTCGTCTAAGCTATTCTGGACACAACTGTCTCGCCATGCTCAAGCACACCTCCATGGATGAAAACTTGAGGCATATTCTTGAACGGCATGACTTTCCCCTGTGTCTCTCCATCACCACCGCTAAACCCGACCTTCATCTTCCCTTTGCCCTTTTTGACATGTCTGGAAAGTCAGCAAGACTGACAGCAGGCTGCACATCTTCCTCTACTGCCATTGCCAGTGCTGCGCCTAACGAGTCCCACACATCTGCACCCTCCCAATCCACATCTGACATGATGTTCACCCACGTGTAGTTCACTGGCCGAGGCTTCATCTTTTTGTCCTTCTTGTCCCTGGTGGGCCTGGCAGTTGCCTGAGAGAACTCAGTGTCATTGTGGACTTGCAAGGTACCTTTGGCATTACCAATGTGAAGTGCCCACGCAGAAATGATTGCTTGTGGTGGACACCACACAGTCGGGTGTGTCGCCTACCAGCATGGTAAACTGCCCTTCAATATTGGCTCATGCAGCATCATGAACTGGAAGGCTGAGTAAAGCCCATCCAGCTTCCCAAATCTCATGACCCCCAATTGTGTTGATGACCACATCAAACTCCTTACATTTCCAGATCATGCCAAGGTATGTTGAACAACAAGATTAAACTTTTCAAGCATGTAACTGATATCTTTTTGCCACAGTATTTGGTCACCGATGTCTGCTGCATTGGCCAGTCAAAAAATACAGATCTGTAAAACTCATTGAATTGTCAGTATGATTTCTTCGGTCTCAATTTAGTAATTAATTCATTTTAAAGTTTGATCGCTGCATCAGCATGCCATCATGTCCAAACTAGGACAACATTGATGTGCATCATCACTTCCAGAATCCTGGTATTATAGGGTATAAGCATTCAACGATTGTGTGAATATCCCGTGAGGCCCTTGCTCCCTTCATACTTTTCAATATGTCAAATATCATTTCAGCTCCTCTTTCTATGTCCCGGCCACCTTTGAAAACCTACTTGTTGGAAATTGAACATGCCGAGAATGCCCTGAGATTATGGCTCTGGAATTTCGGGATTCATGTCGTACATAGTATGCTCACAGTGATTTCATACTGTTCATCCACAAGTTCACATCCAGCTTCCAGACTTCCTGTACATCTCAGCCTCCATGCTGTTTGAATCAGTTGACCCACATGATCTCATAGCTCTCCTCGACATGAGCATCAAGGAGCTTGCTACGCAGATGCAGCTCCAGCAAGAGGACAGTAGCACAGTACTTTTTCTGCAAAGAAGGACATGCTTAATGGAGGAGAGGATGTACCAAGCACAAATGGAGGTTTCATTATTCAGTAAAGCCATGGCAAACTTGTGCAAAAAACTGAACATGACAACTAATTCAACTAATTCACATGAATTATTCTATTCAAAGGGTCATATCCAAAAAATTCAATCTCATTCCTAGCTGCATTGTGCCTCGCTTCAAAGACGCTGCCCATGGATGCTGTCGGGTATGAAGGAGTAGATGAAGAGCTTACCTCAGTCAAATTCAACTGTTCTAAACGCATGCAGGCCACCTGATCCAAATGCATGACGTGGCTTTCTGCATGCTGCAAAGCATCGCTTCTGACATCATCACATTTTAACGACACTACAAAAGTTGGCAATAAAACTAGCCAAACACTCATTGACCCTTTACAACATCCAAATTTTTCTCACCACCAGGAAAAGCTCTTTCAGGCAAGTATTACTAATACTATGAGTGGCCTGGTGTACTGACATCATGCAGCCTGGTGAATCAATCCTTTACCTACCCAGTTACTTGAAAGCCCACATTGATGATGAGGCATGTTGTGCATACGCGAATGCATGCTTTGTGGAAATCAACATGCCCCTAGGCATCAGCATCGACAAAAGCAACATCAACAGCTTCAAAGCAATGAGTAAAACACTAGATGAACTCAAGCATGACTTTTGTATTATGTACTTGAAGAAGCAACACGCACAGTCCGAAGTGGACATGTTATCTGAAGCCATAGCACGCACTGTTGGTGAGAATGGAAATTCTGTTTCGATGTTTTTTATACTAACATTACCATCAACTCATCAGAAGGCGCGTCTTCTGCAAGTGCTACGACAATTGAATCACCCCTACCTGACGATGATTGGTTTGATGATTGGAATTCAACCTCATCCCTATCTTCCGACTCTGCACATCTGTGAGATGTGCTATCGTTGTTTGTACCAGTATTTATCTTTTTCAAAGTTCACCTCTTTCATTTATGTTTAAGTATCTTCTGTTGTACATTGGCCTTGGTTGAGTTTATATTATTCCTGCTGCCTTTTTCATTGCTTGTTTTTTTTACCAATTACCATCTCCCCAGCCCAATGACAGCGCTTTTGACAGGCAGACACATGTTCCACCTATGACATGTATATTGGAGTGATGTCTACTTGCCTGGTGCAAGGTACTGCTCATCATCTCCAACTCAAGTGTACTCCTATCATCCTTTGACTCAAATCACTTGCGACCATGAGCTTCACCACAATGCTTAACCCTCCCCCCCTCCACCCTACTATCTTTGTTTATACAACAGTTACTTTTACCTGTTTTTTTGAACCCTGCTTCTAGTGTACAGATAACATGCACCAATTCACATCATGTTGGAATTCAAACCGTGTGCCTCGTATGAACCAGAATAGCATCCTCGTCGTTTTAAGTTAATGGATGTTCTTTTTGGACTTGTGGAGGGATGGTTCTGATTTTATATTAGTTATTAGGTACCTTGCGCAGTTGTATTATGAGCAGGTCCGTTCTAGATTTTTTGTGTGTTTAAATTGATCAGCATCTAATCATTGTACCAGGGTGATCTGGTGGGCAGAAGTGCCGGGGGTCCTGGCGCAGTGGCTGGAGTCCTGGCTCGTAGGTACCCACTGCAGAGGTTTGGCCTTGGGTTTCCCTTGCAGTCCGTGCTGGTCCACCATCACACACACATCTATGCTCACACATCATATCCAACGCTCTTACATCTAATCATCTCCCCAAACACGACTCACAAAGGCCAACCAAGCATTCGCAACACGTCTCACCAGTGTCCTCCAATGAGAAGACCTTGTATGGGTCCATGACTACCATCTCTTGTTAGTCCCTCACATGCTCAAGAACGTGGTGCATTCTGGTGCTGTGAGTGGCATGAGTGGAGAGAATGGTGGGGATGTGTGAGTGCTTTTTTAATGATGACAGCAAGAGTACTGATATACTACGCATAGGGTCATCAGTCTTTTTCGTGCACACACCTTTCCTGAGTTCTGAGGTGTTTAGGTGTTTAACGTGTATGTCCTCCCCCCCTTCCTCACACCTCTACATTCCTTCCTCAAATACCCTAATCAGCACACTAACCTAACACACCTCCCTAGGCTGCAAAGAAATCCTTGACAGAATGCTAGGCACCAACCTCATCTGTTTTCAAACCTACAGCTACACCTGCCACTTCACTTCCACCTGCATTCATGTGTGCGGGTATGAGACTACTAGTAGGGGTGCTATGGCTGCATTGCTAGTGCATCGAGAGGTGCGAGCATTGCTCTGTGTGGTGCTGGTGGTGCAGGCTCGAGCAGTGTGAGTGGTACCAAGGCAATTCTCAGTGTACCCACCTGTGGAGCAAGCCTCACCTGTGGAATCAAAGCAGGTGTTGAGAAATATGTAGGCATCAACATGCTGGGACATGTGGCTGCTGTTACACATTGTCTGGTTGGGGTGGATGTGGAAAGGGTTGCAAGGGATACATGAGTTTTTTATCTGGTTTTATGTGATGGGCGATTCTGATGCGCATATATGCAATTCTAATATGCACTTTGACATATGCGAACCCTAACACATACACACATGCAAATCATAATGCGCACATGTACACAAACCAGCCTCCACACAGGAATACAACCTTAACTCAAAGCCCTTTGCATGCTCTACAAAGACAAGAATATCATCGCAGGAAGAGGCAAGTTGGATGTTGTCAAGGGGGTTTTGCAAAAGGTGATCTTTCTTTTTTTTCTTGTGCCGTTGACTGACATCATCAAAACTGATGCTATAACACCAGCTCCACACATTTGAGAAGCTCTTGCATGATTATCCAGAGTGGCAGCACAAAGTCTTGCTCATTCAGCTATGTCTAGTCATTCCATTTGCAATTTGCAACAGAACAACATTAAAAGTACAATACAACAAACTGATAAATGCCTCTTCGCAGGGTCAAGTTGAACTCATTGCACATATCAATGGGGAATATGGGAGTTTGGATTTCATGCCCATACACCACTAGTGTGTGCCCCTTTCAACATGTCTTTATGTGTCTAATTCATGATTTGTACCACATCTAATCCCTTTCCATATCGCATCTAATCCCTTCCCATACCCTATCCACATCACACCTAACTGCTGCCACCAAACCCCCTACAACCACCAAACCCTCAGAAAGGATGAATTTTATGCACTGCTGAGCACTGCAGACCTTGGGGTGATCACACCCCCAGAGACAGGCTCAGAGAGCTGTATGGCAACACTGGGAAGCGTCTGTTCTTGTTTGATTATGATGTGAGTGGTGGGTGAGGGATGCAGTATTCGGTGTTGACATTTGATGGATAGGACACACTCATGCTGATCCTCAAGATGCCATTCATGGCGCTTCCCTCTCCTGATGCACTCACTGCGCTTGCAAAGCTTACATCTGACCCAAACAATATCGTGTACATCATTTCTGGTTGGGACCAGGCATTCCTCAAGGAACATCTAGGGCACTTCCCACGCCTTGGGATGAGCGCAGAGCACGATGGATTCATCCATTCACCTGACAGCACTGTGTGGATGAATTTCACTGCAAGTTTGGACATGGGATGGAGGAAGGAAGTGGTGGAGATTTTCAGGTATCATACAGAGTGTACGACTGGGAGCCATATCGAGATGAAGAAGAGCTCTATTACTTGGCATTATCAGTCAACTGAACCAGGGTGGGGGTGCGTGTTCCGGTTCGTGTTTGTGGATTTCGTTGGGCTGATGGTTGTGGGTTGCAGACAGTTCCAGTGCAGGCAGTGCCAGGATTTGTTAGAGAATAATGTGGTGTCCAAGAGCTTGATCAAGATGCTCGTGGGTAAGAAGAATCTGGAAGTGAGGCCTATTGCTGTGAACAAGGTTTGTAGGCTTGGTCTTTGATGTACATGCTAGACTAATTGTTCTCTGAAGGGCGAGATTGTCAAGCATATATTATATCAGAACCCTGGAGTCGAGTTCATCTTCTGTGCTGGCGACAACAAAGTCTGTTCTACTGCTCCTTCCCCCATCTTACTTACTCACCCCCAACAGACCGATGAAGACATGTTCCATGCCCTACTCCTCTTCTCACCTTCCTCAATTGGTAAAGTCACGATGGAGCCCCTGCTCTCAGTGATGCTCGTTGACGATGCCACCAAGGAGTATAGTGATGTAGAGCTCATGGTGTCTCCAGAAGCTGTTTTTACAACTGCTGTTGGACATAGTAGCAAATGAACGCTTGCGAGTTGGCATGTGATGACACCTGAGGAGGTGGTGGAGCAGATGTGGTATTTGGTTGGGGAGACTCCTCAGGGAGAGGAAGTGAAGGGGTATTTGTAAGTTGCCCATTGCATAGGGTTTTTTTTTCATCTTAAGATACTGTCGTGGAATATGATTGATGTGCTTGTGCCTTAGAGTTTCTATAGACCAATAGTTATTGTTTTGATTTCATTGATGCTGGGAGTTTGGCGCACAGGATGTACAAGGGGCTTCTCGGCTTATATTCAGATGTAAATACTTTCAAGTCGTGTGTGCTGCTTGTCACGATTTATGTGTAGCTTGGAGTGCTCATCAATTATACATTATACTTACAAGTGATCCCTTTCAGTCGGCACTATGCAGTATGTGGTGAGCGGCGAGTGCAAGCTAGTATCTATAGGACACTTAAGTCTACTGTAAATGCTTGGCCATGTTGGTAATGGCCAGACAAGCAGGCTGTCATGATTGTAGTTCTTGCACCTTCTATGCAATTCAGATAAGATATCTCACTAATTAAAAATTGTTACAGTAGATTATAATTCTACTAGAGATGCAATGACCTGCAGCCATGCAGTTATCTCACTGTTGTTTGCTTACAATATGCACGCCAAGATGGTATTTCTCTGGCATAGTCTTATCTCATTTTACCTATGTGTTACACCATAAAAAATTATCTAAGGTTAAAAAATGATGTTGCAAGCAAGCTGTCATAATTGTAGTTCTTGCACCTTCTATGCAATTCAGATAAGATATATCTCCCTGTTTAAAAAATGTCACAGTGGATTACAATTCTACTAGAGATGTGATGACCTGCAGCCATTCATTTACAGTGCATGGACATGCAGTTATCTCAATGTTGTTTGCTTACAAGATGCATGCCAAGATGGTATTTCTCTGGCATAGTCTTATCTCATTTTACCTATGTGTTACACCATAATAAAATTATCTAAGGTTAAAAAATGGCATGTCATAATGAGTTTTGGTTACCAATCCTGTCTAGTCATATCAATTTCAGGTTGATTTCCTGATGCAAAAGGTGCAACACTCCTTGGGACCATCTTATCATCTGACAAGACAAATGTATCAACCATGACAGGCGACAGAGTTGCACATCCCCTTCTTATTAGCCTTGCTAACATATGCATGTCCACCTGACTCAAATCATCTTCAAATGCCTTTGTCCTTACTGCTCTACTCCCCATCCCAAAATTCATCTACAAGAAGAAACACAGGTGAGGTGTACTTGAGGATCACCTCATTCATGAATGCTTGATTATAGTTCTATGTCCACTCAAGGTAGCCGCCCATGAAGGGGTCATGCTGTCAGATCCTGTCAGACACAGTCACTACTGTTTTACACTGCTCACAAGCTATATTGTTGACACCCCAGAGGCCATGATGCTGGCTGCTGTTGGCAGGAAAACCTCTCCGGTTACTATGGCCATGTATAAACAGTTTGGAGATTCTTTCCATCATGGACCTCACACATGAGCAACTACACTCTCCCAGCTGGCTACTGTTACAAACTCGGATAGAGTGTCATTCCAATAAAGGAATCAAGATCAGGGTCTATCAAGGACTAAGCCTTATCGAGTCAACGCCTCCCTCAGGAGTGATCTCTTAGACTCCCGCAGGATCTAAGGTTCAAATGGGACAATGACTAGCCTCCTTCCCAAGGAGCTAGAGTTTGAGTATCAAGGAGAACCAAGTAGATTCAAGTTAGAGAAAATACAAGTGGTAACTAGGGTTTATATATGTAAGGGAATCATGCACAGACCAGGCTGGGCAAAGGGTAATGACTACTAAGAAAGGAAGGTTCATGAGAAAGCAAGGTATGAGTCAAAGATAAGGGAGACCATGAGGAAACAGCGCAGTGAAAAGGAAGCGTTAGAAGTACAGCCATATAGGAGTCTGCAGTGATGATGGGAAAAAGAGTGGGGCACTGTAACAGCTACTGCACAGAGTAAAGTTGATCCTGATGACATCAAGGCTTTTTTCATGAGGCACAGAAGTTTCATCTGAATGGTGTCAACACACCATTCTGGCTGGATTGGCCCCTCAGTGATCCATCACACTTTCTTACTCCTGAGTTTCTTCACCTCATCCATTGCAAGTTCTATGACCACAATGCAAAGTGGCTCATTTGTGCAGTTGGTGACACAGAGATCAATTTTCAGTTCTCTGTGTTGCAGGTCATCACTGGGTTCCATCATTTTCATGGTGGGATTTCAAAACTTAAACAGGTTACAGGACATGCTCAATGCAATGTCCAGTGCTCAATTGTTGCAGTCAGTATGGATGCAGTACCTAGCACCATGATGACTGCTGTACAAGCTCTCATGGACTTTCAGTACCTTGTACAGTCACCCATAATTGATGACATCCAACTCACCCATATTTCCACAGCCCTTGAAGAATTTCATGCCAACAAAGATGCAATTATAGACAGCGGATTTTGTTGTGGTCAGCATGGTGGAGTCATTGAGAACTGGTACATACCAAAGCTGGAGCTCATGCAGTCCATAGTTCCAAGCATAAGGAACACTGGAGTTCCTCTGCAATGGACCACTGACACCACTGAACATGCGCACATAACAGCAATCAAGGATCCTGCTTTCTCCAGCAACAACAACTATGATCCCCAGATATGTCGCCATCTTGACCGTACCAATAAATGCTGACCTCGCTATGAGTCTGCTCAACAATATGACAGACTCGAAGCAGCAGGGTTCAGATGATGTTGGTGATGTTGACAACAACATTGATCTCAATGCAGATCATGATGATAATGATGGTGATGTTGGTGCTGTTGATTTTGATGCAGATGTCAATCATGATATCCCAGACCTTCTGGCAATGAGAAAATACCCTGGGCATCCATGTCCGACCACTAATTACTTCAAAATTGCCAAGGTCCTTCAGCACAGGGAAGTGGGAACAGTCCCTGTGCCATTGTGCTCATTCATTACTGAATGCACAGCATTCCACCTCACCTATGACCCATCCATCAGAAATATATCTGTTGACAATGCTGCCATTAAGTTTGGCCTTCCTAACTTACAACACTTCAGTCACCCCTCTTAAAGTACCTCTTAGGTACATATATTCTGGCTTACAATCCCACCTAAGAAGCATGATCTTAGATGGTATTCCCATGCAATGCAGGTTGTATCCCAGGCCAATTCAATACTTTCCCCACAAAGCCTGGGCCTGCTGGGCCAATGTATTTGATCTGTCCCATGACCCATCTGGGTTATCCTAAATTCTTTATTATATGAATGCACAGGGGGTGTCAGGGGTCATTTCTCATGAAAAATTACCCACACATTTAGACACTTAGAGTATATGTTTGTCTTCATATGATCCTTGACCTACAAATGGAGGAGGTGAAAAGAAATTTGTGGTAGGAGGGGGGGTTGTCTTTGAAGATGAGGGAAGAATGTAAGTCAGGTGAGGTCCTTGACCAATGAAATTCAAATTGGCTGGAGGAGGTGGGAAGAAATTTGTGGTAGGAGGGGGGGTTGTCTTTGAAGATGAGGGAGGAATGTAAGTCAGGTAAGGTCCTTGACCATGCCCTCACTCCAGATACTGACATATTTTGCACTCCATCTGGTTAATTTCGTGCAATTGGAACATGCCCTGCACCACAATACTCCAGGTTTTATTAGAGTAAGTGTCATCACATATTACTTTGGATGTGAGCATGAAAGTGGAAACAGAAAGACAGTGACTGGTCAATGTGGGATAGCCCACCACTGATTGGGCTAGCCCAGCACTCTCCTATACATGATGTGGGCTAGCCCACTGCTGGTTTATAAGGTGACTGGGCCAGCCCAGCACTCTCCTATGTATGATGTGGGATAGCCCACTGCTGGTTTATATGGTGACTGGGCTGGCCCAGCACTCTCCTATGCATGATGTGGGATAGCCCACTACTGGTTTATATGGTGACTGGGTTGGCCCAGCACTCTCCTATGCATGATGCGGGATAGCCCACTACTGGTTTATATGGTGACTGGGTTGGCCCAGCACTCTCCTACACATGATGTGGGATAGCCCACCGCTTGTTTGTATGGTGACTGGGCTGGCCCAGTCTAAATGTTATTACTTGTTTATCACTATTTTTCCACATTCTATAAAAGTTCTGTACAGTTTTTCTTCTCTCTTTCTTCTACATTCTATTTTGCAACATCCTCATTCAGTATTAGACCTTCAATTGTTCTCTCTCCTTTCTTTACTATTTCACTAGGTTGCTCATCTGGGTCAGTACTTGTTTTTTTTTGTAATATTCCCTGTGGTGACTTGCTCTTGCAAATCTGACATTAGTTCAGCAGCACATTCCATGACTCACCAACAATCTCTCAAATTCCTAACCTATGATTTCATCAATCTCTGGTTCTTAATTGTCCTCATCCTCCTTATCATCATGATCATTCTCTATGCAAACTACATCCTTTATCTTCAATGCACAACTACCAATAGGTTAAATGCCATTGGGCTTCAACCCACCAGTATGGGGCTTCCATGGACCAGATCACCAAGCCCTTCTGTTCTTGTTGCCTAACCTCACACAATATCCAAGTGCAGGACTTTCATGTTAGTACTTCACTATCCCTTCTTACCCAGCTGCCTGATAGGTGTGATATGGGTTAGCTTCTTACTTGTTCAATATTCAAGGGACAGTCTATTATACACAGCAGGATAGCCCATCACTACTTTCATATGCATGGGTCAGCCCAATACAAGCCCTTATACACAGCAGGATAGCCCATTGGTACTTTCATACATAGTACAGGTCAGCCCAATACAAGCCCTGGGCTGGCCCACTGCATATTGCATAGCCACTGGGCTGACCCACTGCATATATATATCTTCAAAATACCACCAGGGATAGCCCATCACTACTTACATATGTATGGGACAGCCCAATACAAGCCCTGGGCTGGCCCACCACATATTACATAGACACTGGGCTGACCCACTGCATATATATATATCTTCAAAATACCACCAGGGATAGCCCACTTACCATCAATTGATCCTTGGGATGACCCAGCAACTCAATATATATATATAAATGGGATAGTTCATTATTCTTAATTTATTAAGTGGGATGGCCATGATGACCTAAATTTACACATATGAAAACTCTTCAATGCTGACATTATCTTTTGAGTGCCCATTGTGCACCACAGTTTGGGACCACAAAACACATAGTCATTCAAACTATCATATACAAGTACATACACAATAGTTTGAGTGATATGAAACATTAGTCACGGTAAATGAAATCATGATCATGCAAATCATACCCAGGAGCCAGAGTGTTCCTGCCATAATTGGATCTCTCACATGCCCTTGCAACCACTCTCAAAGGGCCTGCAGCTGAAAAATCATGGTGGTGATGATGGGCAACATTATACCCATAGGAATGAAGATGACACGGAGACACCTGCTGTACCTCATCATCCCAGTGTTGAGGTAGTTCATAGTCAGATGTAGGTGCACAAGGGCGAGGTTGAGATTGAAGTCGAGGTCAAGGATGAGCAGGGACAAAGTGCAGAGGTGGCAATTCAACATGTGGCTGCACCATAACAATAATGTACAACCTGAAAATTAACTTGAATGAGATAATGATAGAAGATATCAGTCTTCAGCTCACCTTTGACTTCTTTGTGATGCAAGAGTTTGATGCATTCAAGCTATCAACCTCAGATTCAAGTTGTTGATCTGCTAGACACTTAATTAGAACCTGCAAGTAATTCATGGACTTGCCATAATCCTCTGCATGTGGTTGCTTGTGAGACTTCTGTTGCTGAAATACCAATGGGCAGCATTCTGGAATGGGCAGACCATCATCAGTGTAGTGCTTCTCACAAACAATTGAATATTCACAAGCAGTGGAGGTCTGTTGTTGAGACCAGTGATCCTGAGTAGTATCTTCAAGCTGCCTTCCTCCCAAAGGGGCACTGACATTTAAACCACATATTGATGTTGCTTCCTTGTACTTTTGAAGCAACCCTTTGTGGATGGAGTGCTTGAATTTCTTGGAGTCCCTAAGTTTCTAGAGCATAATGTGGGAAGCACTGGTGACCAAAGGAATGTCAAACATTTTGGGGTTATCTTTTTCACATTGCTTGATGTGATCTGAAGCAACAACATTAGACATGAAAATGAACAGGGCAATAAGTACCTTTCAGCCAAGGAACAATATCAATCTCAGACACAGCGATGTCCAACTTGTCAATGATATCATCAAGAGTTTTATCGCTGCATCCTTGCTTGCGCTGAAGTTTGAGTAAGTTCTCAGCTTCTGTCTTCAGTTCAGTGTCATAATGTTGTGAAGCCTTGCACTTGATGTAAGGCATGACAAGTAACTTCAGGTGTTGTGTGCTGAGGGTGTGGTAGTTGAAGTCTGGGCCAACCGGGGGAACTTCGTCAGGCCAGAGTTTGAATTGAAACTTGTTCTGGTATGCAACATTGAGTAACTTCTGCCACTGGACAGACTTCATTTTGTAGCCGAATTGTTCTGTTGAATTGAATTAAAATCAAGTCATGGATGGGAATAAGCCGAGCTTACCTAGTTTCTCAAGGACCATGACTGGCCAGATACATCAGTAACAATCCTGTGGGGCTTCACCAGGCTTCGAAACAAAATATCATATGCCCCTCCAAACTGCAGCATTGCAAGCTGGTAGTTTTTTGCCCTGGACACATTGTAAGATTAAACTTAGAGTAGTTCCAAGCCACATACTTTGCTGCAGTAATAATCCAATCTAACGCAAGTTGGGCATCCACTTGGCATTCATTGATGAGATCCATGAAGGTGGATGAGCCTGTAACAAAACCCAAGGCCTGTCAGGCCACTTCATCAGGAGTTGAATCAAAGACACAGCCAATGACCTCAATGCCTTCTAGGCGAGAATAAGCTGCAAACTTTGCAACAGTAAGCCATAATACAAACAAGTACTGTCAAAAGACTTACACACTTAGTGAGTGCATCCCTTGTAGACATAACAATACTGGCACACGATCAATTGTTGCTAGCACTGCCCAAGTGACAATCATAGTGTGCTTGTATGTCATCCCACAGCAGGTCACTGTCTTGAAGGCTGTAGTAGTGGTCATGCTGTCTCTTTCTCCAATCACCAAGTTCTACAAGAGGATATTGGTTATTGTGGGCACCACAACATGAGATAAATACTCACCTTCATCAGTTTCTCGAGGATATTTTCCTTTGTACCATCCTTGGTGCATGTTCCATGGGGTCTCTGCCCTGGAGTGTTTCACAGACAACCTGGCCTCAATGAGTATTGTATGTGCAGATTTTCCATATTTGTCACCAATTATCTTGGCAGTGTGAAGTGTCTTGTGCCCAAGCTCCTGCACGTCATCTATGCCTTCCCGGCACAGCCACCCAGGTCTAGAAGTGATGGGAAGGTCATTGTTGTCATCATCAGTCTCCATTGCCATGGAGCTTTTTGGCAGAGCACTGGAGATGGCACTCTTCTTGACTGACTTCATCATCACATGCACAGCAGCCTGGAGTACCTGGGTGGATGGGGGAGTCTCTGTTACTGTGAATTTTGGGGGGAGAGCTTTTGGAGGCGCATGCTTCTTGGGCAATTTCGCCTTTGATGGAGGTGCAGGTATCTCATTGTCATTGTCATTGTCTTCTTCTTCTTTTTCTTCGTCGGCATCTTGATCTTCTTTGTATTCATCATCTTCATCAGACTCCTCTTCAGAAGAGGAAGGATCATGCTGAGCAAGCATTGCATGGCATTCAGCCCATCTCCTTGCTTCTTGATTTTGGTACAGGTAGTTGTTCTCCAAGGAAGAATCTTCATCCTCTGGAGTATCAGAGGGGGGTAAGGATTCTGGGAGACAAAAAGTACTGTTAGTAAAAATGATTCATGGGAAACAGTGGTACATACCACAAATTTTGGGATCATCTACAAGATTACCCTTGTGAGCATCCACTTGTCCTTCACCATTGTCCTCATCATCTGTGACAGGGTCATCAGTCTTGGGGTGGTCTTTGTAATAGTCATGTCAGTGGGTAGTTACTCGGTTTGTAGAATGGCCTGCCCATACCTTGGGTATCAGACTCAGCATCAGTGCGATGGCTCTGTGGTAGCAATGGAGGATTTCATGTGCCAGGCAAGGATGGCACTGTAGTCGTCAAAGCTCATGAATGAGTTCCCCCTCAGCAAGGGGGTAGGTTTGATTTTTTTGGTGGGTGGTAGTGTCTAAGGTGTCATTATTACATTAGTAAATAGACAAAAAGGAAGGAAGGGATGCCTACCATTTTAGTCTGAAGCTTTCAAAGACGACAAATATCAATGTCTTGTGATAAATAAAATTCAAGTAAAAATAGATGTACCATGCATTGGTTGATAGGTGCACCACTGTGGGTACACATCACGAAGTCGACTAACTGGAGTTTCCATCCTGTGGGTTAGCGCACTTTTTGGTAGAAGATGATTTTTTGGGAGGCATGGCAGAGGGAGCTTGACAAATTCTGAACTTAAGAGATCTATGGACACGAATATGACAGAAAGCAGCTTGAAGAACATACGAAGTCCTTTTCAGAGGCCAAGACACAAAGTCTCACAAACAGTGAATGCAAGTAAAAACTGATGTAGGAGTAAGTTAGAACAATAGACAACGTGATGGGGAAATTCTAACCTACCTGACTTTTCAAGCAAATTCTCAAGATGGAAGGAAAATACTGTAGTCAGAATAGTTTTGAGTGACAGAGAGTTGATGGTGAAAATTTTGAGCATACCTGGTTTTTAAAGGTAGGAACAGGGCGCCTACAGTGTACTAGGCAATATATGGATAAGATTGTTGGCTGGATGATGAACAGACTTCAACAGAAGACTTCAATACTCTAATGGCGTGGCTTCCCAGATGGCAGATGACACACAGACCACATTTGGGATGGGCAAGGCCATCAGTGGACATTGCTGTGGGTGGACACTAATTAATGAAAAATGATTAGCAGAAACTGCAGGCTGGACTAACCTGATAGGGCCAGATTGTCAGTAGAGACCACAATGATGAGTGTCACCAATATAGGAGGAAAGAGAGCGTGGATGGATGGCGCATCATCTGTTGGATTGGTCTGCTGGCCGAAGTAGCATGCAGAGTACCCAAATTAATTACGGAAAAGTCTAGTTCAATTGATAATTGTCACAATGAATTGATCAGAAACAATACTTAGACCAGATTGTGGGCAATGCTCTCACCCTGATGGTCATTTACACTGCCAGGCTAATAAATGCAAGTCTCCAAGAACATCTCTTTGAGCATGTGGTGCTGCCTGCCAAGCTATCAGCTTTAAGTGAATGCTTAACATCATCGCAAGCGGAAAGTCCTGTCAATGACATTTTAATAGTCTGAGGAGTGACATGCCAGATGGGATGATATGCACTGACAGGTTTGTACCCAGCTGGATTGATTGATATCAATTATCAGACACTGTGGTCGACAAACGATAATGCTCTCACCTGATATGGCTGATATTCAATAACCCTGTGAGGAATGGGCAAGAGCATCGCAGACTGCATCTAATTCAAGTGTGATGATGGGTGCTGACGATTAGATGTGAGTTAGACAATTAAGAATGGTTCTACACACCTGTATGTAGACCATGTCTGATCCTTCGCCTTTGACAGACACTGACCAACGGTTGTGCTAGGAAATACTGGAACATAAGTTGAGTACAGGGAGATGAAAAGTGAACTATGACTTAGCTACCAGACAGTGTCAACAATAGCACCCAATGACATCTGCTATCGCAAAGGCAGGAGCTCCAAGAGACTGATGAGGGTGTCAAAGTAATTCGAGATGGTAAGCCAGACATCAGAGGATGGTGGCAGATTGAGTAGTCGTAACAGTGCTAACATAAAGTCACTTCCAATAGTGTGAGCTACCGTGCAAGGCAGCTTCAGAGGAGTCAAGGGGCAGATTAATGCAGGAATAGAGAGGAGGAAGGTGGTGTAGTTGGCTGAGGTTGACTGAATGTTAGTTCCAACTTCTCACAATTCTCATTTGTCACAAGCCCATTTGGGTCATCCCAGGGTGTAATCACACTTTGCACCTTACCTTCACCTCACCTTTACCTTGTCACTTGCTCTTTCCAACTCTTCCTTCTTCTCCCATTGTTGGTGTTGATTATTCTGCCTTTGTGGTAGACAACCCTATTCCAGTGACTTTGTGTTACTGTGCAATAGCACTCGCTACTCTAACTTCAGTTACAGTACTATACCCTTCATCACCTTCAGATTCCTCTTAGGTTGTACTTACTGTGCCTTTGTTGGTTCGTTGCTCGATCACTCACTCTCATTGGATAGTCACCTTTCCATTATTTGCAGTCCTCTGACAATGCCTCTGACAATACCTCATGAATTCAAACCATTCTTATGCACAGTGACAGTAAGTACCCTTGGTAATTGTCCTGTGATCCTCCTCTAATTTTGATATAGATGCTATCACAGCTACAGATGCATGCTCTCTCGCCTATGATGGTCAACTCATTTTCACTTCACCTAACATGACTTTTGTTCCCCAACTATACGACAATCCCTCCAATATTGTGCAAGTGAGGGTGGATGGGGGGTTTTGGGTGATGAATCCTTTCCAGTGGCCTCAAATGTATGCAGACACTTACACCTGGAGTTTTACCATTCCATGACGCGAATTCCATGATCCTAGCACTGACCTATGGTATGCTTGGTGGTCGCCAGCTTTTTCTGATGATTTTGAGCCACTATCTCCTGGTCATGTCTTTGGCAAGCTGAAGTCCACCCACCGTGATCACCTATTTCGACTCTATAAGCGGGCTAACAAGTGTGTCGGTTCCTACAAGCTATTCCAAGAAAACAAGCAAGATGCAGTTGTTGGATGGGTCACTGGGTTGCGCTCTGTATTCCCACCCTCTCCTGCGCCTATCCCCATTTAGGCATTCTCTGCCTTCCAGCTTTCGGTTACCTCTTGTTCCGTCTTGCTTATTGATCCTTGTATGAGTCTTCATCTCTGAGTCCATTTATTTATGTTCCGTCTTACTTACTAATGTGTTTCCACATGCTTGTACATAGCCTTGCTCCTTTGCTTACTGATTCCCTCAGATATTGTTCAAGTATATAACCCCTGTAGATACTCCTGTAGTTTCCTGAGTTTGAATATCAACTTAGACTTGCCCAATCCTCTCTCGGACTTTGGTCCACCTAAGTCTGTCCTACCCATCAGGCCTAGGGATTGATTCCCTAGGCTGGAGCTCCGCCTTTCCAGCACTTACCCTCTTTCTGGACTTAGGTCCAATCCCTGTCTCTCTGACTCTACCTTAGGGTAGTCTACCTCTGTTTGTTTCTACATCAGACAGAGTCCGATGTAGCCCCTATTTCTTCCAGACCTCCGGACCTCCTGTCCCTCATACCTCCAGGCATCCTGTCCTTTGGACATTCCACCCTCCGTACCTTCAGACGTTCCATCCTCCTAACCCTTGGACATCCTGTCCTTTTGTCCTCCATCATCCTGCCCTCCTGCCCTCCTGTCCTTCTGTCCTCCTGTCCTCCCATCCTTCCATCCTGTTTCCTGTAGAAGTATTACCTTGCAGTGGGAACTCTCCTGAACACCTCCTGTGTTCCTCCAGAACTCTCCCACGCTCCTCCAGATGTTTCCCACACTCCTCTGGACTTTGTCAGACCATCATTGGACCTCATATGAAATGAAGGGCACATACTTGGGTAAGGGGCACAGTGTATGAGCTGAGGCCAAGCCCCTCTGAGTCAGTCTATCCCTCCCTTGAGCAACATGGTTCTTAACAAAGACCATGAAAAATAAGTCTGTAGTATGTGAGTGCAGTGTCTAATTTCAGTTCACCATTCTTATCTAACAATTATCTAGATGAACTGACTGCTCTGCACCAGAACCAGTCTCAAGTTGGATGTGACAAATGGTCTGATGTGGCTCACCCATTCATGCCCAACATCAACACCTTCTTTGCATCAGCTATGACTCACGCAGAGAAAGATTTGAGTTGTGTCAAGCCAACCCACACAAGAATGGATGAGGAATACAGGCTCCCCTATCCTGGATTATTTGTCAATGTCCTTTCCTCACAGTCTCTGAAGAAATATCTCACTAACTGGTTGGCATGCTGTGAGTTGTGGCTGAGGCATGTTTATATGTTGCTGTTAAGGTCGTACTCAAAGGGTAACTGGATCTGAAGGGCTTCGGCCTCAGCTCATGCGCTGTGCCCCTTACCCAAGTATTGCCCCTTATTTCAGGAAGGCAAGACTAGCGCGTCCAGAAGGTCAGACGAGTAGCGTAGTGGATCCAGATGACTTCCAGATGAGGGATAAGTATCGTATGGCTAATCTGGATGAGTCCAGACTAGAAACTAACAGTAGTGGACTGTCAGGGACAGAGGCGGATATGGATAGACTATAGGAATCAATCCTAAGTCTTGGAGGGTGACGAGAGTAGAGGTACTCAAGTCCAGAGGACAGGAATGAGCAGAACTAAGATGATATTTGAACTGAGGTACTACAGAAAGTTACAGGAGGTTATATACTATAGGTATCTAATGGAATGATCAATCAGCAGAGTCTGAGGCTATGTACAAAGCATGTGGATAGTCTATTGGTAAGTAGAAATGGATCACAAATCATGAAACGGAAATGAAACATAGGTAGCGGGTAAGGGAGCAGGACGGATATACAGATAACCAAAATACCGGAGTTAGGGGGTTACTGAAAAGAGATGAGTGCTGGTTGTGGATTCAGATGAGTTGTGGACTGGACTGGATGAGTGGACAGATTGAATGATGAGATGTTGGAGGGGGATAAGATGTGGATAGCATTGGAGATAAGATGTGGATCTGAGATAAGGGTCGGATCTGAGATCCAGATATGTGGATATGACAGTTGCCTCCATCTCCACTCCCTTGGTCCAAAAGCTGGCATGATCTATTGATCATGCAGCCAACAACACCACAGCCCTTGTTGTCAGGTGGTCAGATGCCATCAGGCAAGACTGGCAAGTCCAAAGCCAAACTTGACCTGTTCTTTGGAGATGAATTATTGCTCCTATGCCAGTTTTGGACTGGATTCCAGATGTTGCAATGGAGGGGTCAGGAAATCAAAGCAGCAATGCTCAAGAATCTGCTGCATCATCTCATTCAACAGATCATATACAAGATTTGCAAGCAAAGCTTCTAATACAACCTTCTGGAACTCAATGAACATCTTGCTGGTCATATGCAGCTGGATTGGGAGGTGAAGAAGCGTCGCATGGAGTTTCGAGCCCCTTCAGTGACAAACTCCATATTATACGGGTCACCCAACCTACATAATATCCCATATAAGATGGGCCAGTGGACTATGGGCCAATGTTATGTATATCCTCAATGTTGACAGGTGGGCTGGGAGGGATATTATTTCTGATGGGGATGGGTGGGCCCATCTATGCTGATGTTATAAATATCCTCAATGATGGCAGATGGGCCAGAAGAAATATTATTACCGATGGAGATGGGTGGGCCCATCTGGGCAATATGTAGAGTAGGATAGACATATATTATAGACAGCTGGGCTGAAGAGAGATGTATGGTAGATATTATTATATAGATGGGTGGGCTGACATATTAGTATTATTTGTAGACAGGTGGGCCGCTGAGGTGGGGGTTATATTAGATAGATGGGTGGGCCAATGTAGGGTATATTAGATAGACGGGTGGGCCGACGGAGGGGGATGTCATATAAATGGGTGGGCCAATGTAGGGTATATTAGATAGACAGGTGGGCTGATGGGGCGGGGAAATATGTATTATATATATGGGTGGGCCGATGGGGCGGGGAAATATGTATTATATATACAGGTGGGCCGATGGAGGGGGATGTCATATAAATGGGTGGGCCAATGTAGGGTATATTAGATAAATGGGTATGCCCAAATACATATCATTTAGACATATGGGCCAAGGTATTGGTATACTATATGGACATATGAGCAATGCTGTTGCACTAGTTTTGATCCAAGTCATCAATGACATTCAGACTCAGATCCTGTCAATGTCAATCAAAGTCAACACAGTGAGTACCAAGTCCTGAAACCTGAACATTGAACCACAAACATCAAAACCCAAAACCCAAAACTTCAAAACACCAACATCAAAACTCAAAACTCAAAACTCAAACATTTGTATGACTGTTGAGTTTCCTGTCTTGAATCACTGAGGCCCACATACTGAATGCTGACACCTGAAGTTGTGTCAGTAGTTGGACTTCAGGACTCGGTGATTTGATACTTGAAAGTCATACCAATATCTGAATTTCAAGTTTCAAATTTCGAGTTTCAAGACTCGAATCACTGAGTCCCGAAGCCCGACACCCAAAACTTGAAAGTTGTAAAAATGTTTGAGTTTTGAGTTTTGAGTTTGAAAATCAATACTCGAAACTCATACATTTTTACAACTTTTGAGTTTTGAGACTTGAATCACTGAGTCCTGAAACCTGAAACCCGACACCTGAAACTCGAAAGTTGTAAAAATGTATGAGTTTCAAGTATTGATTTTCAAACTCAAAACTCAAAACTCATACATTTTTACAACTTTCATGTTTTGGGTGTTGGGCTTCGGGTTTCAGGACTTGGTGATTCGAGTCTTGAAACTCAAAACTCGAAATTCAGATATTGGTATGACTTTCGAGTTTCAGGTGTTGGGTTTCGATGTTCAAGTTTCAGGACTCGGGACTTGGTGATTCGAGTCTTGAAACTCAAAACTCAAAACTCAAAACTCAAAACTCAAAACTCAACATTCAGATATTGGTATGACTTTTGAGTTTCGGGTGTTGGGTTTCAATGTTCAGGACTTGGGACTTGAAACCCCACAGTTGTGACAATGTATGAGTTTCAAGTTTTGAGTCTTGAATCACTGAGTCCTGAGTCCCGAGTCCCAAAACCTGAACATTGAACCCCTTATATCAAACCCCAAAATCCAAAACTCAAAACTCATCAAAATGTATAAGCTTTGAGGTTTGAGTGTTGATTTGTAAACTCAACACTCAAAACTCAAAGCTCATACATTTCAATGAGTTTCGAGTTTCAGATTTCAGGGTTTGATATAAGGGGTTTGATGTTCAGGTTTTGGGACTCGGGACTCAGTGATTTGAGACTCAAAACTTGAAACTCATACATTGTCACGACTGTCAGGTTTTGAGTTTTGATCTTTGTTTCTAAGTTTCAGGTTTTGCTACTCGGTACTTGAGACTCAGTGATTGAATAAATGGACTGGCAGAGGTAACATTCATTGGAAAACTTGTACATATGTCTATCACTATGCAATTATGTAGCCATGTCAACCTCCTCAGAAGATGCTTCAACCTTCACCTCAACATCCATGTCATTGGAAGAATCATATTCTGGGACCAGGTTGCCTGGATCACCTGGGTCCACAATTTCACCAGATGTATCTGGAACCTCTGGTTGAACAACCCAGTTGTACTCAAACAGGAGGCCCTCAATGGCAGAGGCATCCTCAAATTTCGGGGGTGTGGGTATCATCTCTCCAATCAAGAGATCAATGAGAGGGGGGAGTGCAGATGCAGATGGTGACATGGTCGGGGGGATGGATTGATCAAGCAACAAGGATGTTGCATTGGCCGGAGGTTCAGGAAGTGGGAATGTGGGGTGCTGGTCAATGATTTCACACCTAAGGCCTTCATGGAGGCATTGCAGGGTATCAATCTTACCATCCTGCTCTGCCACACGAGCCTCAAGAATGGCAATGCGAGCTGTGCCATCCCAAATCACAATTGCCATGGCATGGAGATCTGGCATGGGCAGGTTGAGTGCTGCAGCAGGGACTGCCAGACCAGGTGCTGGAGCAGGGACTGCCGAACTCAAAGACAGAGGTGCTACAAGGGAAAATAATGGTCAGATGGTAATGAAACAAAACTCGGGTGACTTATGAGCTGGTGCAGGTGTGGGTGCCTTGATGGCAGTGATGGTCTTGCTGTGACCATGCATCTGGGTCTTGGGAGTTGTCACAGCAGTGACACCTGGAGTTCCAGACTTGCCACAAGACTGACTGCAAGTCTGGGCCTTGGATTGGGAGGTGGGGGGAGCTTTGGAGGGAGCCTTGAAGGGCGTCCTGGACTTTGTGTTCTGGGTGGTAGAGGACCCATGAACACATTTCGGCGGGGTACCCATAGTCGCCAGGATGCACTTGACCTTCTTTGTTGTGCAGCAGACGCATGACATGCATGGATTCCCAGTCCTCTTGTCCAACCAAGTTGCACAGGGCCACTTTAGCTTGGTGCAAGCCTGGCATGAGTTGTTCTGTGGATTGTGTTAGTGAATGGACACTTTCAAATAAATCAAAGTACTCACTGGTCTGGGAATGAGAATATCACCTTCATCGATGACTGGGGGTGCCTCCACTGGGCTTTCGGGAGTTGGCTGGGAGGGCTCGATGACCACTGGGTGACTGCTGGCAATCACCTGGTACAGTGTGAGCATACACCTGAGTCCTGGACACATAAATGTGACTTACTGTAGTGGGGCCAAAGGGCTTTTTGGTCAGAACCCAGGGTGATCTAGGCAGATTGGAGAGCCAGGGAAGGATGACTTCTGGCACTCCACCTGACAATGGCTACAAGAAACTGTGAGCCAAGTCAAAGACAAACCAGACAACATACCTGAATACCCATGTCTTCCTCATCTTCCAAGTCCACTAGGGGCTTGGACATCACCCAGCAAGAGGACTTCGCATGCTTGTGAGTCTTCATCACAGACTTTGGCAGTTGGGAGGAGAGTCCCAAAATCATAGGAGACTTCCTCTTCTGGCTCCCTTCCAGCTTGGGCTCCGGGTCAGCATCAACAGCCTTACATTTCCCCTTGTCCCAGAACTCGGTGGTGGTGCCGGTGGAGGGACTGGCGACATTGCTGGCACAGATGGGTGGGGAGGGAAGGTCCACTGGAATCAGACCTGTGAAGGGAGGAGCAGCAACTGGGAGATCAAGGTATGGTCACCTAAGGCCTCCCAGGCGAGGAGCTTGGGGGCACCAGACATGTGTCAAGAGACAGGGATCATTGTACCTGATGTTGTACCAGTTGGGCCAGACCTGGGGAGTCATGCCCTGGATGCGCAATAGCTCCTTGGAGCATGAAAGCATGATGCTGGGCAGGGGTCCAGACCCATAGTCCTTGATCACTTGAGCCTGCCTGGATGTTAGAGAGAAAAAAGAAAAGAAAAAAGAAAGCTACATACCACAAGTGAACTGACCTGTGTTGTCAGAGAAAAGTGGCTGTTACCTGGGGGAACCTGCTGGGTGTCGCTGATGATGGCCATGATCTGGGCAGTGGATGCCTTGAGACCAGTCAAAGAGTTGTCAACTGGAGTGGACATGATGATTGAGTTGAGAGATTTAAAGATCTTCAAATAGGGTTGAAATCAGTTATCACAAGGATGAAGTTTCAAAAGAAACAACATATTTGATGAATGATTGATAAAATCATTGATTGTTTGTCTTTGTTTGGTCCCAGTTCAACTTCTGGCAATCGCCATGTTTTGTGTTGAACTTCGAAGTTTTTTCAATTATCAGTCAACAAATCAGTAAGTTCCCCACACAACATGAGTCCACAGTCAGCCGTTCAATTCAATGGCCCTCTGGTGACCGACTACAATTCAATGGATGTGGATGAGTCCACTGTGTCCTGGGCATCACTAGGTGTGTTGTATTTTTATCATGCCTTATCTATTTACCAGATATCCCTTAGATGATCCATACCTAGGGCCGGATGATGACATAGAATATGATTCTCCATCATCTGGATCACCGGATGTCTTGGCTGCAATACCCAGTGAGTTGATCCATTCATTAGGATCGAGGATCACCATGCATGCTCACTAACCCCTTGCAGATCAATCACCTCTGGCTCAAGCTGATCATCCAGGTTTTCTCATTGATCCAGACTTGTACCTCGGGCTTGAGGATGATATCATTGATGTGGATGAGTTGCCGGATTCTGCCGATCCTAAGATTGATGTTCCGGCTGCATCAGAAGCATCTATGTCATGTGAGTCCATTCATTCCAGAGGATTATAGATACTTATTGTATCTCCCAAGTGGATGACACCTCTAATGAACTTCAGTCAGAGCAGCCAGAGCTCACTAATGAAGATTTATGTTTGATGGCCTGGGAGTTCCGACCATTCGGGTCATATGAACACACTGGGTGTGAGTATCTGACCAAGCAGATCATTTATCTCTGTGCTAATTTGTCTGCAAGTGCAATCCGTTCAAGATCAACTTGGTGATTACAAACACCATACCAGGGATCTTCCTGATCCTTCCATTCCACTGCTACTCAAGGCTGAGTGACCCTTCTGGATGGCTTGGGCAGAAACTTCCGACAAACTCAGAAGAGCTGATGCAGACCTCCAGAGGTTGCAAAGAGCCCAACGGATGAGCATTGAAATGCTCAAGGTAGTAGATTCACTGATCAATCAGTTTGAAGATCAGATTCAAATGTAAAGTACCAAATGTTTGATAGTAGTCAAACCACATGTAAACAACCAAATTTGCGATGCATTCCTCTTCCATTTCCAATTGAGTTCTGGAGGCTCAGGAGTCCTGGGTGTCAAACATGGAAGTTTAAGTCTCACTTTGGCTCACTGAGTCCTGAGTGTCAAACACTGAAGTTCAATTCTTGCTGTCCAGAAGATCACCAAGTCCTGAGTTCAATTCAAAGATCAAACTTGGGACTTGGTGATCCTCTGTATAGCAAGAATTGAACTTCAGTGTTTGACACTTGGGACTTGGTGAGCCAAAGTGAGACTTACACTTCTGTGTTCAACACCTGGGACTCCTGAGCCATGAAGATTAAATAACATTGACATGTACATAAAGGCAGGCAGTGTAGTATCAGTCCATTACTTCCCCTTGCTCTTGTCACTCAAGAGGTATTGTCTGATGGCTGTTGAGTTGATTTACTCCAGGTTGTCCTTGCTGATGGCTCAATTGCCGGTTTTTTTCCCCACAAGTTTTTTGGCACTGGAGACATGTGCCCTCCTTCCATCCCAACATCCTCCTCAACATTGCTGGTGACTCTGTCAGTCAACCCAGCAAGGAGGTCACCCATTTGTGATGTCAGCAGTACACCAGTTTTTTGCCAGCTTGACTGGCAAGGCTTTGGAATTGCACATGGGACTGCTGTCCCTTCATGTGCTGTGAAGGACCTGGCTCTCTTCTGGGTCTCTTTTGTGGGTATCTACCATCAGCTGCATCATCATCAACATCATCCTCCATGTGATGAGAGTCACTCTCTGGATTACTCCCAAGGATTGCTCTTGGTGTACGGTGACAAAATTCCAAGGCCTTCCGGATCATCTGCTTTCTGACTTTACAAGTCCAATGAGAAGGTGAATTCCTGGACACAACTGATGCTAACCATGTCTCCATCTTTGTTCTTCCATGCTTTGAACAGGAATGTTGGTCCTTTGCCTTTCTCCTGCCAAGCATGCCAGAAATTGGTAAGGCCATAGTGTCCAATTTTGCAACTTGGAAGGCTCCTTCAAGCCACATCTGCCAGAACATACTTCCTTGCCACAAAGTCATCATGACTTTGTATGATGGCACTCCATGGCATGACTGCCTTGTCACTCCTGGAACAGATCCCTGTGTCCATGCATTCAAAAATTCTTGGGTGTTGCGATGATAGACTCATGATAGTGCGATGTAAGAAATGCCCTCACTATGGCCTTCTTCTCCTTGAGTTTCATTTTAGTGATGTCCGGAAGCAATGGTATCCCATCTCCATCGGTTTCCAGTTTGAAAGCAGGCTTTCTGATTCTTTTTCGACCTCCCTTCATCTGTCGTCCTCCATCCCACGCCCTGGCACCATCATCACAATGATCAACAAATTCCTTCTAGTAG